ATATGAAGTGTATCAACAATTAGAAAGTTTGCAAAAGAAAGATTGGAAGGAGTTGACTATTGATGAGAAGAAAGCTGGTGAGTCTTTTTTTTTCTTAAGGGCTGAAATAGGTTCTCGTCGGCGAAGTTTTCCCGAACAAGGCTTTTTTTCCATAAGCATGACTATCCTACCTTTCCATTCTGTATTCTGTGACCAGACTCTATGATATGACTGATATGTAATATGGAAAATCCATATACCATTGGTTTCTTAAACATTCCATCTTCGTCGTTGACATGGTTTTCTGAGGGTGTGATACAGGTGGTGACGTAGAGAAAGGGGGGAAGTATGTACATGGAATTTTGAAGATATCACATACCACATACCTCAACTTCATATCATTTCTCGGTAAAATCCATTCGGAATAACATATAGGAATTTCAAAACTTTAGTAAAGGAAACATCGCTAACCACATATCAATTATGACTCCTATCCTTTCCTCTCCCGTCTTCCTGACTTTACGCTAACAAATCCTACACTCTCATACTCTTCTTAACACCTTGTTCGACTTTTGTGTATTCACTGTGTGGAATGATCCATTTGATATTGAAATCCCACCAACAGCCTACTTTGTCGCTTTTGGACCTCATGGACCTAGGGCCCCCATTCATCATCCTGGTAATGCTATGCGTGTCATTGGTGGTGTGGCAGGTTGCGTAGGTGTAGCTATTGCTATCTTCTATGCTGTTCGTTCGCAAGGTCAGTAAACATTTCATATACTCGAACACATGAGCTCCCCACCCTCTCTTTCCTTTCAAGAAGAAACATACATAAATACAAATACTCTACAGTTTACCTCCCACACTCTCATCATTCCCCATTCCATCACCAACATTCAGTGTCCTGGAGAGAGAAAGTGTCCTGCGAAACACATCTTGAACAAAGCTCATTAACAGCACCCCCTCTTCCTAAAACCATGACGAGGGAATACCAAGAACAGACCAATGAATATCTCCGAGCACAGAACTCCAACCCTATCGTGAGTTTGTATCCACATCTTCTCCATTGTCCCTGTTACTCATATGTATCATGATTATTGTCCAAAGGAGACGTGTCATGTCCATTCGGTGTTGTTTGTGTCAGCTATTTGACACTGACAAACAGCATGGTATCTCTTCCGAAGGTTACAAAGGCAAAGGAGCGGTAACAGTTTGAAAAAGTACATGGTCGATGGAATATATGGCATAGAATGGACGTGTTGCTGATCTGCTATTGTTTTATGTGAGATTGCGGTTCTTCGGAATTTCTTCCATCTGCCCCTGGCAAGCGACTGACAAGCTGGAAAAGATGATGGACCCTGACTCATTGTCCGACTTTAGTTGACATACTATTGCTGATCAGTTTTGCTCCATGCTCCAGTCCGGCTGAGGACCGTTCTTGCTGGTTGTCACCCAAGCGGAAAACCCTATCAGTAATCGCACTCAAAGACACGGACATGAAGTGACCGAGCTGTCAGGGCAAACATCATACGACTGCTCTGAGAGGTCCAGGTATCAAGTAAGATCACACCACCAATTGAGAGAGGCTACACCACATGCATTAGCGCCGTGCACTATTCCAGTATCTATCCTCGACCACACCTGCATACCGAGTGCCGTGGTACATGTGAAGAACTGTTTTGTGAACCATCTTTCCAATGTCGTGTCTCCTACTGTGAAATGGTGCACTTTACATCAGCGCTTCTGGTCCGATGAGACAACGGAGACTCACGGTGTAATCGACACTCGAGTTGGTGTTGAGAATCAAAGCCACAATGAGGCCATACAATCCCAAGACTTCTGCGAAAATGAGGATCAAAATCTGAACCGCTCAATGATGATTCTATCAGTGGAGTTTGAATAAACTCACCATACCAACGAACAACCTTGGTTGTTGAGCTGTACCTCTCACACCGGCATCACCAACGATACCAATTGCGAAACCAGCTGCTAAACCGGCTAACCCGACTGATAATCCTGCTCCGAGTTGAATGAAACCGGTGTATAAAGGCATCGGGGATGTGACTAAAATGTCAGTTATTCTTCTACATTCCATCTGTTCGGCCTGTTTCATTCCATAACTCTTTCAACTGGTCACCAACCTTACAACTTGCATACCCTCCTTTATGAACACAGCAGAATATGAGAGTGTGTGAACAGGGTGAACTCACGATCTCCAGATATCAATACAGATACTACTAATCCGTACTTTTCATCAGTCAAAATATCTTGGGAATATAAAGAACACTGACAATACCAATGATACCAGCCATGACGACTGGAACGACACATTTCATCATTTGGTCAGGACGTAAAACGGCCATTGCTGAAATCCCAACACCTGATTTAGCAGTACCATATCTTTCATCATCAGCGAAACACGGGAGATTCAGAGAGAAAAGACTCACGCTGCACCGATACAAGTGAAGATTATGGCGCTGGCACAGCCCATGGCACCGAAGAAAGGGGCGTAGACGGGACATAGCTCGGCTATGGTGGACATGATGGTCTGGTGGTCAGTGGAAGTCGATCGGAAGTGTTTGAGTACCGGGACTCATCAAAGTTTTGAAATAATCACATGAAGGCTGAGAAGTAGTAGAGAAAGAGGGACAAATGATAAGGAGATTGTGAACATACCTCTGATTCGGGTTGTTGAAGGGATAGGAAAGGTATAGATAGAAGGGGAGGGGAGGGGACACCTCACTCGTGCATCGGCCAAGAGCATGGATGGTATGAGTGAGATCGGGGTTATCCAATGTGGCACTACTTCTTCCTCTTCCGCCAAAGTGGAGAAGGTCCACCTAAAGTAACTGAGCTTAGAGAACACCCATACCTCCAAGTTTTTGACCATTACTCTATGTCGTAGCTCATAGCATGGACCACCAAGAACATAGAAAACGAGCTCGACCTGAAGAGAGTGAATCTGAAGAATCTGACTCATCTAACGAAACCACCCCTGGATCCCCGTCTCTCACCCCTCCACCGAAATATCATCGCGCCTCTCCTCATACAACCCTCGATTTCATATGTACTCTTCCCCCAACTTGTTCTCAACCGGAGACGACTACCTCCTACGTTACTCTTGAAGAGCTAGAGAGACATCAAGAGAATTTTCATAGATGGATTTGTCATCATCCCATCAAGGTCAAGCAGGATGACAAGACCTCTGGATCTGCGACTACCACACGAGTGCCAGAGAGTTTTGCAAGTAAACGCGGAGAGGCTTTACTACGATCTTGTGAGAAGGTATTTCCAGAAGCACGATTGTTAGATTTAGTACGTTCAAGTCACTCCGCTTTTCCGTATACCTCGTCTTCAGCTGACGCATAGCATAGAATAGAAACACATGATCCATTAGCCCGGGAAAGAAAGAATAAAGGAGAAAAGATCGTATGTCGTCTGAAATCAAAACACCAATTAAACTTGAGGCTGAAGAGACAGTTCGAATGTTTTCTACCTCGAGATCAATGTGACAGGAAGTTTGCCAATCCACAGAAGAGACGTCGTCATTTGATCGATAAACATAGTAAGTTTGGATCTCTTTCGAGAGTCAACGAGAGCTTTGGCTGATCAGACAGAATATCCCGAACAATATTTCTTCTCAGTCACGAACCATGGCGTGAGCTCTGGTTGTCCATACATAGAGCTGACCGTAATTAGTTGAACCAGATTGCACAGCAAGACGGTCTCGCTCTCAGTATGATACGTCCTCGAAAATATCATCCTGAGCCCGATCGACCAGACCAAGATCTCAGTCATACGCGACATCATCAATACCCTTTTAACAATATTGACGAAAATCCCGATATTCAGATGGAAGATCTCACTGCGTCATTGATGAGCAGCTTACAATTCGTGCCCAAGGCAGTAAGGAAGAAAGGAGTGTCAAAGGCTCAGTCCACACTGCCCCAAGACATGCCCCCTTGATCATCATGCTCGTCGTGACCGACGCACTACCTTCTGTTTCCCCTTTGTGAACCAGTAGCGACTACCGTTCTCCCTCTTCGGTAGAAATTTGATGGGAATGTGGGATTTCATTATTCATTTGAGAAGCAATACCCCTTCATGATTTCATCCCTTCAACCATGTCAAATCGCACTTTGCTCCTGGAAGACAATTCTCCATACATTTCATATACGGGTAATTGGGCTTACACATATTCAAGTACGTCTTTTGTTATATACCCCGAATTGCTCAGCTGACAAGACAAACAGACCCTGCTCCACGTGACCCAGAGGTTACCAGATATTCTTCGGCCAACTTCCACTGTAGCAATACCACCGGCGACTCTGCATCGTTGTCATGGACCGGCACTGATATTGTGATCCACGGCGCTAGGCGTTTCAAGTGAGTAATCAAACTTACTTCCACCTGGGGATTGTACTAAAGTGAAATAGTCATGGTTGGTACTCTGTCTCTCTCGACTCGGGGGACAAAGTGTATTATGATGGACGACATATTGAAACCCAACAATATCAATACCCCATTTTCAACGGGACTGGACTTTCGGACGGTCTTCATACTATTGTCCTCACGAATGAATGCTGGAAAGATCCAACACGTACGACAGATGGGCAATTGAACGTCTGTGAGATCTTTACTCATGCTTTGTCTGCTCTTTCAAGGCTAATGATTTAGATGTCGATATCGACTTTATTCAAGTACATGGTACTCCGTCAGTCCTTCAATTTGCTTTCCTTCAAATTGTTCTGGCTGATAGTGAGCAGCATCATTCAAAGTTCATCTACGTCATCCACCGCAGCTAAATCAAGCTCCTCAAGCAGTTCAACATCGAAATTGCCTTCGAAAACTTCTTCATCGACTTCTCCCTCCTCGGTCTCCACTTCTCGGGGTAGCCAGAAATCTGGAATGTCTGAACAATCTCCTACCATTTCAACTCCACTATGGGCGCAGCCGCCCAAAACCGCGTAAGCTACCCGTTGCAAGGCACATGGGCTGACATGCTGATGATACAGGCCGATAGACTTGACCAGCGTCACAGATCATATTCTCAACACTGCCCATCGATCAAGACCACCAATCACAATATTTTTACTACTATTCGTTCTTTTGATGGTGATACCAAGTCTGAGCAATCATCTTTAGATGTCTTGCTGGGTTGAGAAAGATGAGCGGCCTTTCAAACATTTCGTGAAAGGGGGATCAACGTGTGTACCGGTGTTTTAGGTGGTATGGACATTCCCACGATTTGATTTAGTCCTTTACCCCTTGGATCCTTGTATCCGTCTCAATTCGCTCACCGAAAAAAACCTTTCCAACTCACGAGCGCCCAGAATACCTCCTTGCCGGTCTTCAAGCCGGGCGAAGGAGGGACATCTTTGTCTGTGTCATATCAAAGTAGCGACACTTACAATCCTCCCTTGTCCCCCTCAATGGATGACTGACTAAAGTCGGCACAAGGAGCAGATGACTCAAAGGAGCTCACTGATCTTCTCACGCTTCTCAAACAACGTATCGATGGCCCTTTGACATCTTCGTTCAAAGACGGAGAGTTACTTAGTGATCCTTTGACTTCCTAAACTTACCCCCCAGCTGTCTGTCACAAACGGCGAAACTTAGAATACCTTTTACGCAGTCGCTCATCTGATACATATCTCATCTTGACGCCCCACTACACATCTAATCGACTATATCCCATCTGTTTCTAACGCCTGATCCAGTCCAGCTGTCTTGAACGACCAACACGAGTACTCTTACCCTCAGGACACGTTTTGTTTGTTTCTCCTAACTAGAACATTTGTTGAGGCGAACATCGTGGACGCTGGTATCGAGTGAATCGGTGTTAGGAGCTGAATGTAGGAAGATGAGAATAGGAAAAAAGGAATGAGCCGGACCAATGTGACTCTACAGGATGATTCTGGTTATATCTCGTATTTCGGAGCATGGACAACGGATTATACTGGTGAGTATCTTCTTATATGCCGCTTGAGAATCAAAAGGTTGAATCGAAAAGGAGATCCAGATGCATACCGGTATAGCGGAGGGGGTGGACATGCTTCCAATACTTCAGGAGATTATGCGGTTTTTACTTGGCAAGGACAAGATATTTGGCTTTTCGGTGCGAAGAGATTCAAGTGGGTCATTTTTACTGTCCTAATCATATGTCGAGCTACTGTCTTCTTCTCAACTATCCCGAATGTAAGATGCACAAGATGGTTCACGAGAGAGATATTGATTTTGAGTTTCACTAGATTGATAGATAAATCCATATGATTTTAGTCGTTTGGAAAGTGATTTCGGCAAACGAAGTAAATGTGATAATGATGAGAAAGAATACCCTACTCATAAACAGTCATGGATATTATTCCACAATGGTAGACGGAGGAGATAAACTTTACGCATCTTCAATGACCACAGGAGAACAATTGTTTCAGGTACCGCTTTTCAGTTCATCAGGGTTATCAGAAGGAGAACATACTTTGGTTATGACTAATGAATGTTGGTTGAATGCTGGGGAAGTGACGAACGGGTATGCTAATGATTGTGAGTCTGACTGCTCACACCTTTATCTTCCGTTCGATATCACTTTTCATACGATCTTTATATCCTCAATGGCTTTTGTTCCTCTTCAGTGAGCCGTCTCATCTCTCGCCCATGGCTCGTAGACATCACATGAAACTCGAGCTTCGGTGGGAATGAAAGAGACATAGCTTTGTTTACGGAGGAAGCGGAAACCATCAGCTAAGCCTATCTCATATGCTGACAAGTTAGACTTCGGAATTGACTTTCTCGTCGTTGAAGGAACACCGTAGGTCACCCTTCTCTCTTCATGACACTCATCTTCAAGACCGCCACAGTTCAATATCTCTGAAACTCAACTCACCTGCAGCTTGAAACCTTCTACGCCAAGTAGTACCACCAGTACCAGTACGAGTCATCTCACTACGACTAAAACCACACCCACCTTCATCTCCACTGACACGTCCTTGATCCCTGCTACCACCTCTAAGCAAATCATTTCTTCAGCCTCTATCATCCTACAATCAGATACCATCAACCCCTTACCATCCACGATAAGTTCTTCGGAAATATCAACAAATGCACCTACTTTAGTCTCAGGAACAATCAACGTCATCTCTTCAAGTGGAACATTCACCATTCCCGCTCCTAATACATCGTGAGTTGTTTCCTCTTCATGACGTGCCGAGTGAAAACTAAGTATCAGTGTACCTGATGGAACACAAGGTGGTGTTACTACTGTTCTCTCTGGTTCTCTTTCGGTTCATAGACAATGTCCGATTATACTTTATATCTTTGTTTGGTTCTGGGTCATGCGGATAATCAACTTTGGACGATGATGTGATTTTGTGTCAAATGCCACATTGAAGGAGATGAGTGGAATGTGCCACAGAACAGATCCCATACTAACTTGTCCATCTCCACCTTTGAGACACAAAGGGATCACTACACTTATCTTGACTTACCTTAGACTTGTCTTTCCCAACTTGAATCTTATAAGCTTACTATCGTATATGTACTCGCCCAAACCTTTGTTTATCTAAAACATCGAGGGGTTTCACGCTGATCTTCTGTCCCTGTATTCAACATGCCCCTCCCTGTCGAACGTTCCCAAGGCAGTGTGAGTTCCACACTTCTTTACCATTTACCTCCATTCCATCTATCACATTATCTCAAGTGTTTACTCTGTTCACTTCACCCTCTACCTGCTCAAAAGAATGAGATACTGGAGGTGAAGAGTCAGAGAAGTGAGCCAAATAATTACCATTTTGTGCAATGTCCAAAAACGAAAACGACCATCGCTGATCTTACTTAGGTTTCCGCCCTCGTCGCCCGTTTCCAAACTGCTGCAGATAGAGATCGAGACGCTCAAGCAAGAGAAGCATCCAAGGGACCTAGATCAAGTGGTAGTTTTTCTCGTCGTAGTTCTAGTTTTGGTTTCGCTCCCAGTATAGACTCTTTGAGTCCTGCTCCCACGGGAAGTGGAATGTCCCCTGATCTTCATGGAGGTGTTGCAGGGATCAAAGATGAAGCTATGGAGATGGAGATATTGAAAGATCCGCAAGAATTGTCAGGCGGAAAGAAGATCAATGAAGGGGATGAAAAGGTAGCTGAGATTACGAACATTACACCATCACATGAACCATCACAGAAAGAACACGTTGATAACGCACCTCCTACACTTTCTCAATCGATAAACCAGACAAAATCAATTAAACCTTCTTCGAATGTCAAGGATTCTCCACGAAAACCTTCTTCACCAATAGCTACAAAAACCACAACAGGAGGAGTAGTACATAAACCTATCGTTGGGTCAAACACGACTCAAAAGAATCAACCGTCAATTATAACGAAATCCCCTCAACGCAATACTACTACTACTGCTGCTGTATCCCCAACTTCACCTACAAACCAGATTAAAAAATCAAACCCGATATCACCTAGTCAACCAGCTAAATCTCCTACGACAACTTCACGAGTGGTTTCTCGTCCCAAGAACTTTTCCTCTTCCACAACAACTCCACATCCTGGAATCTCTTCAACTCCAAAAGATTCACCCATAAAACCTCCTTCGATAAGTTCCGTCCGTCAACCCAAAATACCTCAGACATCAAGGTTGGTACCTAATATGACTGGACCTCGACATCGTTCTCCTTCAGCTTCAACTGTCGGTGGAATCACCTCTCCTCCCCCTCTCAGACCTCATTTAACTGGAACTCCTTCAAAACCTACCGCTTCTTTCTTAGCTAAACAACGTCCAGCTCATTCTTCTGAAGAGAAGAGAAAATCAACACCAAGTAACACGATGTCACTAGGTCGGAATGCAGGTTCTAGAATCTCTTCCGCTTCTCGTCCTGCCCCACGTAAATCTATTGAGCAAGATGTCAAGATATCACAACCAACTTCGCCTACCACAAGCAAACAGTCTACGACAGGATCTAGACTTTTACAAGGTACAGCAGCATCAAGAGCCAGAGCAGCGAACGTTTCGCCTAAAACGGACAAATCGACAAACTCACCTTCGAATAAAGTAACATCGTTGAGGAATGTATCGAACAGTATGTCGTCGGGGAAGACACCTTCTAAGTCGCCCACTTCGCCCACTACGAAGATCAATGGTAATAGCAACGCATCAGCGACGGCTTTGAGTTCCAAGAAATCGCTGGGGAAAGTGCCGTCGGATATCCAAAAAACACCGGCAGTAGGGAGATCACCGATCGGACGGTTGGGATTAGCAGCGGCCAGAGAGAAGGCGGTTCGTCCGGAGCAGACACCACCGGTGGGAAACAGTCCGATTGGGAGGATCGGTTTAGCAGGAGCCAGAGAGAAGGCAAAGCCTGTTGAGGAAGAAAGAGATGAGGAAGGGGAGGCAGTGCAGGTTGAGGAAGGCGGGTCAAAGCAGGAGACGAATGGGGAGGTTGCCGAGGCCCAGGAGATCAGTGGAGAAACTTCGGATGTACGGAAAGATGAGGAGGGCGAAGAGAAAGAGCAGGAGCCGGGGTCGGAAAAAGGGAATCCCGCTGTAGGAAATGAGGTTACTGGCAAGGGGGATAATGAACAAGGGAATGATATCATGAAAAATGAACCTCAAGATGCTGCTGAGAGTCTCCCTCTGAACGACCTCAAGATAGATGATAGTCATGGTGTAATAAGCCCCATTGTCAACGATACAACACAAGAAGAACACGTCGATCCTGCTACAGAGGATATCCCCGACATTCCTGATTCTGCCTGATCATTCGCAAAAGAACCCGCAGAAAGAATTGTAAGAGGATAAACGAAAAGGGGATTGTTTGAAATGGCGAAAGAATGACAAACGACAGATGAAGAGGGTTAAATTAAGTCTTGACATGCATTTTAAAGGTCTATGACGCTCGTGTATTTACGTGATAATTGTCCGATTTAAATCAAGCACGATAGTTTCCTACTCTTTCTCACTTTACTCCTCTCCGCTTACTTTCAACAAGATGTCTTCTCTCCTCCTCACACTCTGCCATATGAGTGACCTGCTGATCAAAATGGAACCGAGCAGGGAGTTTCTAGGTGGCAGTATGACCACCATCGCTTATGATATCCGCACCAGTCATGAATGAACTTGCGTCTGATAGGAGGAAAGTTGCTGGGCCTGAAGATCAGTCGTCTCTCCTTGAGACACTGATTTCGATCCCTACTTCTCACTCTATCAGTATCGCGGCTGACGGAATGACTGATGAGAATGAGAAGAGGAGAACGAGATGTAGATCAGGCAAAATGGATTCACCTCTAAACTCATCCGCTGTTGATAATCTCCCCAGGAGGGATTGAGAGACCCATAGATCTGTATACTCTGGGTGTTCTGCAAGAACGGCGTTGTTCAAAGTGGTTTGAATCTATTGGTCAGTACCAGCTCGTCTGTCTCCTGATTTCCTCCTAGACCTGCCACAGACTATCGCCAGATCAATTATCAACACATGTATCGAGTTCGAATAGTATCCAGCTGGATCCTGAGGCTTGAAAGGGGAGCTCGAGTATATAAAAAAGGAATCTCCCAGTGCCATGGGAAGGAGAGTATACGTATGAGTTCCAGAAATGTGGTAATGATGGATCTGATCTTTCAAACTCACATATCCTGGCGAGAGTGACTAACGATCAGTCTTTATCCTTTCTTCATTACCAAAAACAGTTGAAGAACTCACATTGACTCTAATCCCTTTCTTACTCCATTCCATAGCTAAATTCCTTACCAATTGATTTACCCCAGCTTTACTAGCACCATAAGGAGCACACATTAAACCAGCATTGGCTATATGTCCACTCATACTTCCCGTAAAAACAATACTAGCACCTTCCCCTGCTTTTAATATTTCACCTTTATCACCATATTTCTTAAACCATTCTTTAGCAAAAGCTTGAGCACTTATAAATGTTCCAGTAAGATTTATATCTATAACTCTTCTAAATTGTTCGGCTGAAAATTCTTCTGCGGGAAGAAAATGATTTATACCTGCTGATATATATAATCCTCTTATCGGTGCGTTGGAAGGAGCTGAAGAGAATAATTTAGAAAATGTTTTTGATGTTGATGATTCTGAAGTTATATCGAGATTATGATATTCTAATGTAAGACCTTTTGAAGAGGCTAATGAAGATGCTGTTGACCAATAAGGTTCAGTCGGTTTTGATAATATATCGATAGCTCGGACATGGGCACCTGATTCGATAAAACCGTGAGCTAAAGTGAGACCTAAACCTCTACCGGCACCTGTCACGATTATAGTTCGGTTTTTGAGTGAAAATAATTCTGGTGTAGGGATGTTTTGTAATGGGGCTGTTAAAGTTTAGTATCAGTCCATATTTTGAGATTTTCTCTTTTTACTCTCTTCCTCTCTTCTCATGATCAAATTGAGAATCTGAAAAGTAGAAGTTCTCGTCATCCAAATTGATGTTTCCTTTTCAAAGGACCATCAATCATCCCCTGGACAATCAAACGAGCAAAACTCCTCCAAGTGATGGGGTAGAGAGGAGAACGAGTAAAGAGGAATGAAGAAATCCCTCACCTAAAACTTCTTCACTAACACCAGATTTAGCACCTTCATCAAGCTTAGCATGTTCAGCCACTGCTTTTCCTTCTGTAGGAGACCTGGGTTTGTCCTCTGTAGGATGATCAGATCCCTTCGTTGCAAATCTTCTCGCTGTCACAAGTGATAATCGTGGTAAGGGTCGAAGGACAGATTGTCGGTATAATCTTGGTAATGGGGAAAATCTGTTCATCTTACAGATTTGTCCTTTGGAAAAATGATAACCAGTTTGACAGGTTTTATATCTTGCACAAGATGGGTTGGAGTTGAAAAGAGGACAGAGGAGCCCCAGTGACGTTTTGAAAGTTGAGGGGGTGGTGTTGTTCGGAGTGACCGGTCCGGAGGAGTTATGCCCGGGATTTCGGATTGAAATTGCGTCATAAGATCATATGACTACATGATGTACTTACTGTACTTTCACTTGAGTCTCCTGAGCTCGCAGTTGCCAGAATACAGCACATGCTGCATGCTGCTCGCTTGCTCGCTTGGTCGTCATGACATCAAGGGTGGTTGACTACGGCTCGGTTCGGCTTGACGACGATCGTTACGATGATTGTGATACAGGGTGGGAGGGAGAGGATGTTTGGAATCCCCACTCAAGTCCAGACCATGACAACTCCCTGATCCCTGACGGAAACATGTGTTGAGACATCAATCGCCCATCCTGCATCTTTCGCATTGATCGCAGCGTAAGTAGTTTGTATCTAGGAAAACGAGGCAAACAGCCCCAATATCGATCTTATCATAACAACTCCTTTCACCTTTTCTCCTCCTCAAACGTCAAGACCATCGCTGATTGTCCGTATGCTATGTCGTGATATCCCTAACTCGACTCATCATTTGCTCCTTTCACCTCGTCCTCCTTATGAATCTCCCTCTCAGATGTCTTACACTCTTCGTATTGACAGAACTTCCCAACCAACCCCTCTACAACTAATCAATCATCACATACCATGTCTAGTAAAGGTATCGCTGAAAGAAGACAATGGTTTGAAACATTACCCGACTCTGACGCTGTATGTTCTTCCGCTCATCCCATCTTGTTGGAATTTACTGACAACCTTTAGGATGGACTGCGTACATTATGGGAGTATATGAAAAAGACAGGGAATCAACCTATCATCCCTCAAGGAGAAAAACACACACTGACGCCTGAAACTGATATCGAACAGCCGAATAAGAAACGGTCAGTGAGTAACCCCCAACCCGACTATGACTATCCATCTCAAATGGGTTCATCATCCTTCATGGGCGTGCAACGGTCACAGTTGAATCCAAATCAGCCTCAAATGACACTTCCTATTCGCCATGTGCAGCATTCCCAGGGAAATGATGACTTCACAAGCTCGAATACGAACATTCCCTTTGCGATTAATCCCAACCCGAGTAATTCGTATGGAACTTCGAGCCAAGGAGGTCTGTACCCGCCCGCTACACCTGAATCCCCCACTGTGTCACCCTTCCCTACTTACGTGGACACAATGGACGATAGATCTTATCCAGGTACTCCGAATTTTCAGGGCATGTCAGACCCGACGTACTCGTCACAGATTTACTTACAAACCCCTGTTTCCGCGCAAGGGGGATTCTTGTCGGTAGATTGGACCGCGAAGAGTGGACGTACTGGCGTTTACGACAACATGGATACAAACAATCCGATGGGTTTGAACAGTCAAGTCAGAAGTACGTCAGACCCTACCATACCGTACATTTTTGGGCAAGATGCTGTTCCCGATTCTGGGTTCTCAAACTTCAACGATATGTCCAATCTCGGTTCAACCTCCCTATCGTTCGATCCTGGGAATGCGGCAAACTTTGCAGGTGTTAATTCTCCCTACGGTCCTTCTTCCCCGTCATCATCGATACAGGCACCGAGTAGTCACTCCTCGCAAGACATCTCCACCATGGCTGATGAGTTGGCAAGACTGAAATTATCTGTTCAAACGTCCATCAATCAAATGAAAGCTAGTCATACTTTCGAGATGGCCCACATGCAAGAGCGGGTCACACTATTAGAACGAGAACTCGACGCCTTGCATCCAAGACGCAGAAGTGCCGGTCAATCGACTAGAGCCAGAGTGGGAGATGTACGTACAGGAATGGAAAATTTGAGACAAGAATTATCTCAATTTCAGTCCGACACCGGTAAACAAGGGGGTTATGACAACACCCCTACCATCGCAGGAAATATGACGCGAGGTGGGGCAACCTGGGACGAGTTCGCGGAGACACTGGATGCAGGTCCAGGTCAATACTTTGGTGAAGAGGGAGTTCCCAGTGCAATGGAGCATCCGTGACCGTAACACAATTTGAGAATGGGCGATGACGAGTCGTAGATTATGCATGGAATGTGAAGGACGAGCTGAATCATCCTTGTCGCTGTTTCGTTTCAGCTCAGGAGCTTGATATATGGGAAGAACTGCACCTGTTTATGTTTCGGATTTTTGGAGCACACGATATACACCCTTCCCTTACGTTTAACCACCATACATCCATCACAAAATTTCTTCACGCTACTTCGGACTTTCATTCCTCGAGCTTGAGCTAATGTGAGAATGGGGAGTCGAGCTCTGGTAGTGGCTAAGATGGTGAGAGTACGAAGTTGAAATTGAGAGCGAGTGATAGGGTAAGTAGAAGCCAGCGGTGGTCGAGTGAGTGCGCGGGGAAAGTTCGTAGGTGCTCTGGAATGCGAGGAACAGAAACATTGTCTGAGAGAGGAAGGGCCGGAAGTAGACTGTGACGTCAAGAGCCGACGGAGGATGGTCGTGAACATGATGACTGGTGTAGCCGGTGAAAAGAACTGTTATGAGGAGGAGTAAGTCGGTTCTCTTTCAAGGGGGTTTGAAGGAGCGTAAAGTGCCACACTCTGTGATCCCGAGGGGGTAATTCCGTGCGCCACCCTCAGTCTTTCTTCCGCTTACGACGGAGCGCCTCCACTCTTCTCGTCCCCCCCTTTCTCCCCTCGCCTCTCCAAAAAAAGGCTCTTTTATCCATCTCTTTATATCACTCAACATCCCGATCTTGGTCTACTTCGTAGGCCTCGTATTCAACGCAACGCGCTCCTTTTGTGCAACTGGGTCAGGCCGATCAGAGTGAACACAAGCGCAAAGGAATCAACATCAAGTGAAAAAAGAAGGCCCGTGTGGAGGCTGTCCGCTTTCCGACCTTTTTCGACACTATAACCTTATTGGCCATCGGTTCACCTCCACCTCCACTCTTGTGTCTCTTCAAAAGAAAATGCCATCTCGACGTCCATCAGCCGTCACTGTCAATGGGGAAGATTCCCCTTTGGCATCTTCTTCCCGTGCGAGGGGTAGGGAAAATGGCAAGGAAAAAGAAACGTTTGGATGTCCTTTTCCTGGTTGTAATCAAGTAAGTCTCAACTCGTCATGAAGAATTTGGTTCGATGAGACTTATGCATGTCAGTTCTACAGTCGACTGGAGTATTTGAAACGACATCAGCGTAAACGTGAGTGAGATTCACCTTTGCTCTTGACCGACAACCATTCGAATAAATGATGACACAGCACAGATCAAGATGTTCGACCATTTTTATGCGCCGACTGTCGTAAAGCATTTGCCAGAAGGTAAGTTGCCTTTTCTTATTCCTTCATGCAGCTCACACCTTAGTGATGTCTTACTTCGACATCGTCGAAGATGTCATCCTACTCCTCCCCCACCTGACCAGATATCGAAATCTCCACCGCCACCCGCTCGTGCCTACCCTGGAGTTCCCGTATCCGCCTCTCGTGACGATGCGCACAATAGGTCACCTACCAGAACCAAGCGTGTGCGCCCCGCAAGTAGCAGCAGCAGTACCGAAAGAGCACAGCGGCGCAGGCTGTCTGATGATGACGACGATGATGAGGACGACGAGGGGGCTTTTCCAGGAGAAAACTCCGCGTATCAACCACACGGGTTAGACGATGGTGATATCTATGGCATCAATAATGGTTATTACCCCCAAGACTCCGATACGATTAATTACGCGCCCCAACTACCCATACCCATTTTCCAACAACAATCGGGGTATCATAATCTCGAAGATGCCTCCGCATTGCTGTCAATGGCATACCCCGGTGGTCTACCCGCTGCCGACACTTCGGCGGTCGTGGCTGGTCAACGAGTAGTACCGGATTGGAATGAGGGGCAAACTCTCCATATGATGATGGAACATACCAACAAGGCAACCGATGTTCAGCGAAAAGACAGTTCCGGCACGGCATCCGACCATAGCGGGCAGAATGATACGCTGCCAGAGTCGATGGGGAATTTTCTCGGAACGATGAATTGGCTCTCTAGCGGGGCTAGTGGTCATAGGCAGTGTGGCGCTGAAGGAGATGTGATTGGTTCTGTAAGTGATCATCTCTCTTGTGTCTCGTCGGTGACGCCAACAAGTAGACGCCTCCCAATCATCCCTCTCCTCGGCCCACTTCCCCATTCCCATTATCTTCTCTCTTCTCCCCCTCCGCCTTCGGTCTCTCATTACTTGAAGGGGCTGCTCAGCCATCGACTGAATCGGACGAGGACAACAATCAAACAGTCATGAGTATCCTTGAGTCGCTCTCGAAATACGAAGTGCCACAAACTCGGGTTAATCCCAACCCCGAACGGCCCATCTTGCGTATTGATAATGCTTCGTATCGCAACCGAATGGGTGAAGAACCTCTCAACAGGAGTGGCAAATTCTAGTGAGTGACCTGCTATGTTAGTGAACATGTGACTGACCCGCTTTAGCCTTCCCGCCGATCGGTTTGCGGGTTGTTACCAGATCCCTCACTGGGCCTTGCCCCCTCTGCGAGTACTGTCTCTCATGGCAAATCGTACCTTTCACACTGTGCTCAATCACCTCTCTTTTGTCCACACCCCAACCTTTAAATTGATCGACACCGCTGCTTGTCTGGCATTTGCCATGTGCACAGTTGGTGGCATTAGGACCGGCGCCCAGAGAAAGAACTACACCATCAACGGACAGAGGGTCAATCCGCAAACATACTACGAACAACTCATCAGCGGACCCGTCACCCCTAATCAATCATGGGAACAGATTTACACGGACAATTATATCTCCGGTGGCAGGGATCAAACGGATGAGGATCTGAAAAAGGTGGAAGAGTGGTACAACGCCCCGATCGTCAGAAATGAGAAGACGAACATGCTCGTCAAGTCGTTCTCTTTAGCACAAGGAGTTCTCATGACGGAGTACAATGTGGCATTGCTGCAGGCTTTGATCTTGTACAACGCGCCGTATTTCTTGAGTGAGGACGAGAGCGAACGAACGCTAGCCAACATGGGTTTGGGTACGATTGTCAACATCTCTCGACAGATTGGCTTTTTCAACACCGAGCTCGAGCACTTCAACACAACCATCGAACTGCCACAAGAACCGACGACGGCCAACGATCTGGACCTGTACTGGCGTCGGTGGGTGCAACTTGAGACTCGACGTCGGACCGCCTTCCTCGTCTATCTTTTGGACACCATTTCGGCACTCGAATCCTCCCTCCAATGCATCCTGTCGCCCAGCGAACTGTGCTTACTGCCGCTTCCGGCCACAGACGCACTGTGGAGGGCAGAGACGGCAGAGCAATGGTTGGCTGCGGCGAAAGAGGCTCGAGTTATGACACTAGACGAAGCTATGCGACGACTTTTCTTCCTGCCAACCTATGGAAGCTTTGAAGAAATGCACGAGAAGGCAGACACCAAAGGCTTGAACCTGTTATGTGAGTTTGAACTGGGACCGTTTGCGCGCGTGGCGATGATCATCTCGTTGCTTCGGGGTGTTATCGATATTGGAGAGGGGAAACGTGATCGAGGTGACTGGCGTGATTTGACGGATCTGTGGGTCAATTGTAGTTGGTTGAAACCGGGTACCAAGATGCTTTCACAGACTGGGGCGGACATTGGTCCTGTATCAAGAGAAAGTCTGAGAGGGCGGTTTGGTATGGCATTGCAAAGGGTCAGTTAAACTTACCGTATTTACACGTAAAAGCTGACAGAGCAGTGGAGAGAAGGATGGGACTTTGACTCGTTATGTCCTGCTCCTACCCCTTTTACTCCTTCAGGGGGAGCTTCAACCAGTACTTCAGAATCTCCACCGGGACTGGATCCTTCGAGTCGATCGTCGAGTAGTAGTTCAGACACAAACCGATTTGGAAAACTCAACTACTGCGAGGGTGAGCGTCGTTCTCTCTTCTTCTTCACATCGCTCCTCCTCAGCCGATCTCGTACTCTCAGAAATGTTGTATCAGTTGTGATAATCGATGTTGACGTCTCAGAGGCTCTCCCATTCTATTGGCTGGCTCAAGCTTTGCTGTCTGTTCTCAACACTTCACCCCCACGAGAATCAGGATGGAACGCTTTTTCTCAGATATCTTATTCCGACATGCTCAAATCGTCTCGAACGTTCACGCGGATGGGTGAAGGCGTCGCATCTGGTACCTTTACTCCAGGAGCGAATCTGAGTAGTGGAATGTTGACAATGTACTCATAGAAGGGGTAGATCAGGGTTGTATGTATGTCATATCTCTTAGAATTCCCTCGTCTCTTGTCTCTTCTCCATATCTTTTTGCTTTGTGAAGGCAATAACTCTGTCTCGCAGATGAGCTCCTCTCGATATCTCATTCATCATTTCCGACGTCTAACTACTCATGATCAGGTCAAAAAAGCGAAACGCCTATGGGCATTCTAATGGCTACCGTTAGCACCGCTACCACCGGTACTACCGTTACTGCCTTGACCATTGGCACCGTTACTACCGTTGGCACCGTTACCGTTGGATGTGCCTTGGGTGCTTACATGGGTGATCTCCTACGCCCGTCAGCAAGCTTCAAAGTCACTTAACGCGACCCACCGTAGAACCATCCCCATACGTTATTTCGACAGGCATGGTACTAGAGGAAGGATCCCAAATGGGTAAATTGTCGTCGGTCCTCTACTTCATCAGCTTGATCCGTCAACCAATCCTATCAACACGAAACAATCAATGTGACGAAATCAAGCAGGAGGAAGAGAAGTGGAACAGGGAGATATAGGTGAGAAAACGCTCACCTGACTACTACGACCGGAGTTGCTGGATGTGTTTTCTTGTGTTCTACCGGGCATTGTGAGTCTTTTAGTTAGCCACATATACACGGTGACAAAGCACGTCTCAGTGTGCTATTCTCATCCTCATCCTGTTCTTCCATCGAGATGTGTCACCTTCTCGTCATTCCACAGATTTCAGTGATTTCTTTCATCTCGTCAAGATCTCGACGGGACTACATCATCATGTTCGAGGTATTATGAGAGACACTACTGATGACTTACTTCTTTTCTGTTGTTTATGACTTATGAGCTGATGCAATAGGAAAGAATAACAATGTATGACTTCCAGGTTTCGGCAACGAGCTATTTATATTGTACAATTCTCTCCCCAGATGGCCCTTATCGCTCATCACATCATACTTATCACGAGATATCACTCGCTTGTCCTTATCAAACCCCATCTTCCTTTGCTCTCAACATCTCGTACGCCAGATCAGATTACGACAAGTTGCGTAACCGCCATGATCAGACTTGGTTTCAAGATTTCTGACAAAGGATCTCTCTCATCTGTGACAACATCTCGAGGGGTATCTATCTCCGATAAGCCAAGATAGTGGATCTCACTTGTCACATGTCTGGTGCAGAAAGGAGGGAGATAGTGATAATAATCTGGACATAAGATGAGGGGGTTGAGATGAATGAAAGAGTTGATAAGACCTAGGACGTATCGGTAAGCTCGCTTGTATGTTATCTGATTGATAAACCTCCACTTCCATCTGGATCGTCTCAGTGAGTGCCATGAAGTTTTATCGACGATATCATAGCTTACGCAATCGGTTAACCGGGGTGTTTTTCAAATACTGTACGAGTACAGTATGATACCATATCATTCACGATGACCCGACTTATCAAATACATTTAGTCACCAGCTATATCTTTACATGATCATCCCTTTCATTCTTCGAATTCCTCTTATGTCCCAATCTTTCCGCAGTTCCACGACTTGTGAGAAGTCGATTCTCAAATCTCACCCCGGGAAAGACGAGTAGTCTGTCACCGTCTCATTCTAACATTCCTTTCCATTTCCTCTCCGCAATTCCCAACCCTCCTTTCACGAAGTGTCACCTACCCTTGTCGTCTGCCCCTCATTCACGTATCTTGAAATGGGGTTGGTGGTCTGAGATTCGTGTCTCGACACGGCGTCTGAGGGGTGACCTGTCTCCTTAAACAAAGTGAAAAAAGGATAGAAAGATTGGTTTACGCCTGTGAAGGAGTCGTCTTGATCACCTTCGTCAATTCTCAGGTTGTACAAACCTCGTTAACCTATCCAATCTTCATGGAAACCCTGAAGATTATGTTGTGATCACAAAACTCTCCACCGTCATCATCCGACCGCAATCGGTCTTTTTACTCAATCGCCAACTCGACTGTAACAATCACGTTCTTTATTCTCTGGAGTTCATCAAGAGTCAAGATCAATCTAGAAGATGGTTCGACTTTGCTTTTCTCAACTAACGCTCTTTCTAACTTTTCTAACACTACTCATTCTACCAGCGGTATCAAGTGTAAAAGTTCCATTTAAACGTGTCAAATACCATTCACCATCTCTTGGGGACTCACATCGGAGAGATCTCCACCCAGCTTCCTCTAAAGATATCCGATTACCTCTTCTTCGTAGAGGACATAGATACCGAAACACTCCCAAAAGAGCCAGACGATTCCAAGTAAATAACGGTATTACATCTTCTTCCTTCATCCCTGGCCATCCCACTCCAGTACCCACTCTTGCACTGGGCAGACGAGCAGACGGAGTCAATAACAGTCTTTCCAGCTCCGCCTCAATCGTATCATCGGCCTTCAACGCTTCTTCTTCTCAACCCTGGTCCGTCACATCTTCGGTCTCTTCGTTGTCCAGCTTTCCCTCTTCATCGTCCGTCGGGGCTTCCTCGGTCAATGCCAGTAGCTCTTCTTCTGGACCTGCCCCTTCCGCTACTCATGGAACAGAACCACTTGACTCTAGTAGTTCAGAAGGAATGACATATGTAATAACGGTGAAAATCAATGACATTGAAGTTCCCATGGTTGTGAGTTCACTGTCTTCTTCCTCCTCCCGTCACAGTGAGGAACAGATAGGGAGGTTGTGACGGAGCTGATATCAGGCCGATACAGGTTCCGTCGTCCCTTGGGTGGCAGCTAAATCGTGTGCCACCTGCATCGCAGCAGGTATGGTGACAGCGGTCGATATTCCTGACGGAGATTGCCAAAAAGGGGTGTTGGGCTATGGTTCGTGTCTTTCACACTCCTTCCACCTTCTCAGACCTCCTCCTCCCATACATTCTCGCTCCTCCTCTCCGGCTCCCTTCCTCACACACAGATGATTTTTTCCCGGAGCTCAGCGAGAGGTCACATACTGAAGAACAGGTGCGGGAAACGTGTATTCAGGTTGCTTCGTCAATGTCACATTCGCCATTGGGGATTTGGTCTTGCCCAGCCTCCGCGTCTTGGCTGCTACGGAGATTGACGATGTGTTTCAATCACAAGCGCCATTCATGAGGTGAGCTATTTCCTTTCGACAGCTTGAAGCAAACAGCTGACCCCTATAGCGGAATATTGGGAATGGGTCTATCAGTGAGTTACTTACTTGATTGATGATGAAATGGTTTGACCATCAGGCCGGTGTTCCTTATGCTGGAGTCACACAACCTCTTATAGCGATGTACGAAGCTGGTGTGATCGATTCACCCACTGTAGGATTCTGGCTCTCTCCTGATCCGACCAAGCCTAGTACGTAAATGTATCCTATTGCTGCATCCCCAACTGACTGTCAGGCGAGATGGACCTGGGTTCCGTCGACAAGAAGTAAGTGTTATATGTCAATGATTTAGATTGAAGAAGAATTAACAAGCAGCACCCATGTCGATCTCACAAAACAAGTATCGACAGCTCATGTGGTCAATCAGTCAGATTCGGCCTTCTCCCCCGCTTGGTACTCTGTACAGGCGGACGCTTTGACGATAGGAGACACCACATTATCCACCAACTTTATCACTATCATTGACACTGGGTCAGTTTTTCTTGTTCTGAGCATTACCACCTTGTTTTGCACTCTTCATTTCCTTGCTTATATGCGTATACCTACATTTATACATTTAGATGTAAGCAAGTTGATATTGGCTCGCTTTTGATAACCCACAATGACATCATACTGACCATTGCAGAACCACAGATTTCTATGTCCCCCCGTCAGTGAGTATCTGGTCTTATTCATCATGCAACATAATTGACACATACAGTGGCAAGACCATTTCTATGCCGCTTTTGGTAACGGTTATCTCTATTGGGTTCACACAGAGTACGGGGACGAGCCCGTTCTACCGTGTCAAGGAAGTAACAATACGATGAGTTTAACGTTCGATGGCGTATCGTTCGACATCAACTACGCTGATATTGTGTGAGTGAAAAGATTACAACTCAACGTGACTTCACTCTAACATCTCTGTCAGGGGATTGTCCATACTGGCGTCATTTAGATTGACAATGCAAAAAAAGATTCCTCACTGACAATTAGGGGTTCCGAGCTCCAGCCGGGCTGGTGTGCAGGATTAGTTGGATCAGACCCGAAGTGTGAGTCATGTCCTCACCACCTCCCCTCTCCTCCTGCATAGCTCACCACATAGGAATTGGAGTGAGTCTGACGATTAGTACACTACGTGCTCGCAGGCGACATGTTTTTGAAGGGCGTATACTCTACTTACGATCTGGTTAATGGGACTGTCACATTCAACGGGCTGAAATAGACTACCTGGATAATCTAATGGGCAGATAGACAAATGTCACTGATTGACCGGGGAGTGTACCTTGGTCCTCTAGTCATTCTCTTGGTGCATGCTAATTCAGAGGGGTTTCCCCAAGGATATATGACTTACTTGCAATACTGACATGACTCATCCATACACTCTTTGTTTCATGCTGACACATCCACACCTTCCTTCCCTTATCTCTTGATGACCTCCACAATTGAGTACGATTTATTGGTTCCGAGCGACTGCAGAGGCCTTATGACTTCCAGGCTTGACGTTCCTACCTCCAGATATGACGCGAGTATCCGAACGAGATCTGTGGTGCCATGAACACCATACTGAAGCATGGATCCTTTGTTGGAAAAGTACAAAGGAAAGCTAAAGCAAAGGAGCACTCAGTCATGTCAATCCATCCAAGATACCATCTTCTCCCGATCTCATTCCCATCTCTTCCTCACTCTCCGCACCTCGATCCACTCACTACCTACCATGGACGTTCCTACTCCTCGCGAACGCGCTCATTCCTCTGATCACCCAGTTCGACCTAATCCCACATCTCAACAAATGAGTCCGACAGGACCTGGGGGACATGTAGATGGTGACGCTTCGTCAGGGTTTGTCACAATTTCCAATTCATGGTCTTCTAATCGGGGTTTCTCCTCTATGGGAGGAACGGCCGCCGCGCCTACCCGACCACTCGCATGGGCTAGTATCAGACATCAAGTGTTGGAGGATGAAAAGGTGGAGGCGGCGGACAAGGGTGGACGTGAGTAGATCATTTCGGTCTTCCAGTGACAAAGGGTAAGATGTTGATGATCAGCTATTGAAGGTTGTTCTCAAGCGGTTTTGGTCACATGTCTTCACTTAAGTCATGAGATGGCACTTCGGGAAGTGGGACAATACGCTTGGACGACACCTATGGTGAAAGATCCCAGAGGAAGTATGATGCGGATTATGAATGGTAAGTCTTTGGCTCATTCAATCAATAGTCCTTCTAACTAAATAGAATACACGAAACAAGTAGAAAATATAGCTCCTCAATCAGGCCTCAATGTCAGAGCTGTGAGTCAAACACAATGTTTTTAAAGTCGTTAAAATACTCAATCATCAGGCTCCCGATCCATCAAAGACGTCTATCCAACAACACTTACAAAAAGCTCGTTTGGCAGCAGGTCCGGATTCGTATGTCGCTGTTATATATTCTGGACATGGTATCCAAGAACCTCCAACAGAGGCAGGAGAGTTGTGGTGTTATGATAAGAGTTTTGAGGAATGTGTTAATGGTGGAGGACCTTCCGAGTAAGTTCAACGCTTGATTTTCGGACAATAAGACGCTAACGATGCCAATAGGTACATCCCCATTCTCTTGTTCGACTTACTCACTTGGGCCGGAGCTGCTTCCTGTTACGTATGGGATTGTGCTCATGCAGGTCGATTCGTTCGCGCCGCCTTAGTAGAGGCAGAAGAAATCGATTCTCAACTTCGTGCAGCAGCACTTCAAAATCCCACCGTAGCCGAACTTCATCCTGCCGTTTATTCCAAACGACAAATTCATTTCGCTGCTTGTGGAGCGGATCAAGTTATTCCTCGAATTCCTGGACTTCCTGATGATCTATTCACATCATGTCTCACCTCTCCTCTTCGAGTTGCTATCTTATATCACAACTTACGCACCTTCCCTTTGACCACGACTCGCACTCAGGAGGACAAGAAACGGGTTGAAAAATACTCTTCAAAATCCCCTGCATACATGGCTGTTTTATGGGAAAATCTCACTCAAGAGATTAAAGATCGACTTTGGTCAGAATTATCTGCTATTTTACACACCATAGCATGGCAAGCTTTAGAAGGAAAAGAATATCAAAAACTCTTTGCTCTAAGTGGTGATATCATTTCCAACCTCGCATGTGGTTTTCTTGTTGCTCAAAAAGTCCTTGGATCTTATCATGTTAATCCCGAAAGTATCCCCAGTATCCCCTCAACCACCTCGCATGCTTTATGGACGACGTGGGAATTGATCATGGACAACTTGTTCGAACAACTTCCCATGTGGTTTGACGAATCGACAGATAGCAGTTGGGTAGAATCTATCAGTTTGGTCAGTTTCATGCAAGATCAACTTGATTCAATATTGGGTTCTGATCAAAGTGCTCGTGAAGACCCCGATGAACATTATCCCACATTATCACGCTTACCCATCATCTGTCAAGCTGCTCTCACTGAACAATTCCGACATCGAGCCGCAACCGCCCTAGATGCCTGTTTACGTGGGTTGGACATAAAAGGTTTGGCTCTTGCCATTCAAGGAGGAGCGCTTGACACAGCTGCTCAATTATTGGCTTTGGACGATCCCTCAATCTCACGTGAGATGATATCCATCTGGGCAAGTCTGGTACGTCAAGATTCGGCAGTTCTCAGCTTGGCGAAAGAAGGGCTCACAGCAAATCGACTCACATCAGTACCATGTGTTAGGTTTTTCTTAGATAACCTCGATCGACATGTCAATTCATTCGATAATGATAGTATCACGACTACAATCCAAACCGCAGCCGTATTATCAACTATCGCAAATTTTGTCGCTGGTCGTAAAGCTCCTCTATTCACGGAACGTACTCTGAAAATGGCTGGCGTCATGGTGGGTCGTAATGAACCCCTCGTTCAACAATGGGGTGCTTTGTTATTGGCAGAGGTACTTGCTAGTATTCGAATCGATGAACAAGTGGATCATCATTTCGACACATTACGCGAACAACTTATCGATCTTATCGATAGTCGTGTGGTGGAAGTACGAGCATGTGCGGTATACGGTCTTTCAAGATTTATCGATGTGACACCAGTATCTGATATCCGTCAAATGAAAGGAGTACTCGATGTCACTAAACATCTTTTACGATATCCTCGAACTGTCGGTTCTCCTCTAGTTCGTAAAGAGTTAGTAAGATTATGGCATCGTGTTTTGAGGAAAGGTGGTCGTTGGACTTCAATCCTCCTTCTCATGTATTTTGTTCAACTCGCTTCCGAGTCAATACCTCAAAAAGTGACTGAATGTCAGGAAATTGCTAGAGATCTTTCCGAACAACTCGATCTCAAGAAGGAACAACATGACTTATTTTTCCCAATCAATAACATTTTCAAATGTCTTCATGTCATGTTACATGATCCTAATAATCAAGTATCTAGTATGGTAGCCACTTCTTTCAAAATCGTTTCAAATGAATTACGTTCACTTGTACGTGAGTCCCATTGGGCCAAATTGTACGATGCGGTATTCCCAGCTGTTCGTGGAGAGAACCTATGGACCGAAAATCAAATAGGAGTACTCAAACATCTCAAGGAAAGATTGATGCAAGTAAGGGACAAACCACCAATGCTCATTAAAAGTTTGGAAGGTTCAGGAAAAGGAGAATGGAATAGTGATTTATTCGAAAAGACGAAAATGTCTCTTCACGCTTACCTCGCCGTGAGTTTATCGTTCCAATGAATTTGAATCGAGCTGAGAAATAGACACAAATACCTCGTATGGTGGAAGAAGAAGATCCAGTTCCTGTGGTGAGATCGAGCGAGAGAACTTGGATACTCCGACATCGGGTATTGGAAGATTCATTGGTTGTCGCTGAACAACAGGGTGGGTGGTATATTGGTTCCCAAGGCCAATTGCTGATGGGTCAATCAGTCGGTTTACCATGGAAATGGAACATGAAAGAGATGAGCACACCAGATCCTTGGTCTTTCATTTGGTATCACAGCTTTAATTCAACGGTTTTGTCATGTAACGAGTCGCCTATCGTCATGTGAGTCATCCTTCCCCTCTCTACCCCCAGTTCCACACAATCTCTTCCTCTCCTACCCTACTGATAACGTTGATGATCTTTAAGAAGAAGAAGTGGGAAGGTTGGAACACGAACTGACTCACAGGTTATGGGACTGGTCAACAGCACGTAAAACAGGTCAAGTCAAACTCAAATCTCCAGCGGGAAGCAAAATCACTTCTGCCCGTTTCGTCAATGAATTACACGAACAAATGGTCGTTTTGGCCGAAATGAATACAGGGGATATTCATGTACTTGCTGGACCTTCACATGAACCATCTCAAATGAGTACCATATCTTCGTTCCTTGCTTTGGACGTACCGCGCACATCGCAAAATTTCAAATTGAGCGGTCATCGGCATTTACGTACCACTTGGTGGCGTCAGTCGGGTAAGTTGGCGGTAGCGGGAGCTAGTGAGGTTCTTAATGTATGGGATTGTCAAGGAGAACGCTGTGAAAGAGTGAGTTTCACTTAGCTCGTATTTGGACCTGGGTAAGGAAAAGGATATAGTATATTCACTGATTATCAGAGCTTACGGACTAATGCCACAGTGGCTTGCAAAACACTCATAACTGAACCGGTTTCAGGTAACATCCTCTTAGGAGGCTTTGCGGATGGTACTGTTCGATTGTTCGATTTACGACAACAGCGTAAGACACCGCTTCTGAGTTACTTGGGTGATACGAGTGAGGATAAGAGAGTCAGGAGCGGCAAGCGAATATATAAATTGGGCGTCAAGTTGGGGGAGAGTAAGCATATCACCACTGCAGGGTAAGTGTTCCTTTTTCCTGAACCGTCAATCCATAGATTCAATTCTTTGATTCAGGAGTGAGCAACGTAAAGTGGGTTGTAGTAGAGGAATGTAAATAGCCTGGCTGACAATCAGGGAGAATGGGATGATAAACATTCACGATTTGAGAATGCTCACTTCACCCACTTCTTCCATCCTCGCCCACGCAGATGGTATGGCATGGGCCTCCTACCAAGCTCATTCCGGTCTCATGTCCACTATCTCCTCTCTCAACCCTCCATCCGGATCTTCGAACCTACACTCCCATAGTCATTCACACGGAGAACACAGCGGGAGACCTCGAGTCAACTGGGGACTTTATCGCTCCACTTTGTCCAATTTGAGCACGGTGACAGAGGACGTCATTACGTTCGCCAATCAGCAAAGCGACGTGTTGGCACAGAATCAAGTACCATATACCGTTATTCATCCCTTGAGACCGTTTTTGGGTATTGGGTACGGACGTAGCTGTCTTTTGAGGGGATCAGGAGTTGGTAAAGGGGAGGACACGGATTCGGGCAGTTATTCGTTCTTGAAAGCGCAGGCCAGGTTTGTGGCCGATTGATTGGCTGTTTGGTACGTACCAACCACCCATACTAGATCTTGAGCTGGGTACCGGAAGATTTGTCCTGCACGGATTCACCTGTGTAGTTGTGAGTAATTAGACTCCGCTCAATGCTATTGATGCATGCAAGATGAACGTCTGATGCTACGTGTTCACAACACGCCCTGGCTATGACCATTAGCAACGTTCGTCCTCACAGTCTCCTCGCTCACCTGTAATATTGGAAAGTGTCGTACATCCTCGTATAATTACTCCCCGTAGAGCTCACGATTAGTCTTTCGAGATACGCATCCACGGCTTGTGTTGTCAAACCCAAAGCAAACCTCTCGCGGAAATGATGGGCCGTTTGCTCGCCGAACAATGCAAAGCAGTCAAGTTTGGAATCTATGGGATGAGCAACTGACTCTTCAACCGGTGATGGACATACCCTTTTGCATAAGCTCGACAATGGCTGTGGGTCAGCCTCAAGACCAGGGACCTGAATGATGACATACTGATCAAGCTGTCCGAATGCTTACGAGCGACTTCAAAGCCCTCCTTGAACAGTTTTCTGAAATACACGTATCCTGGGCTGTGCAAGCCACCCATGATCTCTACGTATTCCTGGCGGTCAGCTACAAAGAAATTGAGGCGCATGACTGACCAAGGGTAGTTTGAAAGGGGCAGCTTCAAAACCCATGTTTCCGCCTGGCGAGTTTGAGAGCATGAAACCGAAGTCAATATGTATCAGATGACCATCACGATCTACCAGGATGTTGCCGTTATGTCTGTCCTTGATTTGCAAGAGGTAGGTCACAACTGAATAACCTAGCGATCAATACTCTACTTATCATTGCGGTCGAGCTCGGGTGGTGGTGATAAGAGGGTGCAGGACATGTGTCACGCACCTGCAAGAGATTTGATGAAATTTCTCTGTGCTCGAGCAAATCTGCCGCTATCTGGCTTGCCATAAGTCTGCACAATCAGGGAGTGTCGTCGAAGCAATATTGACAACTCACATTGACAAAATGATCCATCAAGGAAACATGTCCCATGGGTCTACCCTCCGCAATCCGACGGGCATATTCTCCCTTCTTGATGGAATGGACAGATACCGCATCTGTGATGGTCTCGACTAGACCAGAAGATTCACCAGTAATCAAAATCCGGAAGCTTTCCTTAGCCCTGATACATTGACGCAAAAAGGATACTCACAATCGTACCCAACAATCGCATTTCTCTTCTTTCCAAATTTTGCCGAAACGTTCTATGAGCTGAGTAGCGAGTTGTTCTTGTCGCAAGTCGGTACCAGTCTTGACGATAACGGAAATGACCTATAGCTCTCAGCTCTAGTTGTTGAAAAAGACGTGCAGAGCTTACATCCCAATTAGCCAGATGACCCCACGGTGACGACGCCCGTATTCGAGTTTTCTTTGCTGTCCATGACTCTCTAAACACAGCCGCTGGAGAATATCAGCTCCATTACTTCAACATAGGAAGCACAAGCTGCTGCTTGCAACACAAATGGCATCTGGGTTGGGAAGCAGTACGTTTGCGAAGGTATCGGGAGATGAACTTACCAGAAGGATCAGCCTTGTTCAGCTCCCTCCTCACGATGCCCTCATCCTCTGCAGTCTGCCCGCCACTGGATTGTCCGCCCTCCAGACCGGTGGATTCCGTTTGGTCAGTCATCCGTGCCACTCTTTCTTCCTCAAGAGCCATCATCTCTTCCATGATTCTGTCCTTTATAGCTGCTGCCTGTGTCGCCGCAAGCTTGAGCTTCCCACCGGCACCAGTGACGCCCCCTCCATGAATTGTATCCGGATTGGCGGGCCCATGGGGACTGTTACTGGAGCCCATGATCCAGCCCGTTCCAGGGATCCATGAGAGTTTACCAGAGCCAGAGCTACCCTCTGGCATTGTAGCGACCTGAGACGCATTCAGCTGAGCAAGCATGACAGCCGCAGTCCGCATCCGCTCAGAATAGTCTTCCATGGTGAGCTGCCGCCGAGGAGTTGACACCCCTTCGGCGAAAGATGGGAGGTTGGGACTGGTCGGCATAGATCTACCTTGATCCGTGTCCAGATGACCATTGACTATCGGGGAAGACATGAGCGAGTTTGCCATGATGGGTTGATCATGATGATCATTATTCATGGATGTCCGTCTAGACGGTGTTGGAGGGGCGGGAAATGATGCGCGATCGCGATCCCATTGTGCCAAGTCGAGCTGTTTGTTCTTTGGCGCCGCGGGTAATGGGATTGATTCGGAGATATCAGGGAGCACATCTTTGACGGACAGCTGAGCGCCATACAATTGCTCGACCAAGTCCATTTCCTCCACTTCTTCGATCTTGGACTCTTTCCTTGACTCCGCCGACAATGGAGCAGGTCGTAAGGCTGGTCGTGGACCACTTTTGGGAGGTGTAGGACGGATTGCTTCTGGCATGGGGGCACCAAAGCCATCGGTAGGTCGTACGAGACCTGAATCCTGCTCCTTTTCTTTCTTTCTCCGCTTCATGTCCGCCTGCAATACGATCTTTTTCAATAATTCTCTGTTCTCTCGTCGACTCGGATCGAAATCCAGGTCACCTTCGAGGATTTCCACGTGCAGCAAGAAAGGGGCACGTTCTGCCGAGTTCAGCACCACCGAATCACCAGGCGATATCCGAACAACCCGAGAATGTGCACGTTTTCGAGAATTGCGTGGTCGATCGAGACGAGCTTTGAGGGGTGTTCCGGTTGACGTCTCCCCTCCCTCTTCGCAGCTGTGATCGGCTGCACACCACAAAGGCATGCATACCTGTTTTGATCAGCCTTACATCAGAACGACAACGTGGAACCCACCTCGGCAGGTAGATTGTGATTCAAACTGGTCAACTCGGCTCGTAAAGCACTGACTCGAGCTGGCTTTGGTACCACCAGCAAACGATTACTGATGTCTTCAAGGATGAGCAGAAATCGTACTTCGCTTCTGCAGTAGTGACTTCGTAACAACTGTCTCTGAGCGCCGAGACTGTACGTCGCCAGGAGTGTATCTGCGGTCGGTGCACGCTCGGAGGGGTGCAGTCTACGAAGGGCTGAGTGATGAGGCTTTGAGGAAGAGAAGTCTGGGACAGAGTAGAAAGGCTGATGAGTTTGTCGAGGGGGAGTGTTCGATCTGCTCGGGCCGGCGCTTTCGGGGACGTTTTGCGAGAAGGGATCTGTGTCTGTCGGAGGAGGCATGGGCGATCCCATGGGTGAAAAGGGAGGTGTTTGAACCTTAGAAGGCGGTGGAGAGTATAGGACCGGAGCGGTCGAAGCTGGATGTGGAAGTGTGAAAGATGAGGAGTTTGCTGGTGCAGTGGATGGCAGACGACCATGCAGGGATTCGGATCTAATCAAAGCAACCTGGCCTTTCCTCGGCGGACTGGGTGAGGCCGTTTTCTCTTCTTCGTCCGAACTGTGATCCTCCTCTACACTTGTCTTTTGAATTGTTGGCTTGGTCTCAACGGTGACATCCGCTCCGCCCTGCTGGTCGACCTCGACTCTAGCCCGTGATTCACCTGCGTCATCTCTAGGACGGCGACCTTGAATAACGGCCCACTTCCCAGCCATGTCCGTGAGACCAGGCATGGCGATTCCAGCTACGAGTGCACCCATACCCACCAAAGCAGGAGAGACATGAGGGTTCACCCTGACCGGAGGTCCGCGGACATCGTCAAGATGTTTGTTCTTCATGATGGAATTCATTGGGGAATCGAGAAGTGCAACGGTCGATGCGGGAGGAGAATGTGGGAGGGAACGATACGGAGAACGTGATGGCTCGGGAGGATCACCAAATATAATCTCATGACATCGATGTAGGACGCGTTGACATATGGCAAAAGGACGAGGGTTTGTAGTCCTAGTGGGAGTGAGATCACGCAAAGCAGCTTGCATGAACCAAAATGTCTGAGCGTCAGTCAAATGCGATAGTTGTCCAAAGATGACTTGCAAGCATTGCAGAGTGTGTACTCTCCTCGGCTCTTTCTAATACGAAGGCTTCGAGAGCGTTTGAGGAGGTGGGGTAAGTTAGTAAAAGATGACTGATATGTCAACGTGGTACCACAAATGTTCAGTGATGAAAAGTACACTGACCATATCTGAGGCCAATAGAATTCGACCTCTTCCGCAGGCATTGATTTCATCCTCCAGCATAGGTAGTGGGAGATCCCGATGGAATCAGGGTAGGTTTTGAGGTAATGCATGGCGACAGAGATTGAGAAAAAGGGAGAGAGAAAGAGACGAAGGCTTGAACGTTAGCAAGAATGTAGATGATGGCTGTCATAGCTCTCAAGATAGAACTCACAGGAGTGCGTGAGACATCGTGAATGATATTTTGACGTTTATGGTTCAAGCTGAGTAAGGAAGAAGGAGACGGGTGTTACCCAAGCCTACTAACGTCGGGTTGATGGTATACTGCCGTGGGTGGGGGACAAGGAGGCTTCCAAAGGTGCGCCCGTTCTTCCTAGCCGCACTCGGGTCACCATACGGCGTTGTCGCAGACGAGAGCTTGTTCACGGCATAAAAGGATACAGGGGACACGGGGGATGAGGAGAAGATAGATGGAGGAGGAGGTTAGTAAGAGGAAAGAATGCGAAAGGGGGATGAATAGAGAATGAAGGAAGGAGGGAAAAGAGGTTGCCAGTCGCGCTATGGAAGTAACTAACTTGAGTAGAAACTTGGTTGAGCATCAGCCTATGAACTATGGGCTATCATCCACCATGGGCCATACTTCAGTCTAAATGATCCAAACTTCAGCACTCATCTCCAGGCCATGCACCTCAGCTCTAGTTTGCCATCATATCTTATTCAAGAAAATGCTTAGTGAGGCTCATACAAACAGCCCGAGCAGCGTCATAGCCAAGATAGACTCTTTAGGGGTAGGTTGCTGCCCCACATGGCCATGAGAGTGACTTGGTCTAAATGCATACATACACGAATGATTTGGTGCTACGTCTAACGTCACAATGCCAATGGATGTTCTCGAGCTACTTCCTCTTCCTCTTCCTCTTCATCACCAATACCAAACGTAGCATGTGTGGCACCTTCACCGCTCAGCGAACTATCGCTATCGTCCAATTCGATCGGTCCTCTATTCCGCGCAGACCTCCTTCCTCTACCACCACCACCACCACCACCACCACCACCACCACCACCACCACCACCACCACCACCACCACCACCACTGCTCTTCGTCAGTCGAGCCTGAGGAAAGACTGATCCCAGGGGAGGCGACGACGACACTTGGTGAGCCGGATGGACAGGGGAAGGATCTTGGGGTGGATTATCGATGACGGGTATATCTTCCAATGCGTGCGTGGGTAAAGAATCTGTCGATGCATTGTTGGTGACAAAACTATGTGAAGCTGGCTTGAACATTCAGCTAAGACTTCATATTTATAGTCGGAAGGGAAAACTCACTCCATCATCCTCCATGGAAAGCCTGACGCCGCTTGGGGAAGGAAGTTTCGCTAGACTCTTCAGACTATGGTCATCAGTCATACCTAGCGACAGGGAGAAATAATCGACTGACCTAAAGTCGCCATCGTATCGCCGTCTTCTACGCCAATAAATATAGCCAGCACAAGCCAGCACAATGAGAGAAAGTGGAAACCAGTATGAATGGGGTGTCGGGGGACTGGAAGGATCATTAGGCGATGCTCCGTCCTCGGTCTGTTGTCGTCGAATCAGAAAAGGGGACATGACCGTCAGTCAAACGAGTGCCAGATATCTCTCTGCAAGGCCGGTGTAGGCCGATGAGAGGCTGAGATTGTGTCCAATGTCCCCAATTTGGTGAGCTGCGATTGAATAGAGAGAGGGAAGGAAGAAAGAAAGGAAGTGTGAGTTGGATGCTCCGTTGTGGCGCAAGTTGTGTGTGGCACTTTTGGCAGATTGGTTTGGGAGCAAGTCCTGACGCAGGGTCCTCGTACTCATACTTGTACAATACAGACAAATTGTGAGCACGTCTTACTTGACAAGTCGTTGCGATATCAATCGTCATATGTCCAAACGCATCAAGTGGAGGTGTCTCACTCTCCGAAACCGCCCCCTTTGTTCCCCAACTTCGTCATCCGTCGCCATAGGGAACGTAGCTGATCCCCAATCATGGAACGATTTTCTTAACTTTCCATTGTAGCCCCGTGTTGAGGTGACAAAGGTGCTACACTGACATGTCCCAGATCAGAGGTCAAATGAGGGCATCTAACGTCTTATGAAAGATATATAGCCCTTCTCAATGATCATGTTCTAGTAATCATTCATCTCTCTTCCACTCAACAACATACTTACAAGTACTGCCGTCTCCACACACCATCCTCAAGGATCTTAGCTTCATCAAAAAAGCAGGATCAATGAATCTATAACATGTCCAGTCTCATTTCGGAAGATCTGGAACCTTTCTATTGGAACAGGGATGGGCCTCTACATGATGCCGATTTCGAGAAGTTATCTGATGATGACGCACCTTTGATGTTGACCAATGAGTCGTGTGCAATGAGAGTCGATTGTACAGAAGAAAGAGAGCATCGACATTTCTTCATGTCCACTCAACAGGATGAGGAGTTATATTCACTCACCAAGATCTACGAAGGGGATCGAGGGGATGAAATGGCTTTCGAGTGTCAAACTTATGGAAAATGGCGATCAACCATCTATCCGGAACAAACAGCTCAAGGTCAAACTGAACGTTTACTCCTAAGTGAAGCTTTTGAGGGGTGCTTAACCCAAGAGCGTGTTGTTCCAATTAATCCACTATCTGCCCAACCGCAACTTTGGATATTCCCCAATGATAATATCGCATCCAAGAATAACTCAGGTATTGCCATACATGATCCTCCAGAAACTCTTCAACCTGAGTCAATGGCACCAGGTTTAGTACAAGCCTTAAATGCTCTGACTGGTGAGACAGACATAAGAAGTCGTAAAATCACTATGGAGGAATGGAGGACAGAAGGTGGGACTTTGCCTATGTTAGATCCTGATCAGAATGAACACCATTGGAAGGTGGTCGATTTGAAAGATTTGATTGAGACTGTCACACTTTCCGCTGACCGTTGAGTGACTGGTTGTACACGGTGTAGATTTCTCTGGAGGATCTTTGGAAAGGAGAGACTGAATGGGAGTATTGGAGGAAAGAGACGGATAATTGATCATGTACTTTGTACCCATTCTGTCACGGTGCAGAACCCTCGTACGCTTCTTACGACCGACGGCAAATGACTTTGTGAGTGACAATCTTCTTGGATCTCAAATCTTGGATGGAGTTTGAATCGATGAAGTTTGCAATGTAATAGCTTCTTATTGTACTAACTTTCTATTGCCAAGACTACAACTGTCACATGTCACAAAGTACTTATGACATCTGTCACCGGACAAAACCCTCGTATGCTTCCTACAACTGACGGCCGATAACTTCATGGGTGACAAGCTTCGTGGGACTCGATGTTCTGTCAGAGATATGAAATAGATACCTTCGTAGTTTAATAATTCCTTCGCACTCTAATGACTTCTACTACTAAGTCAACAACCGGAGATCATTGAAGATCCTTGGGAACTTAGGTCCTCAAGTATTTCATTCAACCCGAGTCACCGAGCTTCGTGCCAGACAAACTTTGTCCTTTAGCTAGCTTTGTGTCTAATTAACTTCCTGATATCCTAAGCTTGTACCTCTCTAACTTTGACCAATTCAAACATCCTACCTGATTAATGTGGTCCCTGGCAATGTTATTTTACTAATATCTTTGTAGGCGGTAAAATTCGTGTTAATTGGATCATTGCCGGCAACCGATGTCCGCAGGAACCTCTCTACTGCAGAGAAGAAAGTGATGTCAGGCGACGCCGAGTGACAACCGAGAGTTCAAGAGAACGGAGGAACCACAGCGAACACTGGCTGCATTTAAGGAAAGGAGATCTGCTGGTTCATCAAGACGTGGGGGAGCACAACGTTCAAGTAAGTCACCACCAAACAGTAGAAGCGTCTGTGTCATGACCGGGTAGCGAGCCCGCGATCATAAACCGTCCTAAAAGGCTCAATATCAACTCTGCTAGTGAGAGTTGATCTCGCTATAAGTACTGGTCGTGACACATTCCCCTCCTTCAGGGAAGCTGGCGTCTCGACAGCAGTACTTCTGAACCCCAAACCCCGGCAGGCCCCCCCCAAGCCTGTGGGTTTGCAAGTCAGGTACCCTCGGCAGGTATTCACGCTCTCGGAACTCGAACTAGGAACTAGGAATGTCGAATCCTCCGATTCGACCATGGGATGGTTGGCGACCCCAGACCAACCTCTCAGGATGAAACCTGAGCTCAGGGTGAAACCTGAGAAGGGGTGCTGACACCTGCAGCCAGCACACCCCACACATAAGGTGAGAGCCGTGAATCGAACGTCTGACCCGTTAGAGTTGATATTCTGTCATGACCGGGTAGCGAGCCCGCGATCATAAACCGTCCTAAAAGGCTCAATATCAACTCTGCTAGTGAGAGTTGATCTCGCTATAAGTACTGGTCGTGACAGTCTGACAGTCCTAGGAGTGGTTCCGGAGCGATCCACCATAATGGTGATGAATGTGGAGATGGGACAGGTACCGCATCTTTTTGATCCGGAGCTGTCATGATGATTTTGTAGTATTATAACTCCTGCCAGTGCTATGCAGTCAAAGATTATGCATGTCAAAGGTGATTTCCCACTTAATCAATACCTGCGGATGGAGTATGCAAAGTGATGTGGACCCGTGCAACGCCATCCCCCACAGGTCACAGGTAGCTTAGAGATAAAGGGGAAACGGTACGTTCTTGTAGGCCTGAACTGTGGGTTGTACTGGTGTGGGGTAGGTGGTGTGCTACACTCTTGGCAGAGTGGATTAAAGTGGTGACGGATGGTGCAAGCGCGCGGAATCGGTGTGGAGTAGTGCAGGTCATGCAAATGATACACTCCTCTCCCCCTAGCTGTGGCATCATCAGTCATCATATGCCCACATGTATCAGATCTCCGTCTGTGACATGCAAAACACATGCACCTTTGTCTAACATTTATTGTGAAACTGTGAAACCCGTCTGACTTCTAATGGTGGAACAACTTCTTCAGACTTCCCTTGTATCCCGAGTGGAGGTGATAAAGGTACTACAGCTTTGGCACAGATGTTGCGTCATGAATTAGAGGTCAGCAAGATGCTCGTGCAATATGGTGAAGGGTTTATAAATGACCTCAATAATGATGTGTTTGTCATTCTCCCTCATCTCTATCACTCTACATTGTACGTGCAAGTACTTCCAGATCCGCACATCATCATTGAGAAATTAGTTTGATCAATCAACAATATCCATATTCTGCATCATGGACCCCAGAGGTTTTCTTCTCTTTGGTGGTGTGATACTTGCCTTGGACGATGAGGTGAACAGCTCTGTTTTGACCAATCGTGACTTTGTAAATATTCCTGATGTTTACACCAGCTTGGTACTCACCAGTCGAGCATGTCAATCCAAAAAAAATTGTCGGGAAAATCAAGAACATCGAGATTTCTTCATGTGGGATCGAGGAGACAAGAACACTTACAGACTCATCAAAGTTACAGAAGGCGAGAAGTTAACATTTGAATGTCAATCCCTCAGCCCAACAGGCGTGACAGTTACAAAGAACAACCAAATTGGACAAGTAAGTCAAATAGTGATATCCAGTGAGGCATTCAATGACTGTCTTGATGATTTCTCTCCTTCCTGGGCACCACAACCCACTCCTTCTATTTGGACATTCCAAGAAGAGGACTTCACAATCAATCATAATTCACGGGTCACAACACCTTTCACCCCTATGCCTCTTCAGCTGGGATCGATGGCACCAGGTCTGGTCCAAGCTTTGAGTGTCTTGTCTGTTGGATGGGATCTGGAAGACTGTATGATCACCTTTGAGGGATGGAAAACAAATGACCAACTTCGCTCGACGTACAGTGCTGTTCATCATGGCCGACACTCAGAGCGGACCGATTTGACACAAGTGACTGAGACTGTCACACTTTCTGTCCAATGAGAGGGGATATAAAGATGTAGACTTTCCCGTAGGGTCTTTGGAAGGGAGAGACTGGGAGTATTGGGAGACAGAGATAGTAGTGATGGATTGATGCAAGATATGCCCAGTCACCATGTTGTCTTCAAGATCTTCCATGTAGATGACAGGATGATTTCTATTCTGCACCACATCCAACACGGCTGCCCATACGTGATACGGTGTATAGGAAGTCGTAAAGCTCTTATCTGATGTATGTATGTGACATTCAGCATGTTGAACCGGATGAAACTGTCACTTCGTTTCACCGGTTCAAAACGGGAAATTTCCGTGCGTACACAAAATGTGTAACGGGTTGACTAGAAGCAGACCTTGTAACATGTTGAACACATGTCATCTTGACTGGGGTGAATCAAGGGAACCATCTGCAATTGAATTGGATGAGATGGACACTTTGTAACAGATTGATGAGAGGGATCAAACAGCTGATCTTAGTGGTATCAGCTGAGTTTTCTTACTGTACTGGTACAAACATATCCCAGACAAAGGAATATACTGTACGGGATCCCCATGATTGTTTCACCCAGGTCAATTCCTACTTTCCTTTTCTCAAGTACAATTCCTAACATGAATCAACACTTGATACCGATCTCCACTGGGTAAAAATTCCCAAGACTAGACTTGCGACAAAGTGAATCGGAACGGTTGGAAGGGGAACAGTTCAAGGGGATTGAAGCACGTGTCAAGTTACTGTTTCTCTCTCCGTAAGCATATCATTTGTCAAATGTTGAACATGGTAGGAATGATATAAAATCCATGTTCAACAAGATGAAATACTACTCATCCTCACAAATCACTCTCATCACACAAATCACTTTCTTCACTCAACTCAAGAAGAACTGAGAAGTACTTACATTTACATATAGAACGAAACAAATCCCTGCCCACATACACAACAAAATACATTGATTAGGTACCATGGCTTCCCAACATGCTTTACCTGATGGTCTCACTAGGTTATCTTTCTTTGACGATGATGATTTTGAAATTGACACCAATGGGGAGAGTACACTTGTTCTCACAAATCAAGCATGTTCCACCTTACTTGGTTGTCAAGAATCTCTTCCTCACGTTCATTATCTAGGTCATGAGCATGATAACCCACAACCGATTTATAGTCTTTTAGCTCATACATACTCTGGAGGAATTACTCTATCAGGTCATGTACTCAATTTATCTTCTAATGGACCTCCTTCCATCCGACCTACAAATGCAACAGTTCAACAATCCAATCCAATTTCGATCCATAGTGATGCTTTCACCGGAACTTTCGATAGTCTTAGCCATCAACGTGCGGGATACAATGCATTTAACGGTGCTACACAACCGTCATTATGGGAATTTGGACCGGGAGAATATCAAGATCATGGTCTTGTACGTATGGGTACTCACGAAAGACCTATTACCATAACCAACCCTCAACAACCTAATGGTCACTTGGAGGCAATGCACTTCTTAGCTACCAGTGTTACCGAAGGAGTTCCGTACTCTTTAGGTTTTATGGGATGGAGGAATGAAGAATTAGAAAATTCGATGACTCGTCTCGAACCGGGTGAGATTCATTATGAAAATACTGAAAACCAGATTTTGGTTGCTGTTTTACCCATCAACTGGGAGGATGAAGGTGGATTGGAAGATGTTCCTCTGACTAATGGGTACTGGTCATCCAGTCCTACTCAGGCGGAGGACGAGAGTTCTACTCAGGTAGAGGATGAGAATTAGATGTCAGCTTTTCCACATGAAGAGTAAACATGATGATGTTGGAGGAATGGTTTTCGAGATGGTAGGAATCATAATTAGGGGTCAACAGGATTGAGTAGACGCGATGCCAGAACGATGAGATGAAATTTACTGAAATCATCAATAACGTCTCTGACATGAACATGGGTGACATCGAAGGAGTGATTCAATATGACGATGCAGACAACGAGGTGAGATTCGTGGTTTAGGACACACGTTTGGCGAGAAGTCATCTGCAGGACACACCTATCGAAAATCGAGAGACTCTTGTCGTCTCTGCGAGGAATCAGATACATTTGAGTCGACGAATTTGACGACTGACGGCTGGAAAATGAGGAATGAGGAATGTAATCCTTTGGGATGATGAATCACTTGACAGAGCTGTCATTTGTTAGTGCGTGAGCATTTTCAGTAGAGCTGACCTCTGAGCAAGTGACACACAGGATGAGTATATCATATGTGTAGATGATCATATTGGCTTACGGATATAGTACAATGGTCATTTAAAACCCATACCACTTCAAATGACTTTCTTTCGTAAGCTGTTATAATGCTTTCCCATCAGCGATCTCCTTTACCATGAAGTTACAAGACGTACCTCTCCTAATCCATACATTCGTTTATGATAGCTTATCCTCACCACACGATCTCCTGCTGCTGCTGATTGTTCCGCTGTCATTGCTCCTCCGAACGTATCACCCGGTCCTCCGTGAGAGACAACGGTTGGCGGTCCTCTTTGTATTACGTGAATGGGGATGTTGAATGCTCTGGTCAAAGCTTGGATCTGAGATTAGTCAATTGAGTGAAAACGACACGATGTCCATCCTCTTGACATCTTATCCTCGTAATCGTCAATGAGGATGAGGAGCCGATGAGAATTTGTCACGCCACGACAAGATCAGCAGCTTGGTCAATGAAAGAGGGACGATGGAATGTGAGAATATAGAAGGATAATCAGAAAGTGACTGTTTTGACTCACCTCTGGCTCCCCACCCCATTCTCCAGTCTCAGCAACAAGTTTACAATATTTCCTAAAATCTTTTTCGGTGATAACCCCATCATCAGTCGCTCCAACCGCATCTTCACCATTGATACCAGGTACGAAAGGCATGAAATCGTCTTTATGAGCTAGCATATATTCTGATGCTTTCCGTCGAGTGTAAAGAGGGTTTGTAGCTTGATGAGCTGCAATGAGACCTAGTTGGTAGAGTTGGTCTCCGATGGCATTGAACATGCAATGACCATCAGGAGGTATCTGTTGGTGAGCTGGATGATCGGCTGTCCAATCACTGAAAGGCATGAACAGAGGGTGAAATAGATTGGAAAGTGGAATACTTCATCTTCTCATAATAGCCATTCAGAAAAGGCGAAAGAGTTCGTTGATGGCAGTGGAGTATTACGCCCGAAGAAGAATTCAAAGGAAGGAGGGCTAAGCGAAGCAAAGGGCAAACTGACCTCGTATAGCTCTCTCCCTAAAACCTCACAGGCGTCCGAAATCACTTGAATCTCTTCTTGTCTCTCTTTTTCTAACTGAGCACTCCAATTTGGGTCTACTGGTGGTGCAACGGCTAAAAGAGCTTCCTGTTTTCTTGCCTTGATGTTAGCGTCTTCACAATATATAACCCTGACTTATTCCCCAATTCCTCCTGCATTCCTCTGATTTTTCAGACATGCAGACACCCCTACACCCTCAGAGACTGACAGTCGACTGCACTATTGCACATTTTCATGGGAAACTATCACCGAGATGGATATCCGACTATGCTGTCATTGAGAGAAGGAAAAAGGAATGTGTGTCATGTCAAACGACTTCGGTCAAAGAAGTTAGGTAAATAAGACAATTCACTGATCACTCACTTGTCTTTCTGCAAATCTTTGTTTACTACTTTTCTTTTTCCCTTTCCCTTCTCCTCCTCCAACACTGACCATATCTCCATAACTTATATTCGATCCAGTCCCCATTCCTATTCCTACCCCATTATCAACGCCCCCGGTCTGAACACCCGCAGGATTCACAGGTACAGCAGTTCCACTTCCATAAGGTGGGGGAGGAATTTGATTTTGTCCTATTCGAACCAAATTGGGATTCACAGGAATATATCCGTTCATTTGATCAGACTTTTGATATTCTTGATGTTTTTTATTACTTAAAGCTGTAGAAAGAGAAGAAAGTGAAAGTGAAAAACGTTTATCTTTATCTTCCTTTATCCCTGACGTTAATCTGGGTGGCGGTGCCCCACTTTCTTCTTTCTCTTCTAAAGCTTTATTCAACTTTACGTCCGTCATGTAAGTCTTTCTATTGGTGATGATCTCCCCTGAACATTTCCCGGCCATCTCTTCATCTATATGTGGATTGGATGTTCTGGTACTTTCCGGTGATCTGTCAAGAGGGTCGGAATTTGAGCTTTCCGTACTAGCACTGATCGAAGTGGTTTTGGTGATGTGTTCCATTGAAGAAAATGTGGATGATCCTACATTAGGAGAAGAAGGTAGAGAAGAATCATCTTCGATTGAGATAGGGGAAATGGAAGGTTGAGCTGGGTTGTATGGGATAGAAGGACTGGTGGAGAGATAATCAATGGAAGAAGTGATAGATTGAGAATCTCGAAGGTCACGTAGAGAAGGGACAGAAGTGGTTGATGTTGATGTTGGTGATGGAGAAGTTGGAGAGGTAATAGGGGATGTTAATGGTGAGAGAAGTGATTTCAAAGATCGATGTTTCTTTGTCATTTCTTTTCTCTTATGACTTCGTGTCAGCAAAACTTGAAAGATAGGTTTTTTTTATGACGGCTGAGTGGGTCAGGAGGGAACAAAGAAGATACTATGAAATCATTTGAGATTGTATGTTGGGTGGGTTTTATATGTCTGGAATGAGGAAGGAGAATAGAATATACATAGAGCGTCATTGATATTCCTTCGCAAGAGACTGTCACACAGGGAAACCTCATCAAGCTGTCGTATCGTCATGGTGGAATGTTCCTCTCCTGCCAAGCCCATAATTCGGTAACCAAAACGAGGTACAAACTTAAATCCCTTACAATCCGCCTAGACTCGGTCTTCGGCGGTCGACCACTCCACATTCCAGCTTGAGTCATGTGTGTTCATAGCATCAGAGAATCAAAGACGGTCCACATGTAGAAGGCAGCGCGGACATAATGGGCACAAGAGATCATGTAATATCCTATAAGTTACAGCTCATGTCCATCTACCTCATATCCATCATTTCCCCTCTAACCCGGGTTCTTCTCTTCCTCCCCCTTCCTAAAACCATTTTACTCCACAACGCTCCTCATCTCGACAAAGAACTCATTGACCAAATCTGAAACGTTCACGTTGCTGGAGAAAATATGTATGTCGAGAGTGGCAACTAAAAGAAGAGATAGGTCATGACGAAAACCCCTACCACAAGGGCAGCTACGACCTCCACCGGAACTCCTTGTGTTCCGACATTTTGCACAACGTCTTTCGCTTTTTCCACAGCAGTCTCCACACTCGTACCGTTGGTCGGGGCGGGTCCACCGCGTCTGCGCAAACCAGTGACTTGAGGACCTTGTGCTTCGGCGAGTTGAGCACGAAGAGAGTCGAGTTCTTTGAGAGCGATGGAGAGTTTTTCGCTATCGGATTGTGTGGCTGCGAGACCTTGTTCGAGTGCGATGTTGGTAGGAGATGCACCGACGGCAATGACGTCCCCCGGACCGAGGACTGGAATGGGTTTCTCGGGAGTATGAACACCGTTAGCGGGGGAAGTGGGAACGACGGGGGAATGATCGCCGTTGATCCGTGTAGCGACGGGAGAAGATTCGGCAGCGGCGTACATGTGCTAGAACAAAATCAGCCTCAAGTCCAGGAAGGGATATTGTGAACAGGGAATTTATATGTCATACACAAGAACAATTGCAATTGCGAAAAAAGAGAAAGGGGCAAGTAGAAAGAACGAACAGAACGCGCGGGGGTATATGGAGCGGGAGTTGGCTCCCAAGTGGAGTAACCTCCGTTACGGAAGAGCTTGGGGTCGTACTCCTTCTCAGACGCGTAGTTCAACGGCTCATACCATCACGAAGATCATTCTGCGAAGCCGACATGAAGTAGCGCTGGATGTGGGACGATGGGTTGGGAGGACACGACCAAAATAGAGAAAGAGAGCGTTAGACAATTCACACAAGAGCACCTCCGAGAGCACACAGTTGGGTGAACCTAGGAAATCCGACAGGGAGAGTAGGAAAGAGGACAAGTGAGAAGGAGAGCGGAGCGGCAATTGAGAGACACATACAGACTCGTCCATCAAACGGCTTTGCTCCAATTCAGCCTCCTGCTCCTCCGGGATACCGTTGACATTCCCACTACCATCTTCAGGTGGTAAGTAAGCCACCTTGATCTTGTGTTCGGATATTGCGCTCTTGTTTGCCCTCTCGACATTCATCCACTGCCCGTTAGCCTATCTCACCCAGAATCATCTTTACTACTCATCACTCAAGTGGCTGATAAATCAAGGAATTGAAAAGAAGCAACTCGACAACACTCACCATTTCCGCCAAAGAGTGCATTTCCGAATCTGGTGCAATGTACGCAGACTGGACTAGAAACTTGTCTTTGCATTTCGCATGAGGAGGCGGCTCGACGGGAAGTGGTTGAAGTAAGACTGTTAGTCAGCGTGCAAACACTATGAACCATCGCCACCCTGAACAAGAGACCGGTCTGATCAGCCAATCCTGACCAAGTCCCCTTTCTATCTTCTTCTCACATCTGATCCCACGCTTGTTGATAATCGTGCACCTGACGCGAAAAAAGTGCAGCGTACAGTACAGAGGGCTTAGACGAGAAAAGGGTGACTCACCTTGAACCTCCACGTTCTCACCAGGTTCAATCCGTCCACTATTGGGTCTCACACAATACTGTTTAGGAGCTGTGGTCTTGACTTTAAAAGCGACAGGGGCGGAATGAGGATTATGAAGAAGAATGGATCGTTTGACGGTAGTGGTCAGAGGGCCTACTGGTGAGCGAAGTCTCATATACGTCCGGTCAACCCGGCATTCCTTCCACCATCATTCATCTCCCTCATGTCAAGATACGAGGATCCAACATATCCCTCCTCCTTGTCCTCATACAGAAATACCACGCAAGAAATGACGATGCGAAGCTCCATGATCATGAGATTGGACGAATATCCAGTGATGTGGAGTGAAAACACGAGGCAATGAGAACTTACGTGGGAAACCCAATTGGTTCGCAGGTGAGATCTCTACCGACATGGTTGTCTGATTACTCTCTCTATCTCTCTGTATTCCTCAATTTGTCGTCTCTTGAGAGAAGTGTGGGTACAGTGATCGGAATGAAGTGAGTATCGAATATGAAGCTGGGTTGAACGAAGCTTCCCTGACACGCGAATAGGGGTCCTTTACCCTTCCAGAGTACGTGTTTAAGTCACTTTACTTGCTCCAGAGTTCGACTTGAAGAGGATACTTGTGGACGGAGAAGTGTTATGCTGGTTTGATGGTTTACGGAGCGAACGATGATATAGAAAAGATGAGATGAAGTGAAGGGAGAGGACAATTGAGTGGAAAGAGGAAGAAGACAGGCGCAAAGTGGGCAGTGGAGAACGAGGACAAATGACGTCGTGAGTGCCACGTTCAAATCAGGACAATAACCCCGGTCATGCACCAAAGTATGACCCTTATAACGCCGGTCTCCCCCTGAAAGATGATCCACTTTCCATGTTCATTTTGACACTAAGTACTTTTGGCTTTTGTGCGGGATAGGACGCTTATAGGATTAGTAAGATAATCGAGCAATCTACAGTAGTGAGTACAATGTCTCTTTTCACGCGGACATGATGATCCAAGTCTTTCATTGTCATCCTTAATCTTACCCCTATGGGGAGAAGAAGACAACATAGGGCTCCTCAAAAGAGGATCTGATCCGATTTCAAATCTTGATGGCTCATGCTGACTTTAGCAGTCATCTCCAGGTATTGTCTATACAATGCAGTCATTGCCCCCATGAGGTTCGGAAAAGTACAACACTCGTTCATCAAACACGCATCTACTGAACTGCACTCAAATGACCAATCAACTCATTTCTGTCTCTTGACGTATCCGTCTAATGTCCCATCTCCCTCTCTTTCTCTCTTCAACCTTCCTTTCTCTTCGTCTCTCTCTTTTTCACTCTTCACCATACTCGCCCCTGATTTCTCATGCAACTCTTTCAACCGCTTGTCAGCTTCTCCACTCAACACTTCAGGATCTGCTCCGCGGAATCCCAATTGATAAGCGTTTTTGATTCGTGCTAAACAACGATCCTTTTCTGCCCGTTCATCTAGAATCGGAAGGGGATAATCTTGACCGATGACACAACCGGCGGCTTCTTGCACCGACAAAGGGGCCGTATGTGGTGCGTAAATGTACTGTGATCAATCATCCCTCCCACTAATGTTTGGTCGTCACCATATGCGGGGATTATGGGGGATGTCATGGCACCAGAGAATGACCCACTTTGTCAGGAAACTTTTCCAGTTCGGGACCTACCGTCAATATTATTCTAATCTAAACACTCACAATACTTCCTCACCAAAGCACCAGTCTTGTCTGTCTTCTGCGGCCAGCTCACCAAGCCGTACACACGATCTATCACATTAACCTCGAAATTGTACGATATCATGACGCTAACAGTATTGGGAGAAGAAAGCTGAACAGCTGAGCCACATCCAATTCCCCGGCTACTCGTCAGCTTTTGGCTACAAACAGAAAATCACAAGCTCACATTTGAGGCGGGATCCCAATCTATCAACCATTCTGTCGATTAGCTTGATTCTTCAGAAGTCTCCTGGTCAAGAAACCGACGGAGATCTGAAGAAGGAAAGACGGCGAAAAACGACGAGTAGAGATGGACCAGAAGTGAGTCAACTTACCATCAAAAACCTCCATACCCCGTTCCCACGAGATGTAACATTGCCCTCGGGTTAAGAAACACGCTACGCTATGTCGCGCCAAGTGATGTATCCAGCCTTCGGATTTTAATTGGCGCATACAAGCGTCTATCCAACTAACAAGTCAGTTATTCGTTCTGCTGAGTAAACGTACAAGAAGGAAAGGCGGGAAACGTACGGGAATCCTGTACAACCTTCTCGCCAAGCTTCAAATCTTCTCTCATCCTCTTCTTTCCCTCTAGGACGCGGTAAGATCTCCCTGCCTTGTTCATCGTATTGATTCTGTAATCCCCAATCGATGTACCTATCTGATAAGCTTGGACACGCCATAAAGTGACACTTACCGACATACAGAGTTACCGCGTATACGTTCGAAATGGGGTTGAAGAGCTTCAGCACATGCGTACATATCTCTAAATTCGAGCTTCAGGTCAGTTCCAGCGGTCTCGAGATGTCAACCGGACACAATCATCCCCATATGGCGCCCACATCGCAACCACCAACAAGTACCCGATCAACTTGATGACAAAAGGTCAGGAAATCAGAAGAAGTCCATAAACCCACCTGCCCAAACATATTCTCTGGCTCCTTAGTCTTTTCACCCTTATACGCCTCAACGACCCTCTTACATCCCCACCATATCTCCCTCACGCCCACACAACCGAATTTGAGGTAAGGCGAAAGCAATGTCGTACTCGGTTCCAATGCCGTAGGCGCGGTATGAGGTTTCGAGAAGGTGGCCACTGCTTGGGGATGAGAGAGGAAGGTGTTTAGTCGAAGATGAGCTTGAGTGGTCCCCCCTCGAATGGAAGTTGTGGATGGTGGATAACCCATCTGAGAGAGAGTAGGTACGGAGAAATCTCCTTCGGGACCAGTGAAGTGATCTTTGGTCAGTACGTCTCCTCACGTTTCCCTTGTTTCTTCGCTCCGGCTGGTAATCCTCAATATTCTACCAACGAGTGCCAACTATCTCGAAGAACGGAGGGAGGAATTTACCGAAACAAGTGTCTTTGCCAGTCCTAAGATGAGCGTTCAAATCCACTTTATCCCATTTGTACACCTTCCTGCTATACCTCAAAGTTGTCTCCCCTGGATCTGGAAGTATCGTAGGTGTTAAACTAGGTTGTTCCACTTTTCCTATTTTCTTGGTAATCTATTCGTCAACCCTTTATCCCTTATCCTCTCCTTTCTCTTCTATCAACCGATATTTGTAACATCCATCATCTCAAATATGACCTGCGGTAAATCTTTGACTCAACTCACATTTTGCCATTGTTGTAAAGTCATGGTAGGTTTCCCTCCATTCATTCTCCCCACTAAATCAGGATCAAACAAATGTCTTCCTGGTACATCCACCACCACCACACCTTTCTCTTTCGCCAACCTTTTTATACACTCATCCCTAATTTTAGCATAAGCATTGGCATCTTTCTCCCAAACAATATGAGTTATCCCCCATTCTCGCCATAAAACAGGTAAAACTTCTTCTGGTGAACCTCTACAAACATGTAATTTTTGCCTCGGGTTAAGAGAGGTGAGTTGATCGGATAAGTCTTTCATGCTTTCAAGTAAGAAAGACCAACGATTCAGTCCGACTCTATGACCGTAAATGTAAGATGGATCCCAACACCATATCGGGTAGAAGGCGTTCATGTCGGGTAAAGAGAGAGCGGTGGTGAGAGCTGGGGAATCGGTGATTCGGAGATCTGTTCGGAACCAATAGAGTATTCGAGACGGTTTCGACATGATCTTTAACACTACTCTGGATACTTTCAAAGATGATGGAGAAGCCGGTTGAGAAGATGTGCAGGAGACTATGAAGTTTTCAAGTCGATTAGGATGTCAAGATGTTAAGGTGATCATGGGTGTATTGGTATATACAATGTTTCCATGTATTGTACTTACCGATGGGAGACTGGGAAAGAAAGACAAATGGACAGGATGTTAATCCCTTCGATCTTCGATCTCGACATTCAGGGTGTTATCTAATCTGTTGACGTCATTCCTTCACATCAGTTAAATCACATCTATGTCGTTAGTCTCCTTGATTCCCTCAATCCGTCTTTCGTCCAGAGCAGTCCTTATCAATACAACATAACAACAATCTTCCTGATATGTATACGTGATCAAACATGCCAAGAAAGAGGAACGAGCTGAAGGAATGGGTACAGTATGAGTAACAAGTTTTGAAAATTTTGACTCCTCTCTCCACTCTCCTCGGCCGACGGACGGACGTCTTTCGCCCGAGTGATCATGCTGAAACCTCCTCCATTACCTTGGACCATGTAGTGGATATACAATTAAAGCAAGAGCTATGAAAGACCAGGATATTCGGGTCAAGAGAAAGACCGTGTCTTTTGGTCGCTCGTGGCGTAGGCACATGGCACATGGCACACAGCAAGGGGGCCGGGGAGACTCGAGACGGGACGGACGAGCATTTCCTTTATTACCAAAACACTAGAAACGCTAGATCCGAAACTAACGTGAAGGCCGTGCGGGCATGTTCAAACACCGGGGATCGGGGACCTCACCGCTGCTATCGACGATGTGGATTATACATCCTTGGCAGCTAGGCAGCTAGCAACTCTTGTGGTCGGTCTGTGGTCTGTGGTCTGTGGGATATGGAAATGGTCTGATGTTGCAAAGTTTGAAGATGTCTGAAATGGCCCTCGGTTGAACTAACTTCTCCAATACTTCTGAGTACTTATGATTCCTCATATGGAACAATCACAGTATAACAGCTGGATGTTGCAACGTATACCGGTAGAAAACCAAGTAATACATATGTGTTTCGCTACGACCTGGAAGGCTCAATGTATCAATCTTCAATGACGAACACATACCTGTAGTACCCCCGGTCCCCCGAATAACGGATGGAGCTATCGATCATCTTCGAACATATATAAACACTCGTAACGTCTCCGAACCACATCTTCATGTTGAAACGTATCGACTCACGATGCGACATTTTGGTCGTGGGGCTGGGGAAGGGAGGGGGGGAACAAACCACTTTAACTCCTGTGGCTTTTCCCCCTCCCCCTAACCATCTTCACAGACTCATTTTCTGATGACTGTCAATGATGATCAATCACGTTTGGCCTTGTACCCGTGATCAGTCATGTTTGGTAATGGATTCAATTATGCATCATGAATCATGATTCATGATTCACTTTCTCCGTCTCGGGGTGACTCGCTTTTTCGTTTTACTTACACTCGGACTCTACTTTGGTAGTGTAAGGATAGAGTGACGCATGAGCAGGATAACATTTTCCGGTTTGACCGACCATCGGACCATCGGACTCGACGATAGAATTTGTCAACCATACACTTTTCTGCTTTTATCCCTTTGACTGTTGACTTTTTCACTTAGTCCACATATCGAGACTCGTCTTTCATCTTGTTCATTCCTGAATTCCGACCTTGTTAGAGATCATATCGTTTGGTCGCATACTTGCCAGAGGATAGATTGCGTTGAGTGTGAGAAGGGTTTGTATTGTGAAAGGTTTGAATAGAGAGGGGTCGTCATTATACGGCTTAAAATACCTCGTGTATCCATGTCCCGAAATCGACCAAGATCACCAGCACCGGCTTATAGGTATTCTCCTGTACATATAGCTTGTGTTCAATATGATGTTAAAGTGGGTCATTTCATCCTCCTTGTATTACTCCACCCTTTGACATGCTCCCTTCTCATCCTGGTCTCCATACCATTCGTCCTCCTACCTCGTCCATCGATCCTCTCTACTCACAGAGTATCCCGATTATCTTGACTTACATCCGCCTTCCTGAATGTCATATCTGGCAAGTTCCCTGTCACATTACTAAATCTTCATGACACGTTCATTGTCATTCATAAGTAAAGTTGAGTTGACTTCGTAGCTCGGTCAAGTAAAAGAAAACTCTTCCAAAGTAGAATTCTTAACATCCTCGTAAGTCCTCCCCACATTCCATATCAAACCTCAACTCATCCTTAGAATCCGACCAGGTTCATTAGATCTTCTCGTCCTACCTGAAATGTGTTTATCAGGATACATCTTCCCGAACCCTTCTTCCATCTTACCTTATCTCGAAATACAAGGTACAGGACCAACTTCCACCTTGGCTAAATCTCTGGCAAGACGATTGAAATGTTATGTCATTGCTGGTTACCCGGAAGCACTTCCTACCACATCCGTCCCCACATCTCAATTTTCGATCTCTAAGCTGGAGACACCGAGTGGGTCGAAACGACCTGGGGAAAGGCACATCGAGGGGTTGAACACGGATGTAGGTCGGGGAACAGAGGGAATGGTCAGTCAGAGAGATGGTGAAGAGAGTGAAAAGGAGGTAGAGGAAGATGAAGGAGTTGGGTATAATTCAGCCATGGTCGTTAGTCCGTCTGGAGAGGTAGTAGGGAATTACAGGAAGACTTTCAGATTTGATACGGATAAGAATTGGGCTAGGGAAGGTGAGTTGTCTATGATCTGCTTCTTTATGAACTTCTCACATTCCATACCCGAGTCTTGAAAATGGAGGCTCAGAGAATGTTGGTCGACTGGAGATGCTTTTGGAGGAGTATTGGTGAAGTGTAGGCTGTGTATGATTATCGGCTAAACGTTGATACTCGAGCGGCGGAGAGAGGATCGGGGGCATCGACTCCATTGAAATCTGTCGTAATACTCATACGTAGGCGACGGGTTCCGATATTTCGACCTCCCCGAACCGTTGGGAAGAGTCGCGATAGGGATATGTATGGGTAAGTTTCTGCCTTCTTTCTCTCTCTCCAGCTGATGAACAGATATGAACCCGAGAGATTTCATTGGTGATTCTTCTTTTCTCTCTTCATATTGGTGAACGCCTGCTCATGTGATAGCTCCTTGGGACGCATACGAACTGGCTACTTTTTGTCGAGATAACAAAGTAGATATGCTTGTCGTTCCGTAAGTCTTTTGTCTTCACTTACATCACTCTTTTGTGCCTTTTGCCTCATACGACCGCAATTGACGTTTTCAGGATTGAAATATTAGAATTGAAATTGACAACAGTAGAATGAACTGGCTTGATCCCGAACCACCAGCAGATACACCTCCAGAAGATTATCCCATTCAAAACCCTGATGAACCTTCGAAACATAATATCAATTATTGGCTCGCTCGACTCAACCCGTTACACGATCCTTCTCCAGGGTATGAAGCCGGACCAATCGTACCTGGAGAAGGAAAAGAGGTCATTTTCGTAGCTTGTAATCGAGTGGGCGAGGAAAAGGGTAAGTTTTCACATCTTTTTATCCTACTCTCCCACCATCATTTCCTTGATAATAATGATGTCCACGGATTCTTTCTTTTCTCGTCAATGCACCCAGATATGAAGAGAGGGGGGAGGGGAGAAGGCTTATGGACATCTTAAGTAGACCTCATGGCTCACTCGCAGGAACAAAATTCGTCGGGACAAGTTGCATCATGACTCTGTCCACTTCTCCCAGTCGAGTCGAATTGGTCGAATGTTGTAACGCATCTGAAGAAAGGGTTATGATAGCTAGCATACCATGATCATTATACGTAGTACATATGTCATTTTCATACATTTTACATGCATCCCATATGGGCTTAGAAATCCTGAGCAATTAGCGGTTCTCTTTCTTCAACATCTCATTTAGACAGTTGAAGAGTGATGAAGAAAGATTCAGAAACCCACAGTAACTCGTCCAGCATAAGACCAATCATTATCCCCACTTTTGAACGGATCAACTTTAGGTCCACCCCTTTCCCCAGTTTTAGGATTTTCTTCACCTTGAAAATCTGGTTTTGGACCTCTTCTCAAATCTCTATGTTCTTCAAGTTCGTTCTTCCCATCTGAAACAGAAGAAGTTTCTGTGATAGCTGAGGTAGAAGAAATTTCAGTGATAGAGGGAGTAGCACCGATAGAAGAGTTTATCTTGAGAAGTCGATCGAATTCCGCTTGATCCGCTGGTGGTAAAGGTGGTGGACCAGGACGAGAGAAAGAACGAGATGTGAGAGTGATGAGGGATGTGGAAATTGTTCTCGAGGTTATTGATCTGATTGGGGATGGAAGGTTTTTCCGGGAGAAAATTACGATACGATTGAACATCTTGGAAGAGTTTGTTACCTAATCTTCGAATTCCGACCTCTGAGACTTAGTAATTTATGGCTGAGAGCCTCAGGTGGTTATAGGTGCTATGTAGGTGCTAGGTGCTCAAGGTTGATGTTGTGACTGGAAGAGAGATGAGATCTCAGAAGGAATATTTGGCAGGTCGGAAACGATCGGGCTATGTACTTGCGGCCATGTCCGAAATGTGGAGCTCCTCAAATCACGTCGCGTCAATTTCGTCGCTGCTCTTCACTCTTTTTGACAACTGTTCTTGGTTTACAAACTGCATCATACACATATCCTCAACATTTTATCTTCAAGATTGCTCGGTTTCCCGCACTTGTCTCACACTGGTCGATATCTACTCTTCAGTCGGACCCGTCTGATCATGCCCAGAGTATCAAAACCGAAAAGAGAAAGATCCTCTAGTAGTAGTCTATCCTCATTGTCTGATACCAATGTCAAAGCCAAAGTCGACCCCCTTCCCTATCCAAGTAAATCTGTTTCTCCCCCTTCAAAACTTCGTAAGAAACTTAAACAAGAACCCTCCAATGGACACCCATCAAAGAATGGTGTAGACGAAATGGAGATAAAGAAAAAAGAACCTAGAAAAAAGAAGGAAAAACCTTGGCCTCCTATAGATCTTCAAACGGATTTACATCCTCCTCGATATGGTCATCCCCCATATGACTTTGGAACTGGTATCATACCTTCCAAACCTATCTCTTTAGGTGCTCATGTTAGTATAGCCGGAGGACCCGCAGGAGCTTTGTTAAGAGCTGGATTGGCGGGTGCGAATGGTTTGGGAATGTTCGTAAAGAGTCAACGACAATGGAAAAGTAATCCGTATGAGGAAGAGACGGTAAAGAGGTTTAAAGAGCTGTTGAGGACTAATGAGGAGGGAGGTGGGTTCATGATCTATATTTATTCACTCATCTCGCACTTGAGACTTAGTCGGAAATTTGAATCTTCGGGAAATGTGATATGAGATAGGGATGAGATCATATGATTATTGATCAGCACGAGCCTCAAAAGCTGACCCATAGGTCTAGGATATGGACATCAGGACGTTCTCGTTCATGGGAGTTACCTCATCAACTTAGGTAATCCAGACCCGTCAGTCTCTTTCTTTGATTTTCACCTTTTATTTGCCCTTCTCTGGTGATTGCAGGCAGTTCTGACCGCCAGAGAAAAATGGAAAACGTCATATGAATGTTTCAAGGATGATATATCCCGATGTCATCAGCTCGGTCTGAGGTTGTACAACTGGCAGTGAGTCAGTCACCTTTTTCCCCTCGTTAGCCTGTGCAGTCATGTGTGAGAACTGACAAGAAAAGTCCCGGCTCAACTGTGGGAGCTTGTAGTAAAGAAGAAAGTTTTGGATTAATTGCCAAAGCTATCAATCTGGTACATGAGGAAGTACCAGAGGTAATCACTGTGATTGAGAATATGGTATGTTCTCGTTCGCCTTCCTTCTTCTCCCTCCTTCACTCCTCTTTTACGCCCTTACCCTCCGGGCCTCAACATTCCATACATTTTACACCCAACAGTCATTCGAAGTCTATTACCTATGACACTGAGGAAAGTATACCGGACTACTCGGCCCATTCGTTGTCTCAACACTTGGTCAAGTCACGCTGATCCTCAGGCGAACGCAGGTAGCAATATCATCGGAACATCATTCTCCGACCTCTCATCTATCATATCACTCGTAGAAGATAAATCTCGAGTTCGAGTATGTCTTGACACGTGTCATCTATTCGCAGCGGGCTATGATCTCCGCACTCCCGAGGCTTATGCGGAAACTATGACGAAATTTGGTGATGAGATAGGATGGGAGTACATAGGAGGGATGCATTTGAACGATAGTAAAGCTGATTTAGGAGGGAATAAAGATCTTCATGAGAATATTGGATTGTGAGTTCTTCCATACTCGATCCCTTTCTCCTTTTTTCTTGCTTTCCCTCAAATTCATGACTTATTTTAGCTCATCATGCCCTTCACGACTCACATAGATTGTTCGTCGAATGGATTCGAGGATGGAACATACACACATATGTTATGTGGTCATTGAGTTTGAAAGTGTTAATGCCATAGAGGAAAAATCGGTCTATCGGCATTCCGGCAAATCATGCGGGATCAAAGGCTTCAAAATATCCCAATGGTGCTTGAAACACCCGCACCTGAAAAAGCTCTCGAAGCTGGTAATCTAGCAATATGGACGAAAGAAATACAATTGTTATATGAGATTCAAGGTATATCAGATGATGAATGGGTCAACAAAGAAGAGGAGATTATGGTAAGGTGGAGGAAAGAGAGGGATGAGATAAATCCTCCAAAAGAGAAGCCGCCAAAAGGAGCCAAGGCACCTAAGGGAAAGAAGGGTAAGAAGGATAAGGAAGAGAGTGAAGAGGAGGACTAGTGGTAGAAGTGGCAGTAGTAGTAGTGGACCTATCAATGTTGATATGATGCCCTGCGTATGAAGTATACAGTACATCAAGCACCAGCAAAGTTGCAGGTACCTCCAACAGTTGTCGGTCCGATTAACCGACGCCGACGCCGAAGCGACGACAAATGAGCCCCACTTTCAAATTCACAAGTTCACATCACTGTTGACACTCTCTCACACTATCTCCTTCGAATCAGCAGTCTCAAGTATTTACTGGTTTGAGACATCATCCTAACAACGTAAGAAAACGATGCCAGCCCTGCCAAAGAGGTATTACTATATGTTCTGGTTGGTTGAACCTGTAAGTCTCTCTCCCCACTTCACCCCACTTCTTTTCACTTACCTCCTCCTCCTCTTCACCCTGTGTCTCTCCATACTTCAAATTCTTGTGATTCATTCGTTGATCTGTGTCTCATTCTCCATAAGATCCATATCATACTCTACCCGCTGATGCCCGTCGAGGGAGGAAATGACATCCTTCTGTTCTCCCAAAATCTATGTAAAGCATTCAGAAAAGCTGGAATGTGATCGATCCAGGATTTAATACAAAATTTCGTATAAACCTAAGCCCCATGATTGGTTAAATGACTTATGAATACAGTTTCTCACCATCCTCGGAGCGGGATATGCCATCTTTCTCCCTGAGAAATACGCATCTTCTCTTTTACCTGAAACAGTAGAACGTTCAACCATCGGAATAGGAGCAACAACAAGAGGACAAATGGTGATTGGTGCTTTAGGTTCATGTAAGTCACCTTTCCATCTCTTCCCTTTCAATGATAGTCAGTTGACAAGTAGGTTTCTTCCTTATAGCCATGATAAGTTTTAGTCTTTTCCCGGTCATTCAAAGTCTTCCCGAAAGTCCCACCAAGGTTTCTTTGGTCAAAGCTTTGTTGATACCATTGGCAATAGCAGATGTAAGTGCAAAAACACTTACTGAAAGTAATTAAGTTGATGTTATAGTTATCACAGTGAGCTCTTCGAGATTCATCAACATTGAACGAGAGAAAAGAATTGAAATGATAGTATCATTGTAACTTTACTTCCTTTACCTATATCGTTATTTAAGTCACCCACAAGTTGGACTGGGTTGATTCATGGTAATGTTACCATCACGATTATCCTCTTTCTCGTGAGGTGAGTTACAATCCTTTCTACAAACCCGTTGTGATCGTTGTCAGACATTACAACGTCAAGGAGATGGGTATTACAAGATGGATCTCTCATTCTGACAGGGATGGAAGAGAAAAATCGTGAAAGAAGTGCTAATATCTCAGAATGGGTTGGTTCCTCGGTATCGGCATTCCATCTACAGAAGGTACAACCCCAAAACGTCGTCGTCTTCCAGGATCATACGGTCAAGTCACAGTCCCTCTCCCACCTATTTCTCCGAGATGGCTTGATCCTCACAAACATGTCGACTCTCCGTATACTGAAACGACCCCTGATAGTTCTGAACGATCACCAAGGAAGAGAAGAGGTCGTGGAGCGTGATCAAATAACGTCTCTTCGTCGGATCGCATAACTGAGTTTATGTACTGTACTTCAAGATCATCTGGGTGTCGAGGTTTGTGAAAGTGTGGTACGATATTTAGAATGGGAAAGAAATGACGATTTAACAAATTCATATGGGTCATCTCGAATGTATAATTTACCTAATAACTCTCACTTGTTTCACTCAACTGGAACGGCTCAGGATGAGAGTCGGGAAGAGAGTCAGGAAAGGGAGAAAGGGAGAGAGTCGGGAAAGGGAGTAAGGAAGAGAGTTGGGAAGAAAGTGATTAAGAGAGTCAGGATGAAAGTGAGGAAAAGTTGTCAAGAAGAGTACGAAAAAAAGGATTGTCAGTGATCATTCAAAAAGCATCCACTTGTCTTCTTGTCGATTTTCTCTCTTCACCTTCCCCTTTCTCACTAAACAATCTCTTCCTATTACTTTTCCACTTCCCTCCACTCATCTGAACATTCACCATACTCAAAGGTTGATAAACCGTCATAGTAGCAGGAATAATAATCTCACTCAATGTTCTCAATTCAACCTCTTCTATCCATCCGATTTGACTCTTCGTACAACCTTCTTCTCTCATCTTACTCTTGATCACCTTGAAACCTTTTTCAATCATACTTCTACGTGCATGATGAGATTTTTCATTTTCCCAAGAACGTGTAAAAGTTATCCAATGACCAGGAGAAGTAGAAACCATATCTGTTAACCTATCCAAAATAGCTGTTCCTTTAAAAACGATTTCACCTTGTTCTCTTCTATCTAATATCCCTTTTCCTTCTTCTCTAAATCTTAAAACTTGCGTTGGGATTTGAGTTTCCGATTGAGGGAAGATCACACGAGATGAAAGAGATTGAGATTCGAATTGAGATGGTGTATCTTTTGATCGGATTTCAGATGTTGAACGAAGTTGAATTTGAAATGTTTCAGGGGTATGACATGTCCTCCATGATTTAATATCACGTATGATATAATGAATGTTTGTCTTACTTTCCATTATATATTCTCCACCTTCTATCAAAGAAGTGAGTGTTTCCTTTTCTTCAGAAACGTGTCCATCTTGTTTGGAAGAATCTGTTTCTGGTGATGGAACCACAACAGAAGAAATATCAACTAAAGCACGATAAGATTCTTTATCATAATCGTATTCAGCCCCTTGAAACGAAACGAATATTTCACCTTGTTCTCCATTCTCATTATTGATTATTAATTTCGTCGAATGTATAGCGGCATCTTTATCTAATGATAACCAATCTGATCTTAATTTTGTTCTTTTTCCAACTTGTGTCTTTTTACTTTTCGTTTTTGTCTTCATGGTCGATTTGGTCGTGTCGTTCTTTGTTGAAGAGGTATCTTGTATTGAATGATCCGTTTGTATAGATTGATCATTTTGAGAATGCTGGATAGATAGATTAGGATGAACAGATTTATCATCTTCAATAGAACATAAAGTCCATCCTTCATACAAAGCACCATAACAAGGTCTTGTAGCCATCACATCATATTTCTTTCCTTTTAACCAAGTTGGAATATAACTCTTTTCGTCATATAACCATCTTCTCGTGATATCTCCTTTCCAACTAATCCAATGTTCATCACTTTTAACTCCTGAATCTTCACATCTCAAACCAGGATAAACTTCTTCTGATTTATCTACCAATGGCCATCGAGACAAAGCTTGTTCTTGTTGTTCGATCAATTTTGTAGTTTCCGGTTCGAGATGTAATAAAGCTGGTTCGACAGGTTGGATTTGATCTACTAGTCCTATGGGTGAGGGAAAGATATGAACGAGTTGAAATCGTGTGTCTATCGTACCTTTCAAACTTAGAATCGGGGAAGGAGACATAGTTCGAGCTTGGAATGAGAGAATGTTTGTTGGGTCGGTTGGAAATGTTTGATTATCAAGATTGGAAGTATAGGGAGAAATGGAAATACTTGTGGGATCTAGATGAATCATTCCTCGATTTAAAACATATTGATGTTGATAAACTGGTTCTTGTCGTTTCATATCCACAAGTGGTTTTTCGTATTTCCATCCATCTACGTAAAGTTGAATACTTTTATTCGTTCTTGTATCTCTTGCGTTAGTCTCGCTCATCTGCCCTACTGTCGTTTCTGTCGTTATCGCTTCTCCTAGATTAGTTCCAGCTCCATCGACTCCATGTTCTCCTTGGGTAGTAAGAGAATCTACACCAATGCCTTCAGCAACAGTGGGAACAACTCCATCCATGACACTAGTGATCGTCATTGATGGGTTGAGAGTTTCTTCTGGTAGTATTCCTTCCATCACATCACTCTCTGGCATTGTCGAATGTATTCCACCTTGTGTCGTTTCTCCTCCTATCGTATCATCGTTCGTCGTCAGGTTGACTCTCTCATCGTCCATTTGATGAGGGTCGAACAACCTTCCTAAATCCGGTCCACTCACCCAAGCCTCGTCTACCATAAAACCCGTACCGAACAAATCGACCGGTTTGTCAAAAACCACCTCCAACCCTCTGGTCCGAGCTTCAGTCGGTCCATCTGGTATGGCACCGTATAAAACGTATCGATCATTCAACAAACTGGAAGTCCCTATGGGGTAAGTAAGTTGAGTCAGTCTATCAGGTCGAGGAATGGGTATGTATGTGAGTATTTTCTTTTGTGATGGAGTTTCTAGGCTATGTTCGGTTGATTCTCGTGTGATTGTAGATTGTTGAGGTATACTTTGATCTCGCTCCTGTAAAAAAACATCGGAGGTTTGAGATTCTGGAGAAAGTTGAAGATTGGAAGGAGTGGACATTCTCTTTCGTTCGTGTTGTGGATTGTCGATTGTCGTTTAAGTGATGGTGAAGAGACAGAAAAGATGAAGAGGACGTGGGCAAGTGGCAATTCACACAACGACCTCACGCTGATCTTGGGGATATGGCAGACAGCCAAGTGGAGAAAGAAAAGAAGACACGTGGAGCGGGAGGACAGAGGCGGAGGTTCGTCAGTCGGATAAAGGAGAGACGTTTTGTGATGATATCCTACAAGTCCGGTCAGCTCGGATACGCTACGAAATATTGATGAGATGTCTAGCGAGCTCACCTCCATTCATCCCGTCGGCGTCATCACCGATGCCACGGAGAGTCGACTTCTCCCCTCATCCCTCTTCCCTGCTCCCCTCGTGAAGTGATCGATCCCCTCATACGACACTGTCCGTCAGCGTCCTCTAGCTTTTCGTCCCCGAAGGTCTGACAGCAAATCGTCATCAGTCCATACGGGCTGCAAGGCTGCATCTTCGTTGTGGCATCACCTATGATGCTGATGACGTTGATAAGTTTTCGCCTCTGATCTTGACTGATCAATCGTTCGGGCGGATCACGACGTTACCCGAATAACGCCAGAGTAGACATCAACGATCTTACAAGGATAACGACTTAGGGCACCACCCTAAGTGACCCCGGGCACCACCTTCGGTCAGGAACCTAATGAATCGAACTAATGAGTTAGAAACACAATGCTATTATGGGTGGTTCCTCTACTAATCAATCGAAAAATTACTAATGATATCCTCCCAACCTCCCTAACCCCCTAACCTCCCTAAACCCCTAACCTCCTAACCCCCTAACCCCCTAAAGGTCAACTATTAGTATTCCGCCTCCACCTGCGGCAGAGGCAATGACTTACAGAGAGTAGGCACGCCCCATTCTGAATTAGGCACGCCAAAGGTGGTGCCCGGGGTCACTTCGGGTGGTGCCCTAAGTCGTTATCCTTACAAGACGGGATCAACCATCTCATTCCATGATCGGCGTATGGAAGACGAATGTTAGGTCGGGCGATAACGACTAGTCTATGAGCGTTAACGGTCCAGGCCTCAAGTTAAGCATGGGTCGGGTCACATCGTACGAGATCAGTACCAGTGAATTATGCGACACGCTCTCAACAGCTAGCAGCTAAAGAGTCGGGGTTTCGGGTCGAAAACTATCGTCCGCCGATCTGTCGAGTATCGTCGGAAGGAAAAATGATATGGACCTGCACATCACCGGTGAATTACATCTGGTCAGTTGCTTCTCCCCTCTACTTCACCTTCACTAGTCGAGCTGCCTTGGTAGCTTCCGCTCAGAGGCCTTTCATCACCAAGGAGGTGTCGAAATCGGAGAGAAGGGAGAATGGCGACGGAGTTCACTGACACAAAAGCGGTTTCTCCGATCCAAATTGTACCTGCGCCCAAGACTGTGGTTGCAAATCCGTCGGCTCATGTTCCACATCTTGCTGTTACCGTATCCCCATCGGACTCGACAAAGTTCCATCGTCCCGTCTGACCCCACCCACGGCATATCCTCAACCGTACCCTTATCCACCGACGAGATCGGGGGGAAAGACGAAGAGCGATCACTTGTGCGGAGGGTGTTGTACTATACAATGACAGCGATGATCTCGTCACGACAGTGCACTTTAGAGGTTGATTAGCCAAAGCGGTTTGCATGAGACAAGGGTGTGCAGATACATGATGTATGGATGTACGTGTTGATCGTCTTGATATTTCATTGTCCGTGACAGTATCATTCTCACAAGAGTCGAGATTAAGGAGTTCAGAGGCCGAGACCGGCAGCGACGACGGCGAGAACGATGCCGACGGCGCCAGAAATGGCGCCCATACCAATGGTCTGCTTGATGGCGGCGCCGGAAGGAGAGCTGCTGGGAGAGGAGGACGCGGAGGATGTCTTCGATCCCGAAGGAGCGGAAGAGGTCCCAGAAGGACTGCTGGACCCGCTGGTCGTCGATGCGGTTGCAAGAGTGGCAGTGTTGACCGGGGTAGTGCTAGGAACCTGGAAGATCAGGTGGAAAGCCGCCAAGGCAGAATGTGAACACTTACGGAGACCGTTGCCACGCCGTTCTCGACAAGGAAATAATTCCCGGCGACCAGATTTCCAAGTCCAGTCTGGCTTACGTAGTCGGAGAAGGAGAAAGTGCTCAAAGGAGTATGCGCGGTCGACAGGTTGGCCGGAGGGGTGAACGTTGAGGGCTGGGTGTATACGAGGATGACATAGCGATGAGCACCAGAGCCGGCAGCTGGACCCGGTCCAGCATAGTCGGTGCTGGTTGTAAGTGACTGTGCATCGACAGGAGCTCTTGACAGAATCTGCTGACGTGCCGTGGGTGGCGCTGCCAGGTGGTCGAGCCGTCTGACGATGAACGCAAGGCTGGATCCTTGGGTTCTGGAGAAAGGGCAGGTGGGTGTGGTTGCAGAGATTGCACGCACATGGAAATAGCGCCATCGTACCCTACACTATACCCAGAGTCGCCTTGGACAAGTTTGGCGTTATTCACCAACCAATGCCTTGTCTGCCCAGTGGCACCTTCATCAGTGCCGACGATATCGGCATCGACCATCATGACAGTGTAGTTCTATCATTAATCTCCGGAATTTATTTCTCTGACAGGACGGACTTACATTCGAAGTAGACACGTCAGTCGCATTTGAGCTAGGGACGACGAGCAGGGTGGGGGACGAGCCCACAGCTGCAGATTCAGTCATCACTACTCACTGGAGTGAGGGGGACTCACCATCTTGAGTGAGATTCTGGCCGATGGAAATGTCGGTACCACCAAAAGTGACATTGAGTACACCCTCCGGGGTGAAAGTTGAGATGAGCTCGGGGACGAGCTGGGCAGCTAGACGTTAGGTCGGTACACCGTTTCGTTTCCGTGCACAGTCCCTGGGTACAAGTGTATACACAACTGAAGCCGAGTATATGTAGTAATAGAATGCGGAGGGTGTCCGGGTACTGTCCTCAGGACTGTAGTTGGCCACACCCCGCGAGAAGTGAGATGATCAATGTGCCGAGAGGCCGTCTAGGGGGGGGGGGGGAGCTCACCTTCGAAGTTGGCTTCCACCAACTCGATGTCAAAAGTAGAGGCCGTGCTTTGGGCATGTGTGGCAGCCAAAAAGGGTAAAAGACCGAGGAGGAACATCATTTTATGTCGAAAAATCTGATATTAGTCGATTGATTTCAATACTTGCACTAACCCTCTTGACAAACAACAAATGAACTGGAAAGAGAGAGGGAAAGAAGGGAAGAAAGAAGGGAGGAGGATACGGCATGTTCCTTTGACCTCATAAGGGGTTACAGGGTTCAGAGCTTGACATGATTCGTCTTGGACAATCGAGGGGTGACAAGCAGAGTAGCAAATAACTTACTGTACAGATTTCTTGTGTTTTTTAATTCAGCAGAAAGATGATGAAAAGAACGTAGGGTAGTAGTTATATATTGTGATGAGGGGGAGTGTCGATGGACGGAAGTGGGCAAGTGGTGAAACACGCGACTGTCCTTTCACCGCTATTTCTCTTATTCGTGGTGGTTTTGCTTCCGTTCTTTCCGTCGGAAGCGATCCGCCCACCAACAGTTTCGTCCCCATCAGCATTCCACTCTAGCCACTCTGACCACTCCACCAACACAGTTTCGCTGTCTTTTGTGAGTCTGCCAGTGTGAAATTGAGAATCTTGTATACTGATCAAGAAGAAAATGGCCGTCGCTGCAGCCCCTTCCAGTTCGGGTTCAGGTCCCGAGTTGGAGTATCTCAAATCTTTAGCTAAACAAGTCAGTTTCTTTCCTTCAAAATCTCGCTTTCCGAGATAGAGACATGGCAGAATCCGGATGATGGAACCTTGTAGATAGTGTTAGATACTGATATGATTAGTTACAAGATAAGATATCTCAATTGGAGAAACAAGCTTCGAGTAGCGTATCTTCCGCAGTGGACAGTGCTAAAAATGCTATCGGCATGGGCTCTGGCAAAGCCCCTCGGATGGTTTTGATCGGTCCTCCAGGTGCTGGTACGTATCGCGTTATCTTTCATATCATCTCATACTCGCTGAGAAGAAACCCGATATATAGAAGGAGCATGAGGACTGACGTCGTTAGGCAAAGGTACCCAAGCCCCTAACATTTCTCAGAAATACTGCATCTGTCATCTTGCCACGGGTGATATGCTTCGGAACCAAGTAGCCAAGCAAACGGAATTAGGAAAAGCGGCTAAGAAGATCATGGACAAAGGAGAATTAGTTAGCGATGAGATTATGGTGGGTATGATTCAACAGGAGTTGAATACCAATACCGAGTGCAAGAATGGGTTGGTCGATTTTCTCTACGTCCTCCCCTTCCTAGTATTTTCACACATTTTTCGCTTTCAAACGTCTTCTTTTCTTTGCCCTCAGGGAGTTTGAGAGGCCGGGGGTTATCGATAGTACTGGAAGTCTCAGTCTGACCCCCAGGTTCATCCTTGACGGCTTCCCCAGGACAGTTCCTCAAGCAAGCAAGCTAGATGCTATGCTGGCGGAGAACCAACAAGCCATAGATCACGCGGTGGAGCTTCGTATACCCGACGCGTTACTCATTTCCCGTATCACTGGTAGACTGATACATCCTGCATCAGGACGGTCGTACCACCGAGAATGTGAGTGTGGTCAGATCTTAGATTCTCTCGATACTGCCCACTGACTCCAGTTAACCCGCCAAAGAAATCCATGACAGACGACGTCACCGGAGAACCTTTGATCCAACGATCCGACGACAACGCTCAAACTCTTCAAAAGCGTTTGGCGACCTATCATTCTCAGACGGGTCCAGTCGTAGAGTACTATAAGAAAACTGGAGTGTGGACCCCTGTAGACGCTGCCCAGAGTCCCAAGTTGGTCTGGGCGAGTATCAGCGCGATCTTGGAAGGGAAAGCCAAGCCTGCTACTGCTTGAATCGCCAAGACTGGAGGGAATAGACAGTGAACGGAAGCAATCAAAAGACAATATGCATAGGCATGGTGAGGGAATCGTGGGTCATAGAGAGCGTTCCTTGAGAATGTCAGATACGTCAGTGACCAGTGATCAGTTGAGATAAGATAATTGTGACGGTTGTGATGCTGCACCCCTACTCCTTCTCGAGATGTCACGGTCGGAAATTACCAGTTTGGGAACATATGCTATTTGCACGTCTGTCGTGCGACCTCTGATGCCTTGTCTCCTCTGACCTGGTCATACCCCTGCTACTCTGTCTCTCATCAGTCCTCTACCCCTCGACGTTGCCTGTGAAGACCTCAAGGTAAAGGCAAAACGAAAGGAGGTTCTCCCTCGGGGTATTCACTGTTGCCAACCCGGGTTTCGGTCCGATCAAATCAAATTGGACGTGAATGGCCCACGGCTCTCTCCGATCTCTGAATACTAAGGTTACCCCATCCTTCTCTCTCTAACCCCCACATTCATACATGGATCCACCCTTTAGCGAGACACATCCACGATCACTCTCACTTCCATTCGACTCTCATGTGAACAAGCGACACTCTGCATAACGAAAGGATTCCAACGGTTTGAACGGTGGCGGCAGCGGGGACAAGGATCCTACTACTACCCTTCTCACGAGTTTTTGGTTGATTGGGGCGGTGCATCCTTCACATAGCAACCTCCGTTTCTCTCGCTCACACACCTTTCCCCTCTACCCACTGTCTCATACAACCAACATACATTGCATTTAAAACACGCTGCATGCGCTGCACGCTTGCTGCTTTTCACGTGTCGTCATCTCTTTCTCTCCCTTCCATTGTGAACATCTTCATTTCTTTGCCGAAACCCGATCTCTGCTCATGTCTCGAACATCATTTGCGACACTTTTGACACATGCGAATCTTTCATTCATCCTACGAAGCTGGTCCGAGCAGACCGTCTGCTCGTGTCCCTCCATCCGCAGCTTCAACATGTCAAGATGATCAATGTCCCTATTTCTCTCCTCCTCTTGTAAATAAACACAATCGCTTTCAAGACCTTAACAACAAAACATCGAAATATGGTCGACTTGATAAAAGACAAGATACATCCAACACATTATCTTCTTCTATATCTACAACCTCTACCACATTAGGAACTATATCTTCAAATGATTCCTCATCCACATCATCAACATATGCACCACTTCTCACAGGTTCTCCTTCTCCTTCTGCCGCTTATCCGTCTTCTTCTATATCATCAAATGATTCATCCTCGTACGACTCATCTTCTTCCGACACGTCATCATCTAGTTCATCTTCTTCATCAAAATCTTCTTTGCCATGGACAACTCGTACGAAGACTACAGATACAGCCAAACCATCATCAACAGTTTACGTACCGGGCGTGTTTGTCAACATCACTTTAGGAGGAGACTCGGAATCTGAGGCTGTTTACAAGATCCAAATGGGTATGGGACATACTGGACAAGTAGATTCAAGACGAGCAAAGAGGAAAAACCCAGATTGGGACGGCGATGATTTGCAAATGATGTCTTTACAAGTGGATTTGGGTTCTTCGGATCTTGTAAGTTCCCTCCCTTAAACTGACATCCACAATACTAATCGTCAGTGGGTTGCTTCAGATCTTTGTACTTCCTCTGATTGCGCTTCTGCTCCTGCATTATTCAACACTTCGCTCTCGTTGGATTCTGGTCAGAGTGTGAATTGGACATACGAGTCTGGAGCTGTCTCGGGCGAGATCTTTTGGGAGGAAATGGCATTGGGAAACTTTACCATCGGATACCAAGCTTTCGGTTCGTCCTCTTTCCTCTGAGATCGTTCGATCATAGTCAGCTAACAATCAGTGGCCGCGCAAACAGTCACACAGGAAGATCTCAGTGGAGGGGCTTTTTCAGGTGTTCTCGGCCTGGCGCGTAAGTCACGCGATCATGTGACGGATGTGTTGGACTGACACTCAGTTCCTGCTAATTCATTCATCCTCAAACAAATTCCAGGGACCACTGGTTCATCTGCCGATGGTGCTACTTTCCTCGATAATCTTTTCGGTCTCGGTAGTGCGGCCCCTACCGAACGCTTATTTTCTTTGTCCCTTGAACGCAGAGAAGATGTCCGGACCAGCTCGTTTTTGGGAATCGGCACCACTTTCGATACGTATTGCCCCAAGCCGTGTTCTCCTCCCTCCTCTCCTATTGTCGCCCAGCCTCAGCTCGGTGTGACAGGCTACACGCATTGGAGAATCCAGTTACAGAGTATAACGGCCACAACTTGGAGCGATCCCCAACATGGGTTGGGTGGACAAGTCACTACCGTGACGCTTGGGGCTAGCCAGGTTGATACATCGAAATCCACCCCTCTGGCAGTGCTTGATTCTGGTGGTGTGCAGATTCTGGTGGGATACAAACCTTTTGCCGATTCCATCTACTCGATTTATGGGATTCAGGCGAGCTCTGATGGGATATGTAAGTTTCTCTCCATTCACCTTTGAAAATCGAGCTTATAGATTCTAGACCGTCTACCTTGCACGCAGCAACTCGCTCTCACTTTCACTTTCGCCGAGACTGAGTATTCGGTCCATCCTCTGGACATGAGCTGGGCGGATTCTGCAGATCCATCTCAGCAAACGTGCATAGGGGCCATACAATACTCCTCCACTTTAGGTAGCACCGGAGATTTGTGAGTGCGGTCTATATCAAGCCCAACAACTGCTGACTTGTCAGCATCTTAGGTAGCTCTTTCCTCAAAAACGTCTATTCAATATTCCAATATCCTGACACGATGCGCACCACGGTTTGGCAACCCAGCGTCGGACTTGTCTCTCTCACAAATGCTTCACTCGCCTCACAAGAATTTTACGCTGTCCGGAGTCTTCATCAATCCCTCTCTTCTATATCGGCAAATCATCAAACAACCTCTCCTTCCAGTCCCTTATCACCATCATCTTCTCCTGGTTCTTCCAGCTCACATTCTGCCTCGAAAGCAGTTGTCCCAGCCGTCGTTTCCGTCTTGGGATTCTTCCTCGTCGCTGCTGGTCTGTTCTGTGCGTGGTGGTTTTGGCTTCGACATAAATGGGGTGCTGGGGGTGTGGTACAATACAAACAAGCTCCCAATCGACATCGTGGGGACCTGAGTATATCGAGTCTACGAAGTAAAAAACATAATGCTGCACAGCGACAAAAGAGTATGGTGGAAGGTTTATCCGATTACGAAGATTCTTGGGCGTCAGGTACTGGTACAGAAGGGGAATCCATTCGACTTGGTTATCTACCCGAAACGGTCGCGACAGATGTTATAGCTGGACATCGAGATTCCGCCGGATCAAGTGTTCGAATCAATAACGGAGTGGAAGGTGATGATTCATTAATCGATCTAAATGAATCTGATCCTAATTCAACATCGATCGGAAATCAAGCCACAGTCATAAATACTCGTAGGACATCAGCAAATCGAACTATTTCTTTTCATGATGCAGACCCAGATGTACCATCACCACCCGTCATAAATCCTTATTCTCAACCAGGATATACATCAAAACAAACTGGACCTTTTCCGGAAATCAATCCTCGAAGATCAATGAACATGTCTGGCCCTTTCCCTTCTCCAGCGGTCAGAGGTCAATCAGGAAGTGTCAGACCTGATTCTTCACCAATGTACGATATCCGTTCCAGCGATTACTTTGAAGTTCCTAGAGGACGCACGAGATCTAGTGTTACTGGTGGATCTGGTGGAAATCGAGGAAACTCTCAACAAGGGAGAGAAGGAAGTAGGGGTAGATCGGCGAGTGGAGGACGAAGACTTAGTCCGGGAAAACAGATAGGAAGCGTCTTAGGACAGGTGTTGGTAGAAGAGCCAGAAGCTGGATAATTTGGTCGGTGTCATTCCAACCGTTTGGAAAGCATAGTCTCGGTGTTTTCATCTTGGTGGCGGGACCATCTTAGGAAAGGGCAAATTAGTAAGAAGAATCTTAAAAAAGGATGACAATCTTCCAAAGGGAGATATAGGGGTTTCATAGGGATTGGGACATTTATGTTGCAATTATCAAAAATGTAGGCATCAATTGCGAGAATGTATGCTTATTATCATAACAGGTTTTGTTGAATTGTCTTCATTTCACTATGGTTTTCTCCCTTTACAGATCATTGTGCTATTTTCTTTCCTCATCGGTGAACGCCCTGAGGAAACAAGAGAGATAATCCCTGGAGGATTGGTAGTCAAAGGCTGCCTTGGGTAAGAAAGAAGAAAGAAGAAAGGAGGCGGTTTCTTGGATTGTCTTGATGATTCTACAGGATTCAACGGGCGAACTATAACTTTCAGGCTTTCAATAACGACTCTTAACACAACTTCAATATTCTCGTAATTACTTCATTTTCAACACTCAGCGTTCACACACTGATCACTTCCTGACCACCTGTGACCAACGGCGTAGAAATCCGTGAGTTTCTCTCCTTCACAAAGCTCTCTCAATCCTCATCCCTCATCCCTCATCCCTCATCCCTCATCCCTCATCCCTCATCTCGCGTTTCTCAGTACTCACCTCTGAATCCCCTTCCAAGAGCTGTACAAGGACGATCACTCTTCAGAATACGATGAACACCTATCAACCCACAGCATTCATCCTGCCACTCAACGGTGCAACCCCCACAAAAACAGCTCGTAAACCAAAATCCAAATCATGTACTTGGCTGGTCAACCCCTCTTACCTACCCCAGCAGGACCTTGCATATCTTCTTTCCCTCTTCATATACAGGGAAGTATGAATCCTTTCGCTTATGGTTTCCCACCTTTGTTTGGTCCAGGACTAGGGTTAGGTATGGGATTAGGATTGGGAATGGGAATGGGATGGGGAGGTCTAGGAATGGGAATGGGGATGGGAATGGGTGATTGGAGGAATCCATACGGATATATGATGGGACAATATTGGTGACAGAGGAAACGTCATCGGAAGTAATTTGAGAAGATGCATGGTTGACTAGTTCAACTATAAACCTTCTCACGAATCTCTGGATGGTAGTGTATAAGCTTCGGGCTCGGACGATGTGGAAAAATTCTGGGCGATCAAGGAGAATGAGGGGTGAAATCATCAAAGGATGTGAGTTTTCAATGGAGGATTTTCTTTTGCCACTTGTCTCACCCCTCAAGTGGTCTTCTCTCATATCTTACCTTCAACCAGTTCAACTGATTCTCAATATCTATCACTAGTCTTACCGCCGTCACTCAAGAAGATACGATTCTTTACGGTTTGTATCCCTGAACTCCGCAAGTCAAGGGAGACTCATTCAGGTCGATGAAGATGAAGAACCGTCCTCGAACTACGACCTCGGATTCAGATATCACACAAACAACTCATATGTCTAAAATTACCTCTGTCAACTCTTCTCCTTCAGCGAATATCTGTCCACACTGTTCACGTCAAGATGACAAGGGTAAAAAACGACAAAACAAATCATCTAGAAAGTCGCACGGTCCATCGTCACATTCACATCAACCTCCTCTTCCTCAAAACCCACCTGGTCGAATTATGACAACCCCACATCCTCACCCTGTAGCGGATGTTCCTCAACATCTCCAGCCTCTTCCTTCATATCCCGGTCCTTATGAAACCCAACATCTTCGTTCTTTTCCTTCTTACCAACCCGCACCCCCGATCCCAAGCTTCCCCATGTTCAATGGACCGACTATGTTCCCCTCAATCACTCCTGGTCCCATCCAACCTCATATGGCAGGAACGTACCCTCACTATGCCGCACCTGCCATGCCACTCCATAACTTCGGTATGGGTCCTGAACCTTTATTCGGATGGGAAAGTGTTATCCCTCTATCTCACGGATATGGGATGCCAAAATATGGAAAGATCGTGAAACCTGATTATAGAAGGTTTTGTTATAGTGTTGGGAAAGCGGACGTACCGTTAGCTAGAAGATTCGCGGGTCCATTGGGACATTTGTTGGTTCCTGCTGTGACTGGATGGAATGGGTAGTGATGTTCGATGTTACGTTCATCATGAATGACATCACGGACAGATTGTAGTGGATGACTCTATCGTTGGTGTTCTTCGTGTTTTTTGTGTTTCTTCCCTCATGGCTTCATACGTTCAAATTCTTATGTTCTGATACAGAATGAGAAATAGTTAATGCTACTGGCAGGATTCAAATCTCAAAGGTGATACAGGTGGAGCTGATTGAGGAAGGATGAAACAACGACTTTGAAAATCCTTCCTTTTCCACATCCTTTCTCTTTCCCCCCTAATCTCCCTAACGGGTACTTGAATCGCCTTTCACCATACCTACATCTCGATCAACTCTCTCTTCTATCCATGACCAATCCATTTGGTTATCTATGACAACATGACAAAACTCCCGGACCAGATGCCCGGTGCGTTTCCCAAGTGAGTTCCCGTCTACTATTCTCGATAGGACTCTTCGGCTGACGGAAAGTCCTGAGGGTGGATGGCAAACGTGGACGGAACAAGATTGGGAAGCTTGGTCGACCTCACATACTCCTTCCGAAGACGCTTCAACAACGGATTCTTTCCACACTGCGGAACAAGGGTCAGAAGGAGAGAAACACTTTCACCATAGTCAACAACTCCCTCCTCAGACCTGGCCCGCTGAGGGGATAGAAGGGGGGTGGGATCCGGAGCATCTTGGTCATCCCGACTTACACGAAATGTACGAGAATGTTGGAGGAGAACAAATACCATGGTATCCTCATCCTGATTGGACAAGTGTGCAACCAGTTGAAAAACAGGAGGCAATAGAGGCCACACCGGAAAAAGTGGATCCATGGTGGGATTGGTGGAATCAGTATGCGGCGAAGGATCCACAACAAGGGCGACAACAACAATATCCCGAACCTGAAGCTGGACGTGGGCCACAAGATCAAGCTCACTCATATCCCTACGGTGGATATCAACACCCACAACCTCCACCAATTTCGTATCAATATTCCTATCAAAATACTCAACAGTAAGTCATCTTTCCCCTATTGGAGAAGTATGGGTTCTGATTATGTTAGAGCACCTATGCAACCTTCCAACCCTCAACAAATCCCTTCAGGAGGAAGCATGGATCCCTTACAGCTGCTTCTTATCAATCAGATGATGATGCAACAAATGGCTCAACAACAACAACAAATGTATGCCGCTCAGATGGCTCAATTGGCCGGTAATCATGGTGGTTGTTCCGGACCGTCTGGATCCGTTAACGTTCAAAGTGAGTCCCCTATCTGTTCTTCCGATTTGAACTGACGCTGATACTCAGCATGTCAGCAAGGACCAGGAGGGAGAACGATTCGACGAGTAATTAAACCACCACCACCTCCGCCGCTTGCCGTAATGACAGGTGAGTCGTATCCTCAACGTGAAGTTGATGCTGAGGTGAATAGTCACGGAAACCCCTTCTGGAGATAATTGGCATGAAGCAACTGTTCTTCTCTGTGTATTGGTAGTTGTAGCTGTGTATCTTCTGTCTAGTCGTAAACCTGAAAAAGGACCGGATCCGAGGAAAACAATAGTGAACAATTTAGGGTAGTCTCCTTAGATGTATGGAAATTACCCCGTGAACTTCTTTTGACCATGAATGTTGTGAGGGTACAAAGGAACGTTTCCATGACAACGTATTACATTCTCATGTCTCTCATGTATGTACTTGTTTCTTCTTCAACGTGAACATGTCATGATTTCATCTTTGTTATGGCTGGGAATTCTGGTTGTTGTCAAAGCTGTAGGATATGATAATCCGGCTTTGACGGGTGGTTCACTTCTAACCGTGAGTCACTCCATAAAGAATCAGAAATAATGAGATAGAATGTCCTTCATACCATCCCCCTAGGAGAAAGAGAACCTATCAATATTATCATTTCAAATGAATCATCTCCCAGGGTCTTAAAAGAAAGTATGAACGATGGAGGGATGTATAATTTTCTCATGAGTGTCAATTATGGACCAGAATGTCTTGGACTTCATATGGGGGATGTACAAACTGCAGATCTTGGAGATGGTCAAGGAAATCGTAAGTTCAAAGTGGTAGATGAGACTGATGACAGAAACTCAGAAAGCTATTTTAAGATATATGTACTTTGGGGACCCATATCTGGGAACATGCCTCGAGACTATTTTCGGTGGAACTCACATTCGGGTTTTCAAACAGGAAACGAGGTAGGCGCACTTTCATCCGGGACATTGCCATTCAGGCTGAATGACTTGCAGTGGAGCTTGGTTTCTGAGGTGAGTCTATGGCTCATGAAGAGTGATTGGTAACTGAAAACTAATAAACAGTGCTTCAATGGAGCAAGACATGTATTACAATCACAATATTGCCATCAACGGGTGAGTGACTTTTGGTTAAGAGGGTGTTTGCTGAGTTCACAGGTATGATATTGGACGGTGAGTTTCTCTAGAGGTAAATCAGGTCTGTGAAGACTGAAAGATGAGGGATGAGGTTTCTGGGAATGCTACAGGTACATCTATTGATCCATCATACTTGTCAAACGGAAGGTCAATCAGTGGTGTGATGCGATACGGTGGTTGGTCTTACAATACAACGGTGGAATACGTATCTGGGTTGTTCAGTTTGAACCGTAGTGAGTTTCCTATTCGACGAGGTATGATAGCTCGACTGAATCTTTACAGCAAAGATCAATCATTATCCCGAAGTACAACTCGTAGGACAAAACGTCACGGATGGATTTACTGCTGTGTGGACTGTCAAGGTATTGGAAGACTGATTAGGACTTTGTATCCTTCATATGCATTGACTGCTATTGTGCCACATTCGCCACCTGCCACATTCAACTTCGCACGTGCCCGATACTTTACCTCGACCAACAACCATCACCCTCTCTCTCCCTCTCTCACTTCTTCAACTCTTCATTCCTGACTGACATCTTCGAAATCTCAAGAGCTGCCAATATCGTTCATTCAGTATTGTTGGAAAGATTTCCACTTTGAAACAGTTGGTAAATCCTCCCGGCATATCCACATTACCGGATAAAGGAGCGATCTCATTGCCTTCCTAATTCCTTGTTTCATTCCCTCATGTAGCTCCTTTCCATCCATGACCTCCTCTCAACCTGTTCCCCTCGCACCTCACGATGCAGCGCCATCTGTATCATCATTACCTTCGAATGCAGCTCCTTCATCTTCTTCAACCTCAGGGACGACGAAAACATCGATTGGGTCTGGTGAAAATGGAGAAGGGAATTTACCGGTCTTACCTTGGGCATTCATCGATTGTCCTATCGATATCCTCGTTATACTCATCTCTCACATGCTCAACCTTCTCATTGCCCATAATGATCAGGTCCTCTTGACTCCAGACTCTTTGACGAGGTTCCATTCCAGGGCGCCGCCAACGATTTCCGTAGTGGATTATCTGAGACGGATTGTCAAATATACCAATATGGAGGTGAGTTTTATCCACCCTTCCATACCTACCTCCGGGTGATATCTGTCCCTTAAACTTTTCTCAAGGAAAGGATTCATCTGAGATAATCTACCTCACATTACATGCCGATTACGGGTAGGGAATGGTGCGACGCGGCATCGAGGTCCATCTGTCCGTTTAAGATCGACGCTGACTTATGAAAGCCGATCCCACTCTTATCTCTGCTAGCCTACATCGATACCACCTGTCTTAACCTACCCAGCTTCACTCTTTCTTCCCTTACTGTCCATCGGTTCCTTATCGCCGGTATCTGTGTGGGTAGCAAGGCTCAATGTGATGTCTTCTGTACCAACTCTCATTATGCCAGAGTGGGAGGTATCAAGATGCAGGAGCTCAACGGGTTGGAGAGGGAATTTCTTAGAGTGACAAAGTGGAATCTTTGCGTAAGTCTTGCCTCGCGATGTCGACGAATTCCATCGATCTTGATACTTCTTTTTCCTTCTGAGGATTATGTATTACCGAGCCTTCTTCCGATGAAACACGCGGTTGCCACATGAAGACTCTCTTTTGTCCGGTGGGAAGATGGTATATTCGGTTCTCACTGATCTTCAGTGTACTCCTGATCTTCTTCAACGTTATTACTCCTCTCTCATCCGCTCACACGGTGGTTACATTCAAGCTCCTCCTCCCGCCGTATCACCCTTTTACGCATTCCCTCGATCAGCCAGCAAGCCTTCTTCGCCCGCTGGCAGTACTTCGTCAACATCGTTAGAGCCAGAACGAGAAGAACAACATGAGATTGAGATTGATCATGACATGACCGAAGGAAATAATGGTCCATCATTTGGTGACATCCCTCAATCTTCATCGAGCTCCATCTCCACCTCCAACTCCCAAACTTCACCTCATATCGTCTCATCGACACGAGCCAGATCCAAAAGATCCCGACATTCCGACAAGGCAGCGAAGATGGACATAGACTCACCACGAGCGGATCACATTTCTCCTGCATCTGAAGCTTCTTCTTCCTCCATACCCTCCTCTAGGTCATCTCTTCGTCGGGTGCGCTCCCCTCGGGGACGTACGGTAAGTCTTAGGACAAACGACCCACAACCTGCTGCACCCCAGCTAGATACAAGCACCGCCTCAGCATCTACCAATACGTCTGCTTCTTCAACTTCCGCTCGTCCACACAGTCCCGCCCAGAGGAACCTTGCCTCGACTACTACGACGATGGAGGGAAACAGTAGCTCCAAAGGAGACCATGAGCATGGTAGATTACTCAAGAAGCTGGTGGGAGGGTTGTTCAGGAGAAGAAGTATGGCGGATCATCTTCACATTCCCAATCCCTCGCAACATCGTAGTTTCGAACACGGATCACATGGAGTATCGTCCAATTCATCAGACTCATTTACCACCACTCATTCACATGTCTCAGCTCACGCTACAAATGTCACTGCCAGCGAAACAGGTCAGGACAGAGCGAGAAGGAATGCACCTCCTTCACCCATCACTGCCGTTGCTGTTGGACGAACCGCTATGCCACCCCCACCTTCCACCGCAGGGAGGGTCACACCGAAGATACGAACCAGAGACGATCGTAGTGTTGAAAGTCTCCCAGAACGTCGGATGGGGTTCGGGCCTGTGGGGCAAGATGGAAGAGGACATGTGTCTGTGGGACAACATGGAGAAGAGTTTGAGTAAGTTAGTATGCATCTTGATCAGTATATATTGATACGATACAATGCATGTTCATGGCATACTTTTATGCGACCCACATTCTATATCGCATAAAGTATCCTTGGTCTGTGTTGACCAATACAAACTCCATCACATCGCCCGATCAAGTCCAAGCTACTACCAAGAAAATTAGATCTCTCTTCCCACTTCCATCCAATCTCCACCCATTAAAAGTCATCGTCCAGCGAGAAACCTTTCTTGACAGCTTGATGATCCGTCGTCGAACCGACACTTTGGTTGACACCCGATTTAGAATAAGCCGATACTCGTGATTCGAAAAAGTTGGCTTTCCCTTGAAGAGAAATCATCTCCATAAAGTCGAAAGGGTTTGAAACGTTCCAAATTTTATCATTACCCAGAGCAACGAGAAGTCTATCGGCGACAAATTCGATATATTGACACATGAGTTTTGCGTTCATTCCGATGAGAGAAACGGGTAGAGCATCAGTCAAGAATTCTTGTTCGATTTTAACTGCTTCACGAATGATCTTCTCCACTGTAGAAGGATGAGGTCTACGTCGTAAATGGGTGAAAAGTAGACAAGCGAAATCGGTATGTAAACCTTCATCACGAGAGATCAATTCGTTGGAGAAAGTGAGGCCGGGCATAAGACCTCTTTTCTTGAGCCAAAAGATTGAAGCGAATGAACCGGAAAAGAAAATACCTTCAACAGCTGCGAAAGCGATGAGACGTTCGGCGAACGTGGAACGAGTGTCGGTTATCCATCGGAGTGCCCAATCTGCTTTCTTGCGGATACAGGGAATGGTGTCGATAGCTTCGAAGAGATAATTACGTCTGTCGACATCTTTAATATAGGTATCGATAAGGAGGGAATAAGTTTCGGAGTGAATATTTTCCCTATTTGATCAGCATCACCATTATGATTGATATGTAAAGGGAAAAGAGCGACTGACATCATGATTTGAAAACCGTAGAAACATTTAGCTTCGGCAGCTTGGACTTCTGCAGAAAAACGTTCGACGAGGTTTTCATTGACGATGCCATCAGACTATATATCAGCAAGGGTGTTTAAAGTGATTGGAGAAAGTGGACCTACAGCAGCGAAGAAGGCAAGAACATGTTCGATGAAATATCTCTCGTTATCATTGAGTTTATTCTCCCAGTCGTGTAGATCGGGAGCAAGGTTGATCTCTTCTGAAGTCCAGAAAGAAGCTTGAGCCTGTTTGTACATTTGCCAAATCTTCATTGTCAGCTCAGCTCGACGGAAGTCTTGCCCTAACAGCTCACCTCGCGGTACTTGATAGGGAAAAGAACAAAACGACTGGTGGTTTCTTTGAGAAGAGGTTCATCTTTCTCTTCACAGTCGAGATCACCGACGAACCGTTGACGAACATCTTCTACGGGTTCTTCAACAGGGGTGGGGGTGGAGATGGACTTGGAATCAACGACGACATGTTTGGTAGGTTGTTCAACAGCTTTGAGCTTTGACAAGAGATCTTTGGGTTTTACCGAGTTGAGATCGATGGAGGAGAGAGCGGCCGCAGCTGCTTTGGAGGGGGTTTCTATTACTGACATATTGGGACAAGAGTGGACGAGTTGGGAGGATCTGGTATGATTTGAAGAGGGGCGGGTCGATGGTGGATGAGGGAGGGATTATATAGCCTTGGGGATGGGATGAGGACGTGTAAGTACAGTCACGCGTCGCGTCAATAGTGCGTCTGTGTGTTCTTTTGGTGAAGAGATGGGGATCATGTGATGGGACTCGTCCTTTTTAGACCCAAACGACGCGTTCGGGCGTAAACATGACACGAGTCCAGTCAACCAAAAATCAAAAACCGATCGATCTTCGGCCGGCGGTTGCGGCCTGTGGCTCGGAACATCGCGTTCAACTTCATGTGAGAAGTCACGTGGCAAAACACGGAGATTGTCTTTTGGCCGTTGACTTTCTCTCTCGCAGACGCGACACAATCGACTTTTGCTTCAATTTCCTTCTAAAGTAACTTTGAATGCTCGTAGCAGTGAGGACCGTAGAGAAGGTGGTGATCATCATGTCCAAACCAAAGTCGGAATCCCAAAACTCTCAAGCCGGTAAAGCGTAAGTAGTGTCTATTGGAACTGAGAAGTGGACTAGGCCTAACGTCAGAAGCCATAAGCAGACCACTTTAGCTGGCTTCTTTTCCAAACCCGTCACAAAGTCTAAACCCTTGGTACCTCCTGGTCTTGTCCAATCTCCTTCCACCTCTTCTTCAGCTGGCGGACCATCCAACTCTTCACCTATCTCTGCTACTCTTCAAACCCCTACGTCGGAAATGGGCAGCTCTCCCCTCACTGCTCGACCTGTCAACTCCATACATCAAGGCAAAGGTGTCACTCAAAAGCGACGAGCCGAAAGTCCTCTCAAGACTTCTTTCGTCATTGATGATGAGGATGAGCAGATACCTTCGCACTCGTTGCTACCCGTTCGAAACCAGCCTGTAGAATCGGTTGTTCGTATTGAGGAGAAGGACGAAGCAGGAATGAGAATGGATTTGGACGATGATTCTCCTGTACTCATGGTGAGTATCTCGAAGGATAGACAATGTCTTAACTGATATCCCAGCGCCGCCGTGCAAGTAAACGAAAGGTGTTATATACCGAACCAGACTCTGACGCTTCTTCTGGTGAGGATATCAGGAAGAAGGGTAGTAGCTCCGCTCCTAGTAAAAAGTCCAGAGGTAGAAAGAGTTTGAAAGTCGATTCTGACTCTGATGACTTTCAACTCGACTCAGGAGACGATGAAGCTATGCGTATGTTTCCTCTCCGACCGTCAAGACGTATACTGACGGTCAGTGGCTGCGGCTGAGGAATACGATTTGTCTGCGGTGTCGCTATCACCCTCGATAGCTGCTTCCTCTCCCCCACCACCCAGAAAGCCCAAGAAGGCTGAGGCGCGGAAATCCGGCCTCTCTCGACCTTCGATACAACCCCTACCCAATAAACAATCGTCTTCCAATGCTGTCTCAGACGATGACCCCCGTCGGCCGTCCGGTACAAACCCTTTCATGACGCTTGCGGAACAGCGGAAGATAGAAGCCACACAGGCCAAACGTGACGCCGAAGAATCGTACAAGTTCCTTCTTCCGGAAAACCTCAAAGACGCCGAGGGTCGCCGACCATCTGACCCTGATTACGATGGCCGTACTCTTTATATCCCCAAAGAGGATTGGAGAGGTTTCACACCATTCGAGAGACAGTTTTGGGAGATCAAACAGAACCATTACGACACTGTTCTCTTCTTCCAAAAGGGCAAATTCTTCGAACTTTATGAAGGAGACGCACAAATTGGACATGATCAATTTGACCTCAAGCTGACTAAACGAGTTAAGATGCAAATGGTAAGTGAAGACAAGCCCCTACTGTTGATGAACCTCGCTCACGGAAGTAGGTCGGAGTGCCCGAGCAAAGTTTCGATGAGTTTGCCGCCAAGTTCCTGGCCCACGGTTATAAGGTAGGCAAAGTAGAACAAGTAGAGACGGCCATAGGGTGAGTTTGATCACTCTGTCCCTTTCAAGACTGACTTCAGTGCCGAGTTGAGGAGGAACGCCGGAAAGGGCTCTTCTACTCTGAAAGAAGACAAGATAGTGCAGCGTGAGCTCGCGCAGATCTTCACCAACGGGACCATCGTCGATGGAGCGTATCTTTCCACCCATGAATCAAATCACTGCGTGGCTGTTAAAGTGAGAGCTTTCATTTTTCACTCTTGTTTGATTCTCCAGCTGATCAGGCCAGGAGCAAGTAGATCCCAACGGCACCGTTGTTTATGGAGTATGCGTACTCGACGCCTCGACTGGCGAGTTCCAACTCACCGCCTTGGAAGACGACGTCCTTAGAACAAAGTTGGGCACGTTATTCCGTCAGATCCGTCCCAAGGAGTTGCTACACGCTAAAGGCAACTTGTCCTCCCCGACTTTGCGTTTGCTGCGAAACATTTCACCGCCTAATGTCTTATGGCAAGACTTCAAGGATGGTGTCGAATTTTATCCCGTGGCAAAAACTCTCGAGGAGCTAGGGAAGCTTTTTGAAGTTGAGGGTGATCTGGCAGACATGAAAGCAACTCTACCTAATGCAATCAAGACCATGTTGAATGAACCCCTCGCCATCGAAGCTTTGGGTGGCATGCTATTTTACCTGCGCTCGCTTAATTTGGACAAAGATCTGGTTTCGCAGGGCAATTTCACTATCTTCGATCCTACTCGTGAAGGCAAGGTTCTTATCTTAGATGGGCAGTCTTTGGGACATATGGAAGTGAGTGTAACTGTCAAATTGCGTTCTGACTCTGACAAATCAGATATTAATCAACAACGAAGGTGGTCACGAGGGTACTTTGTTGTCTCTGCTTCAGAATTGCGTGACTCCTTCCGGTGCGTTATCTTGCAATAGAAATTGCGAGAATTCCAAGACTGACTCATTAGGTAAACGATTATTCCGCATGTGGATCACTGCACCTTTGTGTGAGGTGCGAGCAATCAATGACAGGTGAGTCTGGGTGCCTCGGTGACGCTGACAAACAGACTTGACGCCGTCGACGACATAATGCATCACCCAGACTTTGCTGGCATGTTCACTTCTTCGTTCAAGAATTTGCCCGACTTGGAACGACTCGTCTCCCGTGCTCATGCGGGTTCAATGAGACAGAAGGACTTTTTGACGATCATCGAGGGCTTCCAGACAGTTTCCAGCACGCTAAAGACGCTTGTCTCGTCATCCTCATCTTTCTCCACATCGCCAGTGCCGGACCTACTTCGTGGAGCGCCCGATCTGAATCCTCTACTACAGCACATGCGCACCCTGTATCATGTCGTCCAAGAGGGTGAGTTTGTTTCCTTATCTTTGGTCTCTGACCGGCCGAATCTGTTGGTATCGGGTTGCTGATCGATCAGGGAAGACCATCGACATCCTACCCACTCAAGGCTCAGACAGAGAGTGTGATCAAGCCGATGCCAACGTCGCAGAGCAAGAAGGTATCCTGGAGCAACTGCGAGAGAAAGCAAGGAAGCAACTTCATCTCGCGTGAGTCCTCAATCGCCCTCAAACGAATATTTCGCGTGTTGATTTGTTAGCCGGGGTGAGATCGCATATTGGCATTCTAACCAAGGGGGCAAGGAGATCTACCAGTTGCAAGTTGCCGCCGATGTTGAAGTACCCTCGAGCTGGAGGAAGCAGAGTGGGACAAAGGTCAGTCCACTTTGAACTGTCATATGGACAAGAGACTCATAAATACAGACTGTGTCTCGGTATTACAATTCTGAGATCACGCCTGTTATCCGAAAACTGCAAGAGGAAAGAGAGATGCAGAGTGTGGCCAAGAAGACTTTCTTTCGGCGTTTGCTACAAAAGTTTGATCAAAGTCGTCGTGAATGGTTGAATGCTGTCAAGTGAGTCGATTCTGTTCACATCATCTGTCCTGCACTCTGAAAATCTCTCACTTGCCTCCTTGATCTGATTCTACTAAGTCATATCCGTCTGTGCTGAAGGCGACAACTGATCATACAGAACAGTAGCGGAGCTCGACTGTCTCGTGTCACTCGCCAAGGCATCTTCCAATATGGACGAGCCCAAATGTCGACCTGTCTTCATAAACAGTCCTGAAGCGTTTATCGACTTTACAGAGCTTCGTCATCCCTCCATGTGTCTTCGGGCGGATTTCATAGCCAACGACGTTCGCTTAGGGAAATCGGAGCCTAGGACAGTCTTACTCACCGGACCCAACATGGCCGGGAAGAGCACGTTACTCCGTATGACCGCATCGGCCGTGATCATGGCTCAATTGGGATGTTATGTCCCCTCTGCCAGCGCGACATTGAGTCCCATCGATAGGATACAAACACGTATGGGAGCGTATGACAGTAAGTCTGGTGCCGCCAAAAGTGTCCAAGTTCAATCATTGACTCTCAGACATGTTCGCCTCTGCCAGTACTTACAAGGTGGAGTTGGACGAGGTGAGTCATTTATTTTGAAACGTGTTGATACTGAAATCGGTGTAGTGTAGCAAGATCCTCCGTGAAGCTGGACCCAAATCTTTGGTCATCCTAGACGGTATGTCACTTATCCGCCATTGTGGTGCAACCTAATGATGTAGAACTCGGTCGAGGTACTTCAACACACGACGGTATGGCCATTGCCATGGCTGTTTTACATCATTTGGCTACTCATACTCTCCCTCTCGGTTTCTTCGCTGTAAGTCTCCTTCGCTCGTCCTGATCACTCTGTGTGAGAAGATGATAAGAGGTTGTGATTGACTTTGAGACGCATTACGGCTTACTCGCGGATGAATTTCTTTATCATCCTAATATCCGAAATATGCACATGCAGACTCACGTGGATGAAGATCTTCTCCAAGTGGTCTTTTTATACAAACTTATCCCCGGTGTGGCCGAATCGTCACATGGGACCCGTGAGTGTATTTCTCTTTCTTTATCTTACCTGTTTCTTTATCTTATCACACATACTTCCTGGCGTCCCGTCTTCTGCCACTTTTACCCGACTGGATGATCAATGTACAAAACTGTAAACCACTTACCTAGATCTGGGCGGTTTGGTCTTGGAATACCTGCAGGTCATATTCTGTGCTTGACAGGTATCTCTTCTTGATATTGCTAGTGAGAGACGAGACACGATGGCTCGTTGACAAAAGAACATTGCTGATCCAACAGACGTCGCGCACATGGCAGGAGTCCCCACATCCGTAGTCACCCGTGCTCAGAAAGTCTCCGCGGAGTTCTTTGATGATACCAAAAAACGACTCGCCACTCGTCGAAAGACCACTATACCTCTCACTGCTCAAGCGGATTTCTCATGGTTGATAAGACTCGCCATGGGTCAGAACGAAGAAACGACTGCCAGTCTTTCTCAGAGGTTGAAAATGGTCACTGAGGCCATAGGGGGATATGATCTGTCCGGTTGAAGTTTATGGGGAGATGAAAGTATCTACAATCATCTGTAAATTTGCATTCAAACATGTATTCTGTGCATTAACTTAACGCAAACGTCAACTGTAGCCGTCCATCTCTCCGCCACGAACAAGGCTCCAGAGAAAGCGTCGACATAGATTCAACTATATGTGCAATGGAAGAAATTACGAAAGGGTTAAACAAAAGGTTCATACTTTCCCCAAGCCGGTGGATCTTTTCGTCTTGATTTATCTCTTTTTCTCCTTCCGACAACTTTCACCTTACTCCTCTCTTTCCCATTTCTCCTATCACTCGACAAACTCTTGACCTGACCACTATCCCTTTCCTCCCTTTCCAACTTTCGTATAAGATCCCCAAACCCTTCTTCCACAGGTAAACGAACATGTTCCTCTGCCCATCCACTTCCAGGTATTTGAGTAGGTCGGAATTTCCTTCCTGCTCGATCTACCGATCTATGACAAAAATTATCACCCAGAATGTCTATTTGTATTCTAGGTAAATTTATGTTGGAGAGATGAAGTTCCATTGTATCAGCTTCGGGTGGTTGATATAACGCTTTTTGTTTTTGTTCCCATGGAATATCCGTCTGCTCCACTGATTCATTTACTGAAATCTCTATCCCATGAGCTACTGCCGACTCCTTTTTCTGCTCCGTGGATTCGTTACCCATCCGACGTTGCATAGCTGATGTCTCCCCTTCGTCCAAGATGAAAGAAGATGACGATGGATGGGAAATCGTTTGTTTCGAAGAAGTGGTTAGATGAGAATTGATGGTGTTTGTTGGAAAATCATTTTCGGGTGAAGGAGCATAAGCGGGAAATTCAAATCGGAACATACTACCTTTTTTAGGTACCACTCTTACTTTCCCATCAATCGGAACGAGTAGAAACGTTCCATAAGTCTCTTCAATCACTATCCCCTTTATACCCACCAAAGAGGGGTTACGGGAAGAGAGGATTAAGAGTATGGCACCGGTAAAATCCGCTTTGACAAGTTTTGATTGAATGGTTTCTGTTGACACGCCTGTGGGAAGTGGGTTATTTTTTTCCTTGGAAGGTATCATCTTAAGCGGAGTCGCTTTGTTGTGCGGTGACGCCGAGTTGTTCGGGGTAAAACTGGAAATGGGTCGATTAGGAAAATGAGGGTTTGATGGAGCTGGAATGAGAGGTATGTTGGATGAAGATCCCACATTGGAGGAAGAAGAAGGTTGGGGGTGAGAAAAAGTTGATGGGAGAGGAGGAAGTGAAAAGAGAGAAATGAGATAATGTGTGTGCATGTAATGAAGGGGTAAAAGAAATTCGTATCTATCATATCAGTCCACCGCCCGTAACTTCACTGTTGGAATTTCTCACCTCCCTACCCCCCCTTACTCCACAGGTCTTCATTCCTTTTGAATACAAGCTGGAAAAATATGATGACAATGAGGGCTTTGAAGAGTGAATGAGCAAGTGATCAAGAAGATCTTGTCTCAAGAACGAGTATAGAAAGACAACATACGGTATCTCCCTTCCCTTTCTTATACCCCCTCTTCGTTTCTTCATCCTCCTAATCCCTCCCATCTCCGTCTTCTCTCCATCCAACACCTTCCTCTTATCTTGTCCTACTCTCAATTTCGACCCATCACCAAATTCTACATTAGATTTCGAAACGATAGGTGAGACAGTAGTTGCGAGAGGAAGAGTCTTTCCTGCTAATCGGGAAGAATAACTGATCGGGTCTATTCCGAGTAAAGAGGGTATAGAAGGTGGTTGATCCGTAGGTACATAAGGAGCTAAATGTTTCTGTACAGTAAGTTCTGGTACATGCTACTTTAATGAATAACAATGCGACGTCGAGTGTACATGAGAAGCGGGATAGAGTATTTGAGAGGATTAGCTTGAAGTGATGAGGGTAAGGATTGAAAGGAGAAGTGGGAGGAGATACTGACTTTGATTTGTCGGGAGAGGGAACGGTATACGTCTAACGTTGGTTGAGTAGTGGACATCTCGCGACTTTCTTCGACCGACCAATATCAGATTATTGATGATACACCCGGTCACCTGAAGTGAGATAGGAAAGGGGAAGAGCGAAAAGACAGGGGAAACCACTGCCAATGGAGTTTTTCTTCAATCGCCCAATGAGAATTGTGGGACCCCGCGTGGAATCCTCTTCTTTTTCACGAGACTGTAACGACGTTGAGCAAATATGTAACAACGCATAGACGACAACATGAAGATAGGGCAGAGTGCTAGTCAATCCGAAAGCAACACGATGCATCTCGGTGCTCGTTACAGACAAATTTTCTCCACAGTCCCATACCATATCTAAAACAAACATACAAAAAGTTTCCGATGATTACCTCCGATACAAGAACTAAGAGCACAACGATACGGTAACACGGAGTTGGTACAATGACAATGGGATGGATTGAGAGTAATTTGACCATGACCCAAAAAGGAGAAGACAAAGACGACAAGATCATGTTTTTGATGAGTTATTGTTATGTCGATATGATAGAATACTTCTGTATTGATTCAATAACGTAGTCGACGGTACGATGATTGGTCGTTGATACAAAACATAGATGTTGAAAAAATAATTTAATGTCAACTGGCCAAACTTTGACCTGGTCTCCATTCTTCCCCTATAGAACCGACAAACTGACCCTGTGTTGGATGGGGGGGATGACCATGATGTTCCCATCCTTGAACATGACCATTCCATTGACCACCTCCAGCATTTTCTTGAACAGGACCACTCGTCGTTGGACCAGAAGTCGAATGTTGTGAAGGATTAAATTGATTCTGACCATCTTGAGGACCGTTCTGGTTTGAACTGACTTGTGAAATTGCAGTGGAAGGTATTTCAGGTCGAGTAGGTAATAATCTACTTTGTGCACTTGAACCCCAAGAATAACTTTGTTGTCCTGCTGCATGAGGTGGAGGTGCTGGATAACCAGGCATAGATTGACTAGCACCATAAAAATCGGCAAAAGCACCAGGAGCTGTAGAAGGTGGTTGATATGAATATCCTCCTTGATGGATATTCGGTTTAACATCATAACCTTGTCCAGAAGGTCCTGGATAATATATTTGTTGTGATGTTCTTCTAGCGTGTTCTTGCATTTGTCCTGAAGTTTGACGTGGGGAAGCGTTGGGAGGACCGAAAGCTTCATATCTTCTGGAACTACTTTGTGGACGTAATGGACCAGAGATAGGATTGGGAGGTGACATTCCAGATTGGATCGAACTTGAAGATCCCGGTCTTCCACCAGGAGGATACATATTTTGATCCATATATCCCCCACCGTATTGTCCTCCGGAAGGTGGCATGGGAATGGGCATGGGTACGGTTACAGAACGATGTCGCTGAGATGGAGATTGCATGGGGACGGGGGCACTGTATGGATCATACATGTCGCCAGGGGGGAAGGAGGAATGCATGGAGATGGTAGAGACGGGTGATTGAGGCGAACTTGGTTCTTCGGGTTCACCACTTAGCGTCAGCCATTTCCCCTTCAACGATCCAACAGGAGGAAAATAGACAGGATAATTGATGGGATTATCACGAGGGGTGAGAGATGAACTCACCGATATCGTGGTACACCGTCAGGTCCCACTTCGATCATTGGGGGAAATCGAAAATTTTGCTTATGCAAATACTCGGGCGAAATCTCGAGCGCGGCAAGTTCAGGGATACTAGATGGGCAACGTAATTTCCCAGCCAAAACGTCTTCGCAGGTGTAGTACGAGATCATATGTTGAGCGAAACCGTTGACAGTGACTGACATTGTCTGAACGTCAGCAAATTACCCTGATGACGTACACGAAAGCATAAGATGAACTAACCTTTTTAACCAGTCCTCCTTCTTTGAATTTATGACTGTTGGTCAAACTCCCCACGAGTTGACGTTCTCGATGACGAGACATGCCTTGAGCGTCGGAAGCACTTCGATTTCGATTCAAAGCACCTTGTCCTAATGGTGGCATTGCTTCTCCGGGGGCATATTGCGGTGGTGTGGACATTTGATTTGGGTCATATCTTGCTACCTGACCCGGGGTACCCGCAGGAGAGGTCTGAGAGGGGGATGTAGAGTTGGCATTGTTTGACATGGGTGTTGGAGGAGGGTTTGCACGTTTGTCCGTTTCACGATACACCTGAGCATTAGTCATCACTTCCACTGTTTGAGTAAGGACTTGAGCAATGGGTGACGCGTAACGGAATCATGGTTTGGACGACCGGACAATGACCAGAAGCGGGAGATGAGATGAGACGTCACTGATATACGATCGACGATCGTCTGTTGACGCTAAAGTGGGGTGATAAGAGACAATTATAAAACCCAAAAGCTCACCAAGAAATTGCCCAATATCCTACTTGGACTCCATATCAAACCATCAGTCCATCGTTTGATCCCACTTTCATGTTCGTCAAACACAAACACCGCGCCAGATTGTACCATCCCTCGTTCACGTTCTATCAATCGACGAGTGACCCGAGGGATCATTCCCCGTCTGGCTGCTTCGAAAACGAGCAACGCGTCGAAAGTCGTTTCTATGTATCCTCGAAAAGGTGGATCCAGATGGGGTGGAGGTGGTGATTGTTGTGTCATGGTGAACAGAGGGGTGTTTTGATTTGATGGTTGGTTCTGATGAGGATGTGAAGATGACTGTGAGATCTTGATAGATGGACGAATCTGTGAACAGACTAAAGTCGGAGTGTAAAGGTTAAAGTGTTTCAAGGTGAAGCGTTTGAATGTAAGAGAAACAAGGAGTCAAGAGAGCAAGAGAGTAGTACTTGGATGAGGGGCAGGAGGAAAGAAGGTCCGAGCGAGATCAAGTCAGGGTGGAGGTAAAACCGAGGTACCGAGCGAACCGGGTGGAAAGTTGAAAGAAAAGTGATGAAGAATGATTGGTAGATTGGAAATACGAATGAGAAGTGTAAAGTGAACGAGTCGATTGTAAGGAGAAGAGAGCAAAAAGGGTCAGCTTGGATCCATTGTGAACAAGTTTTCGATGTGGAAAGATAGGAGTGATCTGCGACATGTGTACAAACGACCGTATGAGTGGAGGGTTGTGACTTGTGACGGATGATTGAGTCAAAGGGGTGACCAAAAGTCACAAAGGGGCGTCGATCAAAGGAAGAAGAAGAAAGTCGTCAAGGAGATTGTCACATCTTCACTCACCGATAACCTGTCAAAACGTTCCAGAATTTCAAACGCCTTGCGGTTCTCAGAATGACGGAAGCCGAGATGACAAAACCCGGATCGACGTTACGAGTCGACGATATTTGATTATCGGTTGTAATGATTGGTCGACTATGTGATTAGCGAGTGGACGAGAACTTTGAAGAGATAATCCGAAGTAGGTCAAGAAGAGTTTTGGGTTTTCACTGAATGTCCGATCTACTACTGAAAGATACTAAAGAGGTCAGGGGAAAAGTGGAGGGAGGATGCTGTGATTCTCTCGCCACTCCTAACTTGCATAATGGCAGACGCGAGGGTCTGTGGGTATTCTAATCCGATGGGTCACGTGGGACAAGAAGCACGCAACAACCTACGTATCGTAATTGACATTTACCTGTAGTCAAGGAAGGAAGAAAGGAGAAGAGAGCTGATCCGGGCATTCACCCAGCCACTCACCCTATGTTTCTAGATGACTTGCATCCGTTCTGAACTCGTATGGGAGAATTTCCAAGACCGAGCGGATGCTTTTGATCCGTTTAATTCTGATTGTCACCCCTCGGACTGGGCAACTGTCTGTCCAAGAGCCAGAGGGCAAAGACGCGCGTGGGGGAGAGGAAAAGAAGGCCGGTGTACGGTGTGGATTGTGTGCGTGCGACGAGCGACAATCGCCGAGATGAATGACCCTAAGAGATGTGTGTGCCGTAATAATGAGGGCGTCGACGAATGACTCGCTTGATTCCCTCTGGTCGGGTGCAGATCGTGATAGAGATAGATCGTTCCGGCGTATCCGGCGTACAGTGAACGGTGTTTCTATGCGGGGCGTTGAATCTGAGACTCTCGGTCTCTGAGAGATTGGTTCAATTGAGGATGAAGAAGTATGACAATCCTGATATTCTTAGAAACGAACCAAAATTTCTGCTGATGATCAGCATCCCCCTCCACTCTACAACCAAATCGACGATCGATGACTGGTCCACTCGCAGTGAAAGTGAGCGAGCAAGCCAGCGATGAAGACAAAGATGCCGCAATGGCGATGATGAAAGAGTTTGATTGAGAAAGGATGACGACTCTCTCTGTGTGCCCATCGGACGGTGTTTATCATTCGAAGTAGAACTTCGGCCAAGTCCCAGGGAGAATAAGCGGCGGTGTGTGGGATTGGGAACTCGACTCAATGGAGCACCGCACAACAGGAGGACGAATACTCTCTGAACGTCTCCTCTCCGCCGAAAGCCACATATGGAGTTGATAAAACCGAGACCGGATCCTTGGCAGGTATCTCTCCCACATCTCCTTCTCCTCTCCCCAGCTCCTCGCTTGCTTCTTCCCACGTCCTCACCGAGGTCTCCCCCGCAACGCCGCGAAGACATGGTCAGGAGGAAAGACGCCTCTATCACTGCCACAAGCCTTTTCCAGACCCGTGTGCAAACAGGGACGACGCTAAACTGAAAACGGTAATTTCCTTCCACATGTCGGAGAGTTTTTTTCCCTTCTTTTCCCTATCTCTTCTCACCCTCCTGTTCCCCTGGGTTCACGATCGACGGACAGGAACGTGAGAAGAGAGGAAGATAATTCGATCGCAGGTAGAACTCCCGACGGAAGTCAGGAAACATAGATCTCTTTGCATGCCGTTTCGGCCAAGGTAAGAAAGAACACAGGACATAGATAGGGGGGAAATTTGGCGTGTGTGGCGTTTGTTCAAAAACGTATTGGAAAGAAAGGGGAAGGGGCACGGACGTGTGCACCGGCATAACGGAGTTCGGGCCGTGTGAACCGTTCGGAAAAGCACAAACGATTAAAGCTTGGATAGGAACATGTCTCCGTATCAACGGTAACTTGATCAACCGGAGGTGGAGGTCGTTGTCATGTTTATCCAAGAAACGTGGACACGAAGTTTCCACATGATTAAGCGACACGGGGTTGTGTTAAAGTTAAATGTCTCGGAGACAAGAACAAGTATGTGACACATTTAGAAAAAGCGAGACAAAAGGAGGAACGTACTTCCTAAAAAAAGAACAAGAGAACAAACGCTCACCTTGTTTATCAAGCCAACTAACCGTCCAGCGATCTCACTACAATCCTTCTAGGTCTTCTATATTCTAGTTGACAACGAAAAGCTCTTGACTTTCGAGATATAACAGTCAGTCGGAGTTGGAATCGGAATCGGATATTCGGAAGCTGAACGATGAACAAAATTCGTGGTCGAATAAACATATCATCAACGCCCGTCTTACTTATCTTCTAAAAACATTCTCCTCACTCTCACGTTCTCACAACCCCGTGTCCCTTCTCCTCAACTTCCATTCAACCTGACTAACCGTCGATCTCATCCCGTGGTAAACTAGACATTTTCAAAAGAAAGGGTGAAAGGACAGATGTCATCTTTCCCACGCCTTCGAAGTGTAAGCCGACAAGAGGGTGACCCCTCTCGAAATGACCTATTTCTCGACACGGGTGAAAGGATGAATGGTTAGTCGCTGATGTCTTTCTCACGCATCATGGTATGGAGTTCACGGGGTCAGAAAGGAGACGTGGGAGGATTATCGGGTTTTCTAAGGAGCCAGGGATGTGGAGAGTATTTCGGGATGATCTACAAGATCGACAAGGGGGTGTTTTGTCTCGGTCGTCGGCGGCTTCGGCGGCTGGCCAGACGGGTTGGACAGGGGAAAGGATGGTTTAGGATCGACATATTCGCGCGTTCGGCTCGACCATATGGGAAACCGGAAGGAAGTAGATTGAACGAAGGAGGTTTACAATGTTGGTTCTTTTTCGATAAAGACGGAGTTACAAATTGTGAGAATATCAAGGAAACAGGAAAGATGGAGAATCAAAGTCGACTTCTCAGCTTCCCACATGTTTCTGGATAGCCGAGAGGATGGGACGGAGATGTGGTTTGGATCAGTTTATCTGAGGGGAGAAAAGCTCAGCGACACGGTATCTCTCAGATTACCTCTTGGCCAGACCGACATGGACCTCAGGGGTGATGACACTTGACACCATCAACGTCCACGAAGTCGTCGATGAGTTACTGTCAGCGCAGATGTGAGAAAGTTGTATCCCGACGATCAGATACTTTATATGGTGATTCGTGAGTTGTAGTGACAGATCAACATACTTACATGCTATGTTACAAACTCCAAATAAAACGCCTATTTCGTGCTTTTGTCTTCCGACCTCACACCAGCAAGCCACTTTGTTTCGAATGAATGTCCGAGCCTCTGACGTTCTCCAGCCCGAGCATAGGAGGATAGACTCTTCCTTCCTCCGGTAGTGTAGTGCCGTCAGGGTGAACGGTGTAAGAGTGTCCCAAGTACGAGCATGTTGAAGGAAGTGGTAGGTATTCGATCGTCTGAAACCTCAATCATATGAAGGTCCCAAGTAGCCACTTCGAGGGTGAGTGGTAGAGACGGAGTTTGACCCAGAGGATAACCCCGCAGAGGCAGTCTCATGTGGCAGCCGGTGACGTGGCATGATGTGAATTCCTTATCACTGATCATTCACGAGTCAAACGCGATCGCCTCCTTTGTCCAAAAAAAGGTAAGGGGCGCGTACCCTAATGTATCATCTTTTGAACATCTTCATCACTACAAGTAGCTTGTCTACTCTCCTTACTCTACACAATTGATCAAATGGCATCATCAGAAGTATCAAGAGCATCTTCAGAACTTCCCTCTCTTTCTGTCTTCTCTCACACCGCTGGAACATCCACCATCTCCTCTATGCCTGCTAGTCCCACTCCCCTGCCCGATTACCCCCCAGCCGAGGGAGACATCAAGGTGGATGTCAAGGTAGATGATGAGCATGAAGTTCAGGTGAAGGAGATAGAAGAGGAAATGAACGATGCAGGTGATCCTCAGGTGAGTAAAGATTCATCACTCACTCTTGTCTTATCAATCTCGCTGAAAGACATCTGTCTGTCTGTAAGAAAGTGACGTGAGATCTTGATTTCTTTTTTTGAATGACTGTCGTCGTGTACCTATACCTTTACAAAAATCCTACCTTTGGACTCATGCCCTCGATCAATCTGTCTTCGTGACAATATATGCTGTCTTCTTAGACAGTATATGAGCGCTTTTGCTTTATGTCAGGTTGAATGATTATTCATGCTCTTGGGTTAATTTGCTGACATTATCTTTCCTTTGTTCTACCAATTTGACATGACACTTCCCTTCACATTTGATCTACCCATATGTCCCCTACCATCCTGCACCATCAATATACATCTCCATACCATCTCGATTTACTGTCTATGAAACAGGCTGCTGCCCGTGCCGCACGATTGTCATTCTTGCTGGACAAATCGACCATCTACGCCAAGATCATCGGCGATCGTATGGAGAGACAACAAATCGAGAAGCGAAAAGCTGAACAACGAGCCGAAGTACGCAAAGCAAACAAAGAGAAGAAAGTAGAAGGAACTGCCCAAAAGCAGGGTCTGCGAAATAAGCCTAAGGCTGAGGAAGAGGATAAGGAAAAAGATTCAAAGAAACGTAGACGGAAAAATGAAGTGACTTTACCAGAGAAAAAAGCCAAGCTGGAGGAGAATGGTGATGTTGGAGATGAAAATGAAAACAAAGAGGAAGTTGAAGTCGTCGCGGAGGCTGAAGGGAACGGCGAGATCAAGCAGGAGAATGGAGATAACGAGGAGGAAGGCTTACAGGATGATGAAGTTCAATATTCTTTCGCTCAGCCTGCACTGGTCACTGGTGCCAAACTCCGAGATTATCAATTAGCAGGCGTTCAATGGATGATCAGTCTTTACGAAAACGGTCTTAATGGTATTTTGGCTGATGAGATGGGTTTAGGCAAGGTGAGTCCTCTCGAGAGCATTTACCTGACACTGATCATGCAGACACTTCAAACCATATCATTTCTCGCGCATCTCCGATCTAAAGGCACATGGGGCCCCTTCCTTGTCGTCTGTCCCTTGTCCGTGCTCAACAATTGGATCATGGAATTCGAAAAGTTCACGCCTGACATTCCCGTTCTCATGTACCACGGCCCTCCCGAACATCGTGCTCATCTCAGACAAACTCGACTCCAAGCCCCGACCTCTGCAGGCGCCGGAAACTTACGCAAAGGGCGTAAAGGGCGACAATCTACAGGCGGCTCGGGCAACACAACAGCGACATTTCCTATCGTAGTGACGACCTATGAAATGTGTATGAAAGACCGACAATTCCTCAGCGGCTTCATGTGGAAATTCATCGTTGTGGATGAAGGTCATCGATTGAAGAATCTGGATTGTAAACTTATTCGAGAGCTCAAATCATATACCTCCGCAAACAGAATGATCCTCACCGGTACACCATTGCACAATAACCTCGCTGAACTCTGGTCACTTCTCAATTTCATTCTCCCAGACATATTCGATGATTTGGATAGTTTTCAACAATGGTTCAATTTTGACGATATGAATGCCAATGGTAACGACTCTGAGGCGGGTTTGTTGAACAAATCTCATGTCGTCGCTTCTCTTCACGCCATCTTGAAACCTTTCCTTCTGCGACGACTCAAGATGGACGTGGAGAAGGAGCTTCCCCCAAAGAAAGAATATCTACTCTACGCCCCATTGACCTTGCAGCAGAAGGAAATATATCAAGCTATTGTGAATCGACAAATTCGGCAATTTTTGGTTGACAAGAAGGTGAAAGATGAGGGAGAAGACCCCGAAGAACCGGAAATCGAAGAAGTGACATTGAGCAATGGAAGAAGGAAGAAAGACCGTATCAATTACCATATCGAGGAAAATGATTCGAAGTACATTCGAGACTTAGAACGTGGTGTCTTAACAGAGCCGGCCGGAGTCATGGAAAAGACACCTGCTCAAGTTGGGAGAGATTGGGCCGTCAAACAAGCTAGTACGTCATCCAACAACCTGATTCCCGTTTCTATGGCTGACATACAGCTAAACACGTCAACAATATGCGGTTGCAAAACCTCGTCATGCAACTGCGTAAAATCTCATCACATCCTTTCTTGTTCGATTGGCCTGTGGACGATAACAACGAGTTGGTCGTGAATGAAGATTTGGTCAATGCGTCGGGTAAAATGTTGTTACTCAATCGTCTACTCGATGAGCTCTTCAAGACAGGCCACAAAGTGTTGTTGTTCTCCCAATTCACCACCATGCTCGATGTCATTGAAGATTGGGCGACTCTTTATAAAGGATGGGAAGTGTGTCGGATAGACGGTAGTACTTCGCAACAGTCACGAAGGGAACAGATGGAGGCGTTTAATAATGGTGGAGATGAAGGGTGCAAATTGTTCCTGCTCAGTACCAGAGCTGGAGGATTAGGTGTGAATTTGGTTGCTGCTGAGTGAGTCTTCTGTTGTCTTTTCCTTTCCTCACATACCACCCCAGTCTAGTCTACTTCTACCCTTCTGATATCGGACGGATCATTCTCGTCTAACCTTGACTGGAGCTCTCGCACGAAAAGTGTCAATGGTGTCGCTGACATTGCAGTACTGTCATCTTCTTCGATCAAGATTGGAGTGAGCTTCCGCGATTGTCTTTCCACAAAAGCTGATGACCAGATCCTCAGATGGATCTACAAGCTCAAGATCGAGCACATCGTATCGGTCAAACTCGACCCGTACTCATATTCCGTCTAGTCTCCGCCGGAACGATCGAAACGAAGATTCTCCAAAAAGCAGGAAGTAAGCGAAAACTCGAAGCGCTCGTCATTTCTCAAGGTAAATTCGGTCGTGTGGTAGATGAGAATGGTCGAGTTTTACTCGGTCGGGCGAAGAACAAGACGGAAAGTGTGTCAGATATGGCCAAAGCTCTTTTGGCCTTGGAAGGGGAGGAAATAAACGTTGCTTCAGCGGATGATAAGATCATCTCGTGAGTGACTTTGATCATGGTGACGTAGAAGGAGCTGATCAAGTAGGGATGAAGATTTAGATATATTGTTGGATAGAAGTGCGGCGGCTTTCGCTAGGGAGAAAGGATGGTCTGCAGGGTTAGGCCAAGGTGATAAACGTGCTGAGCAGATCAAGAAAGGAGAAAGGACGGCGTTCGAGGTATGTGACCTGTGTCTTCTCTGATTCCATCTTTATTCTGTTATGGCCATTGCCATTTCCGCTTTTTCTGTCTACCAAATGCGTTTTCGGATGGGGAGAGAATGATGTGTTTGAGAGAGAGAGAGAGGTGGAAATCGTGATGCAGAACTGACACGAAAGGTATTCGTTCCTGCGAAAGACGACGCGGCGGATGGATTGGCTCAGATGTTTGGGGGTGATGAAGAACAAGAAGAGCAGTGAGAGTCCAAAATCATTCCAATCGATAGAGATATATCGTATCATATACCCTATCCTCACATTATCCCATATTTTGACTTTTGACCTTCCATCGTCGTTGTGAATTTTACTCGTCTGTAGTCTTGATGCACTCGTGTAGATTATTGTCGCGATTGTGAATTGGGATCAGAGCAGCGAGAAATCAGACATGCGATTCGTGAGGGTATGTATGACCAGAGTACATGTACTCCGTATCTTGATTTCTCATCTTGGTCACATTTGACCATCCTCTTCAACACGTCTTCTCACTGTTGGTCTTTTTATCATTGGCTTACACTACATTTACTGTTGGATCATTCATTGCTGAAGTGGTTTTTACTCGTTCATGACCTGTGGTACTGTCAAAAACTATGTATGGAGTGGAGATACGAGCTCGATCAAAGAACTTATACTCTATGACTACTCATAGAACACATCATCTGCATGATGGGTTTCTCTCTACCGTGATAAATTATCTCAAACTCGACCATTACACACGATATGATCATTGTACCATTCGATCTGCGTACCCATGTGATGAAACCGCACAAAGTAAACCATTCATCGAAATTCAAATATATCATAGAGTTTCCTGAAGATGTGAAGAATCAGTGGTCCATGTGAAACTTTTGGAAACGGTTCTCTGACTATATGATGTCCTTCGAGACTCGAACTTGTCCCTAAAATCCCCAGTCGTAAACATTATGACGAGGTTTCAGCAGCACGCTCCGCACCCAAGAGGACTCTTCCCATTTTTCGAAATCCCTCGCTTTGTTCTTAGACCGTTCAAAGTCTACCAAGCGCAGTTGTATCTCGAAAGGGTTCCACTGTTTTGTCGACTTCTCAGCAAGATATTCTTCTACCGTTTCGTATGCATGACAGGGAGGGTCAACCAACAGTACATGTTTGTGTTTGACGGAATCTTGGATAATTCCATGTTGAAATAGAGTACGATAGAGTCTTACGATCTCCTTCCTTAATGCAGTCAGTAATCGTCCGAAATAAACTCATTCCATGTCTTTTCCAAAATGATAAAAAAGTCGTTTTGATTAGCTCATCGACTGGTATCATCGGTATTGATGGTATGAAGGGGGTAAAATGTGATCTGGGAAGGAAGGGACTATGAATTTCTTGACAAAACACTTACTCGTGAAATTTCTTCTGCCATTGGAATGCCGGTGAACGATCAGAAACTGACAATCCGAGTCGATCAAGAACTAGAATGTAGATTGACTGAGAATCGGAGTCATTTTTTTCAACAGACTTTGACGCCATGCTGAATGCCCCAGGCCTGGAATATCGCTTCACCGCTCCGCAGAAAACCCCATAGCATCGGGGTACCACGCTACCTTGAAGAGGCTTGAGAGCCGTTTGATACATCTTGGCTTCATGTAGGAATACCTCCTTTGCTTGAGCTGGCGCGTATCGTTTGGAAAGTGTGGGCATGCAGATCTTGATGGCCACGCGGATGGGAGTCGTTCTGAGGCCGGGAGGGATGACAGTCACGTTGTTGCCCTTTTCATGAACCATGTTATTGAATTTGGGGTTTGATTCATTATCTTTCTGCCAACCCCATAAATCTCCTCCGAAAACATCGCCAAAGTGACCTGAGCCGACCTCAGGCGTAGACGTCAGACGGATGGACAATTGACGAGGTCCGATGTCTGACGTGGAATCCGAGATGAAAGAAAGAGTCGAGTTAGGTGATCCCAATTGTATTTCAGTCTGCGTGATCGGGTCTATGGCTTTCAGGACGAGGTCGGTAGTGTCAAGAGTCACGTTGCCATTGCTGAGGTGGAGTTGAGGAGGAGCAGGCGATGTTCCGGTCGAGTTCTTCTGCAACGGCTCACAAGTGACTTTTTCCTTTGAGAGGGGACAGATGGTGAGAGCGACAAAGGTGCTGAAGAATGTAGGCGAATATTCATCGAGCAAGGAAGTAGACTTGATGTCCATGATGGTGGAAGTCGTCGGTGTGATGTGAACGATTGGGTTCGAGCTTTTGGCTTTGCTTGGAGGTGACGATGACCCAGCCATGACGATATTTTCAATCGACTTGTTGAGAACTTCGCATGTTATCTCGTCAGCCGGGGCGTCCGCAGGGCCTTCTGCCTTGAAAGAAGAGTGTTCCAAATCCACGGAGACTTCCAATCCCTCAGCAGCCTTCGGATGACGGACGGATACTTCTGACGAACGCTGTCGGTTTGTCTTGGCCGAATCACGGTTGACAATGTCGGACACCGAAATTGAATTGTCATTTTCTCGGACAAAAAGAAGCAAATGATTTGGCGCCATGAGCACAACTCTCCGGCATTCGGCATCGCAAGTTGTGTCAAGAACCTATGGACGTCAGCCAGCTGGCATCAGAGGAATAGGGAGGACGCACCACATGAAGATATATCAGAGCTGGAGAAGATTGACAAGAAAAAGGCCTGGAACGACATTCATCATTCAATTCTTCTTCTTGCCCGCGGCATGTGATGGACAGGCCATCGGGCTTTTGTACCAGATCGACGATGGATTCGAGGACCTCATCGCCTTGGTAATGTGATAGGCAGATCGTTGCGAAGATATCTCTTTCATATTTTGGGTCTTCTCCGCGGCAGACCAGTTGAGTGATGCTATTTCCGAATGAGGTACGAATATAGTTAGGCCGTAATCGGTCCACTCGCATCTGTCCTGCACCATTCAAATTCCGGTTGTTTGGCAGTAAAAAGTCGATGACGTCGTGACAGAGCCCGAGGTTTGTCTTGCGAGTACGGGGAAAGTCCTCAACAGAGGGCACGTCGAGGGCAAGATGATCGAGGAGTTCGATATGCAGATTTCTCAACAGATGAGGGGCGAAACGAAATTTGGTGGTCGTGGGATATGTCGCCCGATGCATTCCTCCCATGGCCAGATCTATGTCAATCACGAAGTCGGTAAGGCAAGTCTCCGGGTCTAGTGTTAGAAGCTGCTGGATGGGAGACATCATCTTTGGCTGACGAGATGAAATGACTTTTACTGAACCGTGAGAGAAAAAGAAGAGAAAAAGTTTAGGTGTTTAAATGAACGCTTCATATGAAACGTCCAATATATTCCCCCTATCTTTGATCATCAAGGCTCATCTTCACATTCTCCTCTCCTCAGGGCGGTCCATATTGTGATCTGTTTCAGTTTCTGAACCCTTCGTTTCGATACTCATCGTACAGGGACAGGTAGAATCATCTTTTCCAAAAGGGGCAGTGGTGATCGCATCGATAGGGTGCAGTGATGGCGGATGGGGAGTGATGATGATCAAAGATAACAGGACGAAGCGAAGGGTAGTCGAAGAAAGGGAGCAGAGATGACGTGAGGTGACCATTTGAGACGGGAGCTCATCATGGCGGTTTCTGGGAGAATACCAACCCGACTCTGCTATCGTCCTCTTCCTTGATGTTCATTGTCACCAACCTCTCTGATCTCCTCGATCTTTGTCCCAGATGGCATTCCATATTTCTCACCAGATTCTCGCGTTTTGGAGTCGGTGATTCTTGCTTAATTTCCATTTGCCAGCCTTTGGTCTCCAGATTCTTCCTCTTATTCGGGCTGTTATTGTGTCCCCTGGGGTGGGGTCTCAGCTTTGCGTACACCGCACTGAGACTTTTCCATCTTTTCTCGTGGTCTCGAATCAGATCATCTTTCATAGCTTCCCAGTGACGATCGGATAGGGAGACGAGAAGGGTGACATATTCCAATTCTTCTTTGAGGCGTCGGACTTCCGCTCGTTCTATTTTGCTCGAAGTGTGTTTACGGTATAGACGTGGAGTTTCAAGGATGAATCCGACGTGAGATAGAGATCGGTGGCGCATGATATGACGTAAAGAGTCGACTCCTATTGTACCGCTTCCTATCAGCTCATCTCACACTACATTCAGGTAGGCGTCGAAAGGGAGGTGGCCAGTCATGGCATGGACGATAGTGTGGGAGGCGGTCCTTGATTTATGCAAATAAGAAAAGAGGATGTGTTCCAGCTTACCTTCCGATTCTGGCTGATCAGCAAACATCCATTGAGGGTGTTCATCCGTCAGGTGATATCACGAAAACCACTCAGCTCACCTGGAATGTACATCCTTCCCTGTACCATGTGGATAGACCGCTTCACTGACATGAACACATACGACGTTCTCCGCTCCCAACACATCTTCCATATCCGCGAAGAATCTTGCTAAACCAGAATCACTGGACAAATCGTAATTCCTGACATGTACATGACATAGATCAACGCAGAATTTCAATCGGCTCCGGTCCTTGATAAGATCCCGAACGTATCGAAGTTCAGCGAATGAAGTACCGATGACCGTGCCGGTCATTTGTCGACATGCCTCCAAATCAGCTCATATTTATTGAACATCTACACTTTCACCCTCTCGTTGCGATGTAGGTTGCATGACATGTAAGGGAGGAAGAACGAAAAACCAACCATGGTCTCAAGAACGAGTATAACGTCAGGACAGGACGCATGTAATTTGTCTATGTTGGCAGCTATCTGTCGTAGATGTTTTTCTCTGGAATCGTAATGTCCAAAACCGGGACTGCAGCTCAGCTATCTCCAAACCGTCGGCCATCCATTATTGCCACGCACAGGTCTGTAGGAGCATCATGTATATGAGAGGAAGGGTAGGAGATACACGTACTGAAGGACGAGATATTTCATACCAGACAAAAGGACAAGTCTCATTTCTCTCGCTATGCTGGTTAAACTGAGGTTGGTACCGTCTTTCTGTTCCCTGGTGCGTCAGCGTCTTCTCCCTTTTGGTGTGGTAAATTTCAATTACACGATGTCCAGTATCCAATACAGGAAGAGGAACTCACGGATGCGCAAGATTCTGAATATGAGAAGCATGTGGGAAGAGGTAGTTCCTGATCTGTGGGTCTGTCTATCAGCTGAGACTTCGAAATCGTAAGAGAACGAAAGGCTAAAGTAAATACCAAATGTCAGGTAGAAGAATATTCCGGAGGTACTGCATAAACCATGAGGAAGGGAAGAAGCAGGTCAGGCAGTGGAGAAGGTAAACTCTCACTCACCTGTTTCTGACAACTTTGACAAAGCTCCCCAAAAACCTTCCATGTCATTCTCTCCCCAATGATTCCCTTCCCCAACTCTCTTTTTAGGACAAACACAATGAAATCCCATCGCTCTCGCTCCAACATCCTGCATACGATTCAAGATCCCAGATTTGGGTCCGCGAGAGGTAGTGGTACTTCCTATCCTCACTTGTCTATCTGATATGGTGTCAAGCACGGCTAAAGCCTTTTTGATAGGACCTCCAACGATCAGACTTGACGTATTTTGAGAGCTCGTCTCAGAAGGGAGAACCGGGTACAATTCATTCAAATTCAGCTGGAATGGCTTGTGTCTTGATGATGGGGAGGAAGAGGAGGGAGTTTGCGATGATGAACCTGTGATAGTTTTTGGGCTCCAAGCTCGGTATGATTCGGGAGTAAATGTAGAGTACGAGCTACTAAGATCGATAGATAGAGGTGATTGCCTCCCATCGAAAGTGATTGAGTGTGACGGGGAGGTGATAGGGTCGAGTTTGATTGAGATAGAAGGAGATGTAGAGGTTGAATGTGAGCTTGATGTGTTGAATACACTCCTGCCCGAGAGATCAATCTTGGGTCCAAAGACGTCTTCCTCGACATCCTTCAAAATGGAAAACTTATTATCTGAAGTCAATCCCTCCTTACCACCCTTCGATGCGGGCCTCTTAATGTTCTGTCATCAGTAATTGTTCCCATCCAATCGCACTTACCTTAGTCCGTCTCCTGCTTCTCATCGCTGGGTAGCCAGAGCTTCTGGGTAGTGGTTTGACTGAAGTGCGAGGATCGTCCCACGAATTCGACCTTTTCTGAGATGAGTCAGCATGAGGCATGTTCAAGGACGATGACTTACTTGTGTTGTGAAAAAAGGTGAATCGCCCATTCTCTTGAGAAGCCTGAGCATTCGTAGATGCTTCGTTTTAGGTGACAATTTGTTCTTTACCGATGAGGGCGTCTGGGGTTGTTCATAAGTACAAGAATATTTTCTTGGCGGGGTGATTGACTCTGGCGTAGGATAAGGCATGATACGCGACATAACGACTTGATTAGCCAACTGAGTCACTGTCAGATATGTCGTATGAATATGAATATAAGTATGAGTATGAGTATGAGTGTGTATTTAATCTGAAGAGTACTTAGTGTGCAAGAAATAGATGAGTAGAGTCAAAGAAAGTTTTCCACTTTTAGTGCAGGGAAGAATTAGCAGCTCGGATGTGATTTTGTACCTGTCTCGAATGATCAAAGGATGTCCAGAAGGTATCCCCTAAGAACAACCTGAAAGTGGACGCGTGCTGTAAGTACATAAGGGATAGATGAGTTAGTAAGTCGAGTAACACCCCAGATCACATGCTATTACCTACCCGACCATAACCTCATGATATCAAGTCCGCATACCTCCTATCCTTCCATCATCCGCTTCCCCTCTTGTCTCCTGATTAGACACGCCCATTTCTGGAACCTCCCCCACCATGAACCCTGATAACGGTATTGAGACTTGCTGAGGTGTCGGGGCACTGACCTGAAAGGATGGAATGACCTGGGCGCTATCGATGGACGGCCGACTACCCTCTCGATCTTGTATCGTATTATCGTCTGATTGTGAAGGTGAACGGTGTTTGTCTTCAGAACCGAGATGCGAATTCTTGTTCTTCTTCCCTGGTCCACGTCGGCGAAGGATAGCATCGTATTCGCAAACATCCTCGTTTCGACGTGAACAATGATGACATTTCGGACGTCCTCCGTCACATCTGTGAGAACGTCAGCCAGATATCAAGTATGATTGTGAAGAGATGACTTACTTGAGCTTTCTCGCACGACACATATGACATGCAATGACCGCCTTTTGATCAGGATTCTTAGACGGGGGCATGGGTAAAGACATGTGCGCCTTCTTGCGCTTACGATCAGGGGATGATCTCCTAGGAGGCGTAGGAAGCGCTGTCGGTAGAGAGGGTGGATCTACCGGTTGAAAGGATGGTAGTGGATGTGACTGTTGTTGCCAGATCTTATAATCCTCATTCGAATGTGATGGTTTTAACATTTCCAACGCCCAAGATCCTGGAGGTGCAGAGCAAGCCGATGTACCGGCAGATAGAGGACTGAGTCGAGAAGAAAGTGCTGATCGACGTGTTTGAGCGGAAGGTAATGCAGAGGGAAAAGGTAGTGGAGGTGAGGATTGCGACTGGCCGTGGACTCGGATCTTCAACACAGGAGGGAGATTATTTTGATTAGAGATTGAATCTGATTGAGTCGGATCAGCCTGGGTGGGTACTTGGACGACCGGTTGAGGTTCAAGTTGAGGTTGCGGTTGGGATTGAGTGGGAACTTGTGGTTGTGATTGGGTGAGGGGAATGGACGCTGATGTTGAAGATGTTCCCATGGAAAAATCGAAAGGGAAGACGGCCTTTGGAGCGTGAGTGGTGGCTGGCGTATGGTAAAAGTTGGAGAACCCCACAGTAGAATATACACCCTGGATCGGATCCCATTTCCATACGTCCTCCGGTAAAGCAGGTGCGACAAGATCGGGTGGAATATGAACTTGACTGAAATCTTGTAGCGCAGCCTCAAGAGCAAGATCTTGCATGGGTGTAGATGTGAGATTCTGTAGTTGAGCTTGTGATTGAAGAGCCGATTGCGTTTGAGAAAGCGTATGCGGGTTGTCGAGTAAATTATAAGAAGAAGAGGAAGAGGTCTGGGCTTGATCAAGATTAAGTTTTGCTTCGAGCAGCTGAGTGAAGCGGTCACCGGTTGCCAAGTTTACCATTGGATGAACGAACTCGTCACTAGGAAACAAGATCAGCGTTATTCTCCGTAAAAGTCTATAAAGGACGTAGGTTCCAGGAGAAAGACGATGATGAAGTGAAGCACTCACAAAATGGATGGTGCACTCTTCCTTTTCTGACCTTGCCACCAATCTTCTCCATCCGTAGGCAAGACGCCCTCGGGAAACAGCTGTGGCACCGATTTGCGCTGAAACCTTCCCATAGGTATGGTCGAATGAGAAGGCATTTCAGAGATGGACATCTGGGGCGCAGTGGAGTTGGAGGAAGACGGTCCGGGTGCCGATGATTGAGTGGGGAAGGCGGGGCCCGATGATGATGATGATGATGATGTGGGAAAAGTGGGAAGAGGAGGGAAGATTGGGAATTGAAAAGTGTTATAATTTTTGGTATTACTAGGTCCCGCCTGGAGTTGTTGAGAGAAAGAGGAATGTTCCATGATGTTGATCATGAACCCACCGAGGGCGTGTATGATATGAGAATAAAGATTGGGGTAGAAACGCGGGTTTGCGTCTCAAAGGTATTCAAACGTGGTTAGGGTCAAGGGGTGGGCGAAAGGCAAATTGTGATGCTAAAGATATTCGCTGTGTGGTTCCTTCATCCGCCGAGCGGTGAGGATAGTTGGTTACTCGTAATTTAAAAGTGGAGTGATTGTTTGATACCGCTTCGGTCTTCTCGGTGTGAAGTGGAAACGGATATGTTTGAGAAGAATAATAACGGCCGTTGTGGTCGGACGAAACGAAGATGATCAAAGGTCGGCTTTATGGATTTGAATCCTTATAATCTGGGCAGATCCTTAGAGACGAGGAGACATCGAAGGGTGACTGTTCCAAGGCGGTGTACAGGTGTATGTGACGTCGGCGATGTACCAGTACACGCCAAGTTAAAGACTAAGGCGATAAAGGTAAGTAAAAGATTAGATGAGCAAGGGAAAGAAACATGTCGGACTCGGAGGAGATGATGGGGGTTCACTCCGTTACTTCGGCGATTGACCATCCGATTACAAACGTCGCATGGCAGCACGCGGTGCATAAGTCACGGTTAAACTTTCACACGGACACGGATCACACGGAGCAACAGAGCAAACTCAGGCGAAGGAGCATTAATTGACACATGACAAAGAGGCGACGGCTTTTGAAAGAATGTCATAGCACAGCATATGTACAACAACTAACTTATCTCACCTCCACACTACTAATCTCTATCCTATGCAATTATCTTCTCCAACACCCCCATCACCTCTTTGATATCCGTTCCCCAGAAGCAAGTTTGAGAAAAAGGGCGATGCTTTGGCAAGGACGCGTGCAACGATCAAACGCCGGATGGCCGTGCAATTTCTGTCCAATGAAATATCAATCAACTTGCATCTTGAAACGTCCTCTTCACCCCCTGTCTATTCTTCTCCCACAACGTCGGGATCCTCTCCTTCGAGGTGTCCCTCCCTTCCTTCGTACTAGCTCCTTACGGCGATTGCTCGTCATGGTCTGGAACTTGAGAGGAAATTGATCCCTTCTTTCATATCCGTCGGTCGAGGCTTCGAGGGTGGGCCCATAACCTCTCGGTACTCCCGGACTCCGTATATAAAATTTATCGGACCATGAATGGAGACAGGATACCAAGACGTCCACTCCGGGCACCACCCTAGTCTCGTCCGGGCACCACCTGCCACACTCAGGGTATTCAGGCACGTACCATCGGAATTTCAGTAACGCCGACCACGCGACGGACATGAACTCGCCACTGATCGGGGTTTCAATAACGCCGACCTCCACCACAACGACGCGACATGTCTGCTCGCTACCTACCAACCTGTCCTCACCACCACTAATCTCTTTATCGTCATTTTACTGGTAAACTCACGCTCTTTTTCACACACACTGTCTCTACTCGTCTCAAGGATCATTTTGATACTCTTCTCACTCTTTTACGACTACTTTTCACCCACTTCTGGCCCTTCGCCTTCTCAACCTGCGCCCTCCTGACTACCACCCATCAAATTGCTATAACTTCTTACCGAGCAATCGTTGTATTCTCTCGTATTCTCGACGCTGTTCTACTGCTCTCTGCGAGTCTATGAGTACTCTTCTCATCCAAAAATGTAAAAATCTGACTTTTACAGGATCTCGTCATCATCATCACCCTCGCCACCCAACTTCTCTCGGTGAAAGACTTTTTTTGCTCTTCAAAAACACCTCTTCAGCCTTGGTCAATAACTCGACACTGTTCTCCTGTTGTTCCTGAGCTGTGAGTACTTGTTTTATCATCAGAAGTGAAATGCTGACTTCAATAGGCCTCCTCAACATCAAAATCCTCGCCACCACACCAAACTGCTCGAACAAACTTTTTTCCCGCGATAACACATATGCAGCGACACTGATCCCTGGTTCTTCCTGAGCTGTGAGTAGTTGTTTTACCATCAGAAGTGAAATGCTGACTTCAATAGGCCTACTGAACATCATCATCCTCGCCACCACACCAAACTGCTCGAACAAACTTTTGTTTGCTGTTCAACAACACATCTTCAGCCTTTGACAATAATTCGACACTGTTCGCCTGTTCTTCCTGAGCTGTGAGTACTTCTTTTATCGTCAGAAGTGACAATCTGACTTCCATAGGCCTGCTCAATATCAAATCCTCGCCACCGAACTCCTCTCGAAAAATTCTTTTTCCTGCGATAACACATATTCAGCCTCTATCGATAACTCGACGCTCTTCTCCTGGCCTCTGCGAGTCTGTGAGTACTCTTCTCATCGAAAAATGTAAAAATCTGACTTTTACAGGATCTCGTCATCATCATCATTTTCGCCACCGACATCCTGGCAAAAAAAAATTTAATTCTTCAACAACACCACCCCCGGCGTCGTAATTTGTCGACATGTATTCTGCTGGTCTCGGGCTACGAGTGAGTACCATTTTTACTGCATGAAGTAGTCATTCTGATGAGTTAGATGTCATCACCGATTCTTATCCAATCATCACCACCCTCATCACCAATTCTGGATCGTTTTTCACGGTCCCCTTCTATTAAATTCAGTCCTCATCACTCTCGGTCTCCTTCTATCATACCAGAGACTCAGCAACCTCGTGACCACGACTACGATGATGATGAACTCGATAACCTGCTAGCAAATTTAGAGCTCGATGTTCGCGAACCAATTGGCTTCGATCGTGTGGCTCACCACATCCACCCCCCCTTCGATCTTGAACCTCAACCAACCATGTCAGCAGCTCGACTTCATACCCAACAGGCTGCCATGACCCATACCGTGTGCATTGTCACCTTGCGAAGCAATGAACCTAAAGGCAAGCTCGAACTACAATGTGCTCATGGCGGGGATGGTCGGTCACATCGTTCTGATGACTTTGAAGATGTTAGAAAACGACCTCGTACTACCAAGCAAAACAACTGTCCCTTTTCTATCATATGGCGACGAGAGACGAAGAAGATTGCTCAAGAGGCCAACCGTGAACCCCTCTGGATCCCCTACATCATCGAAAATTCTCACACCCATGAACCTATCCCTCTCCTTCATTACTCTTTTATTCGACAGGCTAGCCGTTCTCCTGAGGTACTTCAGTTCATTAAAACCCTCCTCAACAGTCCTCACACTCTTCGTGGTATCGTTGCTGCCGTCCACCAACATTTCGGTGATAAAGTGTCTCTGACATCTCAAGATATTCAAAATATTCGAACTCGTCATGAGAAATTACTTCGACAAGGGCTTTCAGCAACTGAAGCAGCTGTTCGACGGCTCACCGATAACAACGACCTTTTTAAAGTGTTCACCAACAGTAAAAAAGAACTTTGTGGCCTCGTCTTTACCACTCCGTCAGCCAGAGCCATGACTCATTCGTATCCCACCGTTCTTTTTATGGATTGTACTTATCGAACAAACCGTTATCGTCTACCAATGCTACACATCTCCGGTTTTACTGCTACCAATCAAACCTACACCTCTGCATTCGCATTTTTAAGTCGAGAAGTGACCGAATGGTATTCCCTCGCGATCAAAAGTTACCTCGAACTCATGGGCCCAATCAACAATGATATCAAAGTTATCGTGTGTGATCGAGAGATCGCTTTACATAATGCTCTGTATTTCCACCTCCCTCATGTCCAATTGAACTTTTGCCGCTGGCACCTTCGAGAAAACATCAAGGTGAACTGTCGTAAAAATTTTCAGTCCCTTTATAAAGAGGAATGGGTGGAGAAGTTATCTGAGTTTGGTGATCACTTCATGGTGGATATCTGTAAAGCAAAGTCTGAAGAGTCATTAGATAAAGCTCTGTCTTCAATGCAGACTCGGTGGGGACATGAACAGTTGGATGGTGCGAGGGCTTATGTGAGACAATTGGTGGATGATCATAAGACACACTTCGTCTCTGCTTTCATCGATAAACACACTCATCTTGGTCAAACATCAAACTCTCGACTCGAAGGAAACCATAACGCATTCAAGACACGCCTTGTCACGAACTACGTCGCGACACCTCGATTACTCCACCAACAATGACCCTCCTTTGGCCATCAAAACCCCATCACGCCTTAACCTCTTTACTCTACACGTAACTCAGGACTTCTGACACCAAGTACGGCGAAGTTAGACGGAGTTAGGCTAAGTAGGAACAATGGGAGCAGAAGTACGGCGAAGTTAGACGGAGTTAGGCTAAGTAGGGACAATGGGAGCAGAAGTACGGCGAAGTTAGACGGAGTTAGGCTAAGTAGGGACAATGGGAGCAGAAGTGCGGCGATGTTAGGCGGAGTTAGTCGAAGGAGGAAGAGGATGGCCGAGGGCTCGGGGAAGTTGGACGAAGTGCGTTGAAGTACGTCAAAGCGCGAGAGGGTTGGATGAACGTCTAGGAGGAGTAGATAATATTAGCTGAGAAGATCGCTGAAGTTCTTCAGCGATCCTTGATTGTTGTCAGTAGTGAAAGACAGATAGAGATAGCTATAAATCAAGATACATCGCCATCAGTAGAACAAAACCCTAGTTAGAGTAACTACGCCGAAGTACGCCGTAGTTACACCCCTTTCGACGTCTGCGCCCTCCTGGTTGGGTGAGACATCGACTCAGAGCGTGAAGTTAGCCGAGGTTCGTCGACCGTCGGTCTATTAAGAAATAGTTGTTCGACGGCCGTGACAGTATCAAGGATCGCTCTTACCGACGACCCGTGCGAACCTCGGAGAAGTACAAAGATAATATGGAACCAGAAAGAAGAATTACACGAGGGATGAGTAGGGATGGAGACAGGATGGAGGAGAACGAGAGGAGAGCATTGGAGGAGCTTAGCAGAGCAATGGGGCAGGACCTTGGAGTGGAGGATAGTGTGGGGGGATCAATTCAAGGAGATGAGTTCGTTCCACCGGTGCCTTCTAACCCTCCTTCTCCTCCGTCTAATGCTCTCCCACCTGCGGGATCCCCACTTGGATCAGACCAAACCCCACGCCCAAGAGAAAACACTGGAAGTACGGCAAACTTGGGAGAAGAAGGAACACAAGGGGTGGTGTTGGCCTTGATGCAGATGGTGGCGAATATGAACAAAGACATGATGGAGGAGAGAAGGCGTAGGGAGGAATGGGAACAGAGAAGAGAAAGGGATACAGTGGGCGGGATTGCAGAAGGGATATCAGAAGGAGTGAGGTACGCCATGGGACGGCAAACTTCGGCGACCCCAAGCGTAGTGGGCGAACAACGGAAGGGGATAAAGCTACCTAACCCAGACCTCTGGAGAGGAGATCGGAACAAGTTAACCGCCTTTCTGTCTGAGTGCGACGTACATTTCGAATTGAACTCTCATCTTTTCCCCGACGACACTAAGAAAGTCTTTTTCATGATCTCTCATCTACGCGAAACACCTCTTCTTGCAGTGCAGCCCGATCTATCCAAAAGACCTCTTCCTGAGTACCTCACGACACACGATCAGTTCGTTAAGTACCTCAAGACTAACTTTGGTGATCCAGACGAAGAAGGAACTGCGGCCCGACAACTTAACGACCTCAAGCAAACCGGGTCTGCTTCGGACTACTTCTCCGCCTTCCAGCGACATGTTGCGATTCTTAAGTGGTCTGATGATGGAAACCTAGTTGACCGAGCCAAGAAAGGACTAAAATCGCACCTTCTAGATGAAATTGCAAGACACGGTAGATCGTTTGGGACTGTGAAAGAGCTATTGGAGTTTGTGATTCCCTTGGACAACCGCCTGTGGAGGAGACAAGTGGAGAAGGAGGCAGAGAGGAAAAGGGAAGGAGGGATAAGGACAACGACAGTGGTGGAAAGTCAGAGGACGGAGAAGAAAGAAGAGAAGAAATGGGAAAAGGGGCAACCTTCGGCGCAGGGTGGTGTCCAGGCGGCTATGATGTCGACGGTGGTAAAGAGTACACCGTCAAACATCGACGAAGTTCGCCGAAGATGGCCTAGGCCGAGCTCCGATCTGAGGGAGACAAGGAGGAAGGAGGGGAAGTGTACCGAGTGTGGTGAAGCAGGACATTGGCTGAAGGAATGCCCTGTAAGGGAGGCTAAGGTTAAGGTTGGACTGTTGCCTCCATGGGGGGAGAAGTTCGGAGAACGTGGTGGAGGATCGGGAGGGAACGCAGTACCTCTCGGACAGAGGAGGAACTTGAATGCGGTTGGAGGAGAAGTAGATTTGGAAGAGGACCAGGGAAAAGAAGAGGACCTGTCGCAGTAGGCGAGGCTCGGCGGGTCCGCCATATTCTCTCGGCCACCATTCCCAAACCCATAAAAGAAACACAGCTGATGGAGCCAGAGGATTGTGAATACAAAAATACACCACTCAGTACCCCTTGTTCATGCAATGTCGATAATCATCTCCTCATCCCTTCCGTTTCCAGAGATCAACCTAAATCGGACATTTTCATTAATGGAATAAAGCTAACTACGCTCTGGGACACTGGAGCTACTTGTTCATATATAAGCCCTAAGGCAGCAGCGAAGATAGGTGTAGAAAAGAGGCGATATCAGGTGAGCGTACCCGTTCACATGTTCGACGGCTCGGTGAGTGTCGCTGGACCCATCACCGAGTTTGTCGAAGTCGGATTTAGTTTGACGAAGGACGCCGAAGTGCGATCTGTTTGTCTCGATGTAACAACGCTCTGCGACGCAGATGTTGTGATAGGGTGGGATTGGATGAGGAAGGAAGGGGTTGTCCTTGATGGAAGAGACAACTCGGTGAAATTTCCCATCCCAACCCCACCAAGTGCGGCGAAGTTAGCGGCCATAGGGCTGCCGACTCTGACGGACGCGATAGACCTCCGCGGCGAAGATGAGCTTGAAGAGCTGAGCCCGGAGGAACAAGACGAGTTGTTCCAGGTAGTTCCTGAACAATACCACCAGTACATTGACGTTTTTAATCCGAAGAAGGGAGGAGAGACCCTTCCCCCTTCAAGGTCCTACGATTTGAAGTTTGAGCTTAAGGAGGGGGCGAACCTTAAGGTCGCCTCCCTCTATGCTCAAGGAGAAGATCAGAGACGCGCGCTGAGAGACATACTAGATCGCGAAATCGCCGCTGGCCGAATTCGGGCAAGTAACTCGCCATACGGCTCACCAATGTTTATGATACCGAAGAAGGCCGAAGGACAATGGCGAATGGTCATCGACTATCGAAAACTGAACGAAGCGACCATACCAGATGCCTACCCTCTCCCTCTAATAGGTCAAATTACCGAAGAACTTGGAAAAGCAAGGTATTTCAGCAAACTAGATCTAATTGGAGCATACCAATTGTTGAGGGTGACAGAGGGACATGAACACCTGACGGCGTTCAGGACACAGTATGGTATGTTTGAATCTCTGGTTGTTCGTGATGGGCTGCGAAACGCCCCCGCGGTCTTCCAACACTTCCTAAATGAGGTGTTTAGAGAGCTACTAGGGAATGGAGTCGTGGTCTACATTGACGATATCCTCATTTATGGGAATACGTTGGAGGAATTACGAGGAACTACGGCGAAGGTCTTTGAGGTACTGCGGAAGGCGAGCCTGTACGTGAAAGCTAGTAAGTGCGAGTTCGAAAGAGATTCGGTGGTGTTTCTGGGTTTTGTGGTATCCTCTAAAGGTGTATCGGTGAACCCAGAATACATTGATGCCATCACTTCCTTCCCACGTCCTAAGAATCTACGAGAGTCAAGGGGATTCATTGGAGTTGTAAGCTACTACAGGCGCTTTGTCCCCAACTTCTCGAAGATTGCTAGACCTATCAATGACTTGACAAGGAAGGAGGTACCATTTGTATGGGGAGTCGAACAGGAGTCAGCCTTCAAAGAGTTGAAGGCTAGGATGTGTACTGCGCCGGTGTTAGCCCATTTTGACCCTACATTGAAGACGATATTACAGACAGATGCGTCGTTCTTCGGCTGGGGGTTCATAATTTCGCAGATCAACACGGCTGGTCAAGAACACCCGGTAGCTATTGAGTCTGGTGCTTTCAACACAGCTCAGCTGAATTATACGGTAGGAGAAAAGGAGTTCCTCGCTGTAGTGGAGGGTTTCAGAAGAAGGAGACACTTATTATTGCAGGTAGAAACCACAGTACTTACCGACCATCTAAACCTTACCTACTGGATGGAGCCGAAACAACTCAGTCCTCGGCAAGGTAGGTGGGTAGAGGAGCTAGCTAACTTCAGGTTTAAAATGGTTTATCGGCCAGGAACCCAGGCAAGTCTTCCAGATGGATTATCTAGACGGGCGGACTATCATTCCGGGAAAGGAAGTACCATGGTACAAGAGAGCAACCTTATCCAAGGTCTGCCGAAGTTCGACGAAGTTGACGCCACCACGTCGGAGTTGCGTCACCTCCTTCGAGCATTGCAAGGGACAAGGGAGGTAAAGGAAAATGATCTTGTGGACCCTATGGATCTAGTACTTGGAGTTCAGGAGGACGAAAACATAGAAGGGGTCAGAGAAGAATTATTAGGAGTCGTTTGCGCTGAGTGTTCTCATCCTACGTGTAACGATAACGTGCAGGAACCAGGATCAATCACCGAACTACGCCGTAGTTCGCGGTCTCCTCTAATCCTTCGTGGGGGGTGGAACTCAAGAGGTTTCCTCACATTCGACGATCGCATTTATGTGCCGAACTACGCCGATGCTCGGCTGAAGATCATGAAAATGCGACATGACTCGGCCTTAGCTGGTCACCCAGGTTCAGCGAAGACCCTTGAGCTAGTTCTAAGGGACTATGTCTGGATTGGAGTAAGGAAGGATGTTGAGGACTACATCGCTGGATGCGCGGTATGTCAGAGGGCAAAGACTAATAGACAGAAACCCCATGGAGAGCTTAAACCACTGGAGGTAGCTACGAAACCTTGGTCTAGCATCTCGATGGATTTTATTGAGGAGCTGCCAAATTCCCATGGATATAACTCCATCCTGGTAGTGGTGGATCGGTTGACCAAATGGGCCATTTTTATCCCGACTACGACAAAGTTAACCGCAGCCGGCCTATCAGAGTTGATATTGGACTATGTGGTGGCCCAGCATGGGTTGCCAGAGAATATAGTATCGGACAGGGGATCGAAGTTTACCTCCAAGTTCTGGAAGAATTTGACCGATAGTCTCGGAATAAGACTACATCTCTCTACTGCATATCATCCACAGACTGACGGACAGACCGAACGAACCAACCAGTCTTTGGAACTGTATCTTCGAATCTTCACCTCCTATCAGCAGAACGACTGGTCAAAGCTACTCGCTCGAGCTAGCTTTGCTTACAACAACACCCAGCACTCTGCGATAAACAAAACCCCATTCTATGCGAACTATGGATATCACCCTCGTTGGGCTGAAGAGATAAAGGCTAGCGAGGTCGAAGTGCCCGCTGCTACGGTGGTGGTAAAAGACTTGACTGAAATACACAAAGATTGTATCGAAGGAATTGAGAAAGCTAATGAGAAGTACGCCGAAGGATACAATAGGAAACACCGGACTACGCCGAACTTCGCGGAAGGAGACCTAGTGATGCTGTCGTTAGAGAATATTAAGACGAAGAGACCAATGAAGAAGTTAGATGTTAAGCAAAGTGGGCCGTACAAGGTAGTACGGCAGGTAGGTTCTCATGCTTGTAAATTGGAATTACCAGGAACGATGGCAGGTATCCATGATGTATTCCATGTCTCCTTGCTCCGTCCTTATCACCCTCCAATATTTCCTGGTCAGCAAGCTGAGCCACCTGGGCCAGTAGAAGTAGACAATGTGGGAGAGTCTTGGGAGGTAAAGGATATTGTGGACTCTAGAGTAAATAAGAGGTCAGGAAAGTTAGAGTACTTGGTGGAGTGGTTAGGTTACGAAGGAACAGACGATTCAGTATCATGGGAACCAGTGGAGAACGTCGATGGAGCTGATGACATATTGGCGAAGTTCCACGAACTTCACCCTACTAAGCCGAAGGAAGGGCGCCTGCGAAGGGCTAGGAGATAGAACGTACTGCATACAACATAGGATTACAGCTACGTACCGCTCACTTGTCCTTACTCTTACCCTTACCTTTTCCTTTTCCTTTCTCCTTCGATCTACTCGGTCCCGCGGGATTGGTATGGAGGCTACCGATGACCGAAGGTAGATCGAGAGTCTCAGACGGGAACGCAGTAGAGAGAGAAGCATTCCATGCCCGATTCATAGCCCCAAAGAAGTCACCGAAGTCCTGGACATCTCGAGCAGCTTGCATGCTCGGAGTCCTCCACAGAGAACGTATGGTCCGTAGACACTCGAAGGGAAGACTGAGGAGGTCGAGAGCAGTCTGGGCGGAAGCTGGGACACGAGAACTACTACGGCGACCTAACCAGTCAAGGGACGGTGGTGGCTCATACGCCATAGGAGTGACTAGGAAGGGGGTGTCGAACAGTCTTCGGCGAACATTGGCTATCTCAGTAAGGCTTCGGCGAGAGACGTCCGCTAACCTTGTCCTTGCTTCGTCGTCCAGAGCCTCAGTGTTGACTACATCTACTAACGCCGCAGTGAGATTGTTTAAAGCGTTAGCTTGACGAGAAGAGAAGTCAAGCAGGAGAGATGTATCATTTCGGGCGGCCTCGAGCTGAGTAGTGAGACCGAGGACGAGAGAACGATAAGTGGCGAATTCCTTTTCGTCCTCAGGAATACGGACGTCCAGGGAGATACGAGGGTGGACGAGGGACAACCGGGGAGCAGAGGGACCAGCACGCTGAGTATCTTCACCTTCCACATCACCATCATTGAAGGCAACCTCCTTCTCTTTAGATTTCCCTTTTGATTTCTTTAAAGAAGACTTCGGTGTCTTCTGGGAAGCAGAGGGAGGGGTGACGGGAGGGGCCGCCGAAGTGGCCGGAGGAACAGAAGGACGCCGACTTCGGGTGCTGTGAGCCGGAGGAGAAGCTACCACTGGAGAGGACGGACGTGGCGCCGAAGGACGAGAGGCCGAAGGACGGGAGGCCGAAGGAGCAGAGGCCGAAGGACGGCGAGAAGACGAAGGAGGAACAGCCGGGAGACGTGATGGGCCGGCCACAGGAGCGAAGGGCGACGGCGACGGAGGCGACGGGCGGAGGTCCGGCGAAGTACGGCGAACCGACCGGAGAGACGAAGGCGGTACCCGCGAACGGGGGACAGACGCTGGAGTCTGGGGAGGGGGGAGAGGAGAAGCGTCGAAGGGACGGGGCGGGATGTCCCGGGCAGAGGAAACGGGACAGAAGGAGCAGGGGCCAGACGTGCATGAAGCACAACGGAGGGCCTTGTTGTGTGGCCTGACTGCCTTGAGGCAGGGCCAGTTTGGACGATTATACGTGATAATCTCACGTCTACTAATTAGCAGGAGTAACTTCGGCGTAGTACGAATAGGTGGACTCACCGGCAACGATCACACGCTTCGTCAACACCAACCGCGATCCAACGACCAGGCTCGGACTTCATCTTCTCCCACAAGTACTCTTCTTCCCGCAGTGATCTCTTCACCCGTTTGGGCGAAGGCTCCCCTCTGGGAGAAGGGGGGGGAGCAGCGACGGGGGCGGCGGGAGCAGGACCGGCGGCGGCAGCAGGAGCGATGGCGGCGGCAGAGCGGGCGGCGGCAGCAGCGGCGGCAGCGGCGATGGCGTTGGGGGGGGGGAGAACCCCGGAAGGGGGAGAACCCCGGAAGAGGAAGAAGAAGAGGAAGAAGAAGAAGAGGAAGAAGAAGAAGAAGAGAGGGAACGGCGTCGTTTCTGGCCCACAATTTGAGCAGGGGGAGGGGCAGGAGCGGCTGCGAGTTAGCAATGTCTTGGAGAGCTAAAGAGCAGATAAACAAGGCCAAGTTCGGCGAAGGTGTGAGAGGTTGGACGAAGAACTCACGCTCAGGACTATCTACGTTGTTGTCCTCTACACTAACCGCCACCATATCATCATCCGAGTGTTCCTCTAACTCGGTTTCACCCTCCGACACGATTCTATCATCCTCATCACTATAATCACCCCCTTTTCCTTCGAAGTCTGACTGATCGTCCGACTCCGAACCACTGAGCGACTCCTGGTCGGAGGAGGACGGAGACTCACCAGGACGAAAGGCGGGCGTCCTGCGGCGAGGGCTGGCGGCAGGAGGGGAAGCAGAGCGAGAACCAGGAGGAGGAGAAGCAGAGGGAGAACCAACGGGAGGACCGGCGGGAGGAGAAGCGGAGCGAGGAGGCGGGACATCGCCAGACGGCTCCCCCAAAGAGAGGGTGCCGAGGCCGAGGGAGGAGACTTGGCGAGATCTGTCGCCGAAGGAAACTGAACATCAGCCAAGTCCGGCGAAGTAAGGTAAGTGTCGAGGAATAACTCACGAGCAGACGACACCATACCACCAAAGTTCCTCATGGCGGCGAAAGGGTTAGAGGTGGGAGTAGGAGGGGCCATGACGTTAAAAATACTTAAAGAAATAAAAGATGATTCAAGGTAACAAATCTGTTTTCTAGGTAAGAGAGATAGAAAGTTTTGAAAGCAGATGGGAAAAAGAGAGAAGCTCGACGAACTGCTCAGTATTTAGTATAATCAAACCTAAACCCTCGTCGTCAACATGCAGCAAACTTCGCGTTTCATCAACAAAAGGCATCGCAGGGACGATCAAAATTCCCACGCTATAGTGTCTCATCTCAATATAAGCGAGGGTTACTTCGACAAACAACGGTGTTGTTCGGCTGCCATTCAGGAAGCGTGTCTCACCTACAAAAGACACAGGGCTTCTTACGGCAAACCTCGACGAAGTTAGGGGAGTCTCATTGTCGGGTTTTGGAGTGAAAGGAGGCCCAACTACGAAGTGCGGCGCAAAGAGCAGAAGGGTGAAGGATGGTCATGGGGAGGGAGAGAATGGGGGTACTACGCTGCTAAGTTCTCTTGACACGACAGAGGTGTAATCGCTCACGAGGACGTTCGCGGCTAAAGAAGGGGGCGACTGTCACGAACTACGTCGCGACACCTCGATTACTCCACCAACAATGACCCTCCTTTGGCCATCAAAACCCCATCACGCCTTAACCTCTTTACTCTACACGTAACTCAGGACTTCTGACACCAAGTACGGCGAAGTTAGACGGAGTTAGGCTAAGTAGGAACAATGGGAGCAGAAGTACGGCGAAGTTAGACGGAGTTAGGCTAAGTAGGGACAATGGGAGCAGAAGTGCGGCGATGTTAGGCGGAGTTAGTCGAAGGAGGAAGAGGATGGCCGAGGGCTCGGGGAAGTTGGACGAAGTGCGTTGAAGTACGTCAAAGCGCGAGAGGGTTGGATGAACGTCTAGGAGGAGTAGATAATATTAGCTGAGAAGATCGCTGAAGTTCTTCAGCGATCCTTGATTGTTGTCAGTAGTGAAAGACAGATAGAGATAGCTATAAATCAAGATACATCGCCATCAGTAGAACAAAACCCTAGTTAGAGTAACTACGCCGAAGTACGCCGTAGTTACACCCCTTTCGACGTCTGCGCCCTCCTGGTTGGGTGAGACATCGACTCAGAGCGTGAAGTTAGCCGAGGTTCGTCGACCGTCGGTCTATTAAGAAATAGTTGTTCGACGGCCGTGACACGCCTCAAGAATTCGTATAGCGATACAGGATGTATTTTCATGGAAGGTGGTAGATCAAGTCTGAATGCAAGGGGAGATGATGTGGCTTCAATGATTTTGAAGGTTCAGGACCCCAACCTCGTCTCTATCTTCATCAATGTCAAGAATCGAGTGTCAAACTGGTCACTATTCCTCATGAACAAGCAGTACGATAAAGCAACCTCTGGCAAAATCGATAATGATGACGAGAGCAACATGTATTCGACATCAGTGGGCCTCCCTTCTGCTCGGCACATAAAAGAAGTACTTGAAAATGATGGTACCATTGCTCTCTCTCCTCTCCATCGTCATTGGCGTCTTCTCAACCCCTACACCTGGCCAGACACGATCAAACAGGCCACTGCGAAAGTCAGTGGAGATATTAGTGGGGTTCATCCACTGCTAGGGCCTGAGTGGGATGTGGATAACGATACGAATCGAATTCGAGACCCCCACCTGCGAAGAAACAAGCTTGCTTTATCCAGGAAGAACAATCAGAATCCCCCTGTCCCCTCTATCACTCAGATCGACTTAACGAAGGATAATGACGATGATGACGACCTGTTACCTGTCGAAAACCCCTTCTTTTCACCTCCTTCTCCTACTCTTCCTCCTTCGCCTAAAAGAGGCGTAAAATCGAACCCCTCACAAATGTCTAATGATGTCTCTCACACCGGCCGTCTCCACACTCAGTCAGAGAAATTCATTGGTATCAAGAAAAAGGCGAATCGTCCCTGTCCCCTGTGTGGTTCAAGAAGTCATGGTCCTAAGAAGTGTAAAAGGGCTAATGAACATCGAGAGAGGGATCCTGAGGCCTATGATCGCGAGGTAAAGGCGTATGATGCTGGAGAAACGACCTGGACAGAGGGATCGGTGTTGGGAACCAATGCTGCTCTGGAGAAGAGACTAGCAGAGCTTCAGGAGACGGTTGCTGGCCTGACTAAGAGTATCCAGGAGGACAGAGATAAAAGGGAGAAGGAAAATCGGCCTGTAGTGGTGAGGACAGAGGACAGGATGGTGAGGAGACAGGATGTGATGGCCGGGACAGGTTATCTGGTGGGTTTCTCATATGATAATGACATTTCTCCTTCCCTCCTTCTCCCGCTCTCTGTCCTGCAGTCATTCCTGGCTATATTGCTCTGTCTCTGTCTATATTGCTCTGTCTCTGTCTATATTGGCCTCACGATCTCGAAAATTTTCACTCTTCTCTTAGTCTCTTACTTCTAAAAGTTTCCTGCAAGCTGATTGGTCCAGGAGACACCAGGAAACGGCCAATATCCACCGAATGTGAGTCTCTAATACTGCATTTTCGGCTGTATCCGATGGGGGGTCTCTAATGGACAGGTACCCCCATTTTTCGACATTTATCCTCCTGAGGAGAGGTACCTACTACCCCCCCCTCTTCCACCTACTCTCCCTCCTCTATCCTCTCAATATTGGCCTCCCCATTCCTCCCAGGGCTCTTCTAGACATCCCTATGGCTCATATTATCCTCCTGGACATTGATAGATAGGAGAATGCATGGACAATGACCGGAAATGACATGGTATAGCTAATATTGACATTGACGATGTAAGAGAAGAGTGAGCAGAGCTCGCGGCGTTATTGAAACCCCGATCAGTGGCGAGTTCATGTCCGTCGCGTGGTCGGCGTTACTGAAATTCCGATGGTACGTGCCTGAATACCCTGAGTGTGGCAGGTGGTGCCCGGACGAGACTAGGGTGGTGCCCGGAGTGGACGTCGGATACCAAGTGGTCCTCCTCTTCTTGACCGATGCTTTCTGTCATGACGACTAGATGTTTAATCTGTACGAGTACTGGCCACAGATTAGACTTTCCAATGCTGGAATCGAAATGCCGTGCGTGTCGAACGATCAACTTGATTGATTTCCTTTGCCTTCATCAACCAGCTTATTGCTCTCTGTCCAGACAATCCCAAGACTTGCCCGCTGCGAGCTACTGACGGTGCGGAGTAACAAACAGACATGCGGAGGAGAAATCGGTAGACATGGAGGGACATGCCAACGAGGAAATCGGGAATTCCCAAAAAAGATTGAAATTGCCGATCCCTGCTCGGCCGTATCCGATAACAAGTCCTCGACATGCAGTAACCATGACTGATGCGAGACCCTCACCCATTGACTTCTCTCCATGTTCGGGCAAGGCGTAGAAGTCAGCGTTTGACGTAGATTGTAGATTTCCGACGATGTCGGGCCCAGTTCATGCTTCCGATCCACTAGGTATCCCCGTGCCTATCCTAGGTAGCAACAGATCTTCTCAGTCCTCCCAATCCGTCAAAGACACCACGGCAACACCACCGACCGATACTATTTCCAAAAGTTTGGCGGATGATGAACACCTGCAGGAATCATTTCAGGATGGGGTACGTGAAAGGGTCAGTGTGGTGAGCGTGTCCAGTGAAGGAAGTTTCCGGAGAGGTGGTTTGACTGAAAGAGGGGTATTGGAGAAACAAGATTTCGAGAAGGAATGGGAGAATGATGTGGTATGTTTTCTTTAGCTACTCCCTACTTCCTCTTGACTTGTAACACCATGGCGTCGTTCTCAAAGTTTAAGGATAATGAAGCTGACATCGAGGTCACTTGGGATGGCCCAGATGATCCGGCCTGTCCTATGAATTGGTGTTCTGGAAAGAAACTGAAATGTTTGATATTATATGGTTCTTCTACCATGTGTGCGACCTTTGTGAGTCATCATATCGTTTCAGCTTGATGTTCTATGAAAAGCTAACCAAGTAGACATCATCTATCTTCTCCTCATCAGCTGGATTCGTCGCGAGGGATTATCATATATCAGAAGAAGTCGCCTTACTTGGACTTTCACTCTTCATCCTTGGTAAGTCCATCTTCCTATCTGTCTATTTGACCTCGTGGGACGTTGTCGTTTGACCTTTAGGATTCTCACTCGGACCGATATTCTTTGGACCCGTTTCGGAAGTTTATGGAAGAAAGTTAGCGATTGTACCTCCTCTTTTTATCTTCATCTGTTTCTCGTGAGTTCCACTTTCCCTCTTCTTTCAACACTTTGTTGGTCCGTTGAACTCACAATTCAGAGCGGCTACAGCTACAGCCCAAGATCTTCAAACAATTTTCATCACTCGTTTCTTCGCTGGAGTGTTCGGTTCTGCGCCGGTTACCATCGTCGGTGGCGGACTAGCAGATATTTATAATCAACGACAAAGAGGTTCTGCCATTGTTGTGTATTCGTAAGTTCTTCTTCCTCTCACTCTTCATGAGTCTCTTGAGACTCTACACGTCTTCTGCTTACCACTGAAACGACTGGAGTCACTAGTGAGAAGTGCACCTCTTCACTGGATCGGGGTCTCTGATGAAGATTACTTCGACTGAATCTGGGTTGATTATCATCTGAGGGGGGGAGGGGGGGGGGGGCATCCTGATAACAGTGAAGAATCGAGCTAATTGTTAGACTTTGTATCGTCGGAGGTCCCACAGTAGCTCCCATCATCGGTATAGCCGTTTCTCAAGCGTTGTCATGGAGATGGACAGCCTATATTCCAGTCATCCTCACATCCATCATTACTTCCCTAGATTTTTTCTTCCTCCCCGAAACTTCTCATGCTAGTATCTTGACGGAGAAGGCTAGACGGATAAGGTTAAGGACGAAAAGATGGGGTTTACATTCTGCACACGAAGAGAAAGATCTTTCTTTGAAGAACTTCTTTCATAAGATGTTAATTATCCCTTTGAAAATGTGGGTCAAAGAACCTATGGTAACTTTGATAACTTTGTAAGTTTGAATTTCCCCCTTTTCTCAATCCTCGACATTTCCTTCCAATGTTACCACAATTTTTCACCGATATGATCCACATTGGACATCGGTGTTGCATCATACGTGGACAAGTTCACTTTTCGAGTACTAAAAAGATAACAGTGAAAGGTCGGCTGGTCAGTATGTTAACGATCAGATATGGTGGTTTCGCATATGGTATATTGTAAGTTATCCCTATGACAGTTAGATTTCCGACGCTGAATAACGTGATCAGATACATGCTTTTCGCTGCTGTACCCATCATTTACGGTCAACAAAGAGGATGGAAACCAGTACCTACCACATTACCAATCTTAGGAGTTTTAGTATGTCTCCAACTCCCTCTTGTTTTTTTCCTCATCTTTCATCCTGCTTCCTCTCTGTTGACTCTCTCTATCTTCACCCTGATCAAATCAGTGAAACTCAAAGATCTGATTGATAAGTATTGAATGGAAGTGTCAAATGATAAAATGAGAGAAAACTGATGTATAAGATAGGAACTTTAGTTGCAGCAGCGATAAATTGGATTTACTCTGAAAAATACTTTGCAAGATATCTCGATACACACGGTGGGAAAGCACCACCTGAAAGAAGATTACCACCAATGATGATTGGTGCCGTTGCTTTTCCCATAGGTTTCTTTTTGACCGGATGGACGAGTCAAAGTTCTGTTCATTGGTTTCCATCGGTATTGGGATTAGGTTTTGTAGGTATGAGTTTTTTGTTGATTCTTCAAGTGAGTTTTTCCTTTTCTTTTTTTTTCATCATTATTTCCCCATTTACTACGTGATAATCGTCCGTGTGATTTCTCATGAGCTTTCCTTGTGACTATCTATGGGGTTATGGGGTTATGTTGTAATTGACAAAACAGTCCGGTATGAATTATTTGATTGATGCTTATACTTCCCATGCTGCTTCTGCTGTTGGTCAGTCATTTCTTTCTCTCTATCCTAATCTTCTTCTCCTCATCTTGTCCACCTTTGTTTCTGTCGCTTACATACGACAACACGAGGATCCCTCCTGTGTACCTTCCCTATTCTCTCATCCATCTAACAGCCCATTAGTATCCTTTTCCTCCTCGGCAACTCTTTACACTGCGTTCATCTCATTTAAGGCTATACAATATTTTCCTATGCGATAGATTTTGTAGTATATCACTGACCTCCAGCCGCATACACATTCAGCAGATCTATTCTAGGTGCTGCTATGCCTCTCATAGCTTCTCCATTACTGAACAATCTCGGAACTCAATGGGCGTGTACTTTATTAGGATGTTTGGCAATATTGTGAGTTATCCACCTCCATCTACATCTACATCCATATCTACGTCTACGTCTACGTCTACAGTACTTGTTCCGTGTCTTCTTCACTTACTCGTTCAACCCATTATCGTCCGTACAATCTTCATACTCAGTTTTTTCCCTTGCACTTGAAGATCCCCCCTCTCTCCCCGATCCCCGGACTTGGGCAGACTTCCATACGATCCCCGTTCCCCGATGTCGGTGATTTAGAACTCTGATGGTCGATTTTCACATGAGCAGAAATGTTAGGGAAATGAATTGAGAGTCAGACTCGGTATCACGCCATTCCTCTTTTATCGATATGGAAGTTATCTCCGATCCATAAGTCGATTCGCTCCTCATAAATCATGACAAATCTTATCCTTATAACAAATCCCATCCCTGATCACCCCTCTGCTGGGCGGAAGCTAGAACAGAGAGTCAGAGTATATAGATTATAGATGATGAACTTCTGGGATTGGTTGTATGAAAATTTGTTCTCTATACATTTGTGATACTTCTATATTCCTCTATACCATTTGGTCATTTTGATGATCTATGAAACATATTTAATTCTATGACAGATATCTTTCTCTTACTATTCAAGATAAATCCTTCACTTACTCTACTCCCCTTTCATGCAAGACAACGACACTTTCTTTTTCTTACAAACAACCCATCAAGATTTACCACAAGATTCTATCCTCTTCAATATCACCTGACTTGTTGCTACATATCTCAACCAGATCACACTTCCTCATCACCTCGTTCATCAACCTGAATTCCCCCTCCTAACTTTTTTTCTTCCCCACCAACATCTTCATCCCACACTCCTCCCTTTCGTCGATGTACGAACCCCAACACAGCTATACTTCCCATATACACACCGAAATACGTGAGCCAAATGACCAACAGAGGATATCTAGTGCTCAATAGTCTATACATCGGATTAAGCGAATCGGTAACTTTGTCGCTACCCGCCGTGGTATTATTTTCCGTTTGAGAGAGGAAGCTGACTTCTCTCGGACCTAGATCGAGTAAACCTAGAAGAGCGAGAGCTAAGCCGAAGAGGATCATAGAGCCGTGTACTACGTAATGGGCTATACCAGTGTAGCGATACCATAACATGGAACGGAATGCGATGAGAATGAGGACGCAGCCCTGTGAGATTAGCCTTACTCCTGATCTGTTGACAACAGTTGAAAACCATACAATATGGGAAAGAGTAGGATGAGAAATGCAGAGGGGGTCTGAAGGAGTGAATTTTTAAATTGATTTAATTTACTCTTTTTTTGGGTGTGTGTGTGTAGATGGCAGAGAAAGAAGGACAGAAGTGAAAAAATTGCAGTAGACAGGAAACGAGGATAGAAGAGGAGGGGAAGTCGGGGGAGAAGACATACAGCCGTGGGGAACAACCACAAGACACCTGATAAAGCCTCATCAACAGGATACTGTAACACCTCCGCCACAGCTTTAGTGGCCTCATCTCTTCTCTGTTCTGTTATGGCATCATCTTCAGGGTTTGTAGCGTTCACAGCGTAAAGTCTCTCCAATGCCGCCAGCGTGTTCTCACCGATCTCAACCCCGTAGCTCTGTTCATCAGCCAGTCTTGGGATTGATCCCGGGACGAAACGTACGACACAAGTTTGAGTGATGATGAGTCCGAAATATTGAGAGGCAACAATACCTGGATCCTCTGATCGTCAGTCATTATGGATAGTGGTAGAGAGCAAGCGGGCTTACCTGGAGGATCAGGTTGTTGAGATAGTCTCAGTAGATATGCGTATTCTTCTTCGTAACTGCATGTCAGATGTGTGAAAGGCGATCACAATTCAGTATTGGCGATAGAGAGAACTTCAAATATGATAGTGATTGACTTACGATGGTTCTAGAATAAGTTTGTTTAGGTATTGAGTGATGAACACCTGATCACCCGCCGACAACTCCGAAGCATTGTTCAAGGAGTCTATAGTTCGTATGAACTCGTTTGACACAAGCTCCACTCCGTGAGAGAAGGAAATGACAATAGTAGTATTCTACCCATGAGCACATACAACATTGTGTCTGATAATGGGGAGAGAGCATGACTCACGACAATGGACGCAAGTAGAAGAAGCAGACCAAAATGTAAAGGAAAATGCAAGCCTTCCCAGATCAAAGCTCGCCGTTGATCAATTTCGTCCTCTTTCCTGAATTGCGAGAACCTGGGGGTCAGATTCCTCACTGAAATGTGACTAGCAGACGTACATGAAATTCCACAACATGTAAATGATCGCAATGCCTAGGAAGACTTGTAGATACTGCCAGTCAGCGAATATTCGAAAATATGATCTGTGAGTGCTTACAGTGGCAGAACTACTTTCCGACAAGCCCGAGATAGCAGCACTGAACGCCCGCGTGAGAGAGATGAACCCCTCTCCCCTATTGATCAGTACATGCCATCACCTATTGGCCGTGATATCCAGGGACAGGGAGGTACAGGAAGCTTACAAGATGATCAGGGAGAAAGCACCATATCTATCTGCAATTTTGGCAGGGTGGATATGTTGATGTAGCTTATGTCGCATTTGTATCCACATACCGACCACCTCGATAGCTACTGCGAGATAAAACAACACGATCTTACATAGTCAGCTTGTTCTCCGACCGCGGAACATTGATGTGGAGAGGAAATCATAGAACGCACTTTGGCAATCACGCCACCATCTGAATGAGCACGTAGGGTGACGGCTACGATGGTGAAGACGATAGATACCGCGAGGGTGGCAACGGATGTCAAATGACCGGTAACTTTTCGATTGGCGTGGTGACCCAGATATGCGGTAACGAGATATTGAATCGCCAAAATTCCTCGAGAGATGGCGTACGCTATCAACACGGTGGAGAAGCTTTGTCTTGCAGCATCTGTCTTTGTCAGGCCCATCCCAATAACAGTGTGATGAAGCATGAAGGAAGTGTGTAGCCTCAGTCAAGTATTTCGAGCGCCTCGGCTTATCGCCCTAGCACTAATAGCTGGTATAACCATCATCGGTTTCACACGGTAAATATGGGAGAGCGACGTTATTGCGGGTTTGGTCTTGAAAAATCACTGGACAGTCCCATAGAGTCTATGCAATTTGGATGGAGAAAGGGTGACTCACCATGATCTGTTGCGCTCTTCCCCGAGATTCCCGGGTCGCTAGCTGGATCCCTGATGAGACCAGGGTTCCAACCACCACTACTCGCGCCGATATATACGAAGATGGCCACCTGAGCACCTTTCATATGTCTATGCCAGGCATCTTCCGCTTGATAACGTATGTCATAGGCAACTTGACTGCTCCATATCCAAGAAATGACGGTGAAGTAGCTGAAGAAGATAGGGATGGCTCCGGGAGAGGCGAGTTCGGCGTTACTACTGAAAACGGTGAGAACAGCAACGACCACGAGGTCTGTGGGTTAGTGAAAAAACACAACACAAGGTGCCTTCCTTGAACTAAGCAAGACGAACTACGTGGATTTCGAATGGTGATAGTGAGTTCTCTTCACTCCTCCAATTGCGGCTGCAAAAAAAGAGACGATGAGTAGATGACTTGGGTAGTGTTGAGGGAGGGGAAGAGAAAGACGACAAATCTGCTCTCTGAGAGTGGAAGTGAGAGAAGAGTACTTTACTCTAGTGTTCGAGAGTAGAGTAGGATCTTTCATAGACAAGCAGTGGAAGGTTGTGAGCAGCGAGGGATGAAACAACACCTACCATAAAACAAGCTAAGCCATTCCGTCGCCTGTGCTTCCTCTTCTAACCAAGGTTCCACCCCATCTTTATCCTCCATCGTATTAGGTCTTCGCATAAATGGTAAATGTCTATATCTTCTCCTATGTGCACCTTTGGACAAAGACAAAGAATGACCCTTTGATTCAGTGGTCAAAGCTGTCGACGTCTGCGTGTTGCTATGTTGCATCTTGGTATGTGTCCTAGAATTTGATTTGGGTAATTGAGAAAGAGATTTACTTTCAGATCTTGATTGCGGGATACGTAGAGTAGATTCGGAATTAGATTGTGAATCTAGAAGAGAAATGGAATTCGATTTGGATTGAAGGACTGGAGAAGTGATACTTTGGTATGGTGGTTTTCTGGTGGGAGGAGATAAGATGACAGGGATTAGAGTAGAACTGTGTGGGGTTTATCAAAATCATTGTGTCGTGAGATGGAAGCACCGATCACCGAGGGTACGTTCAGGTTGAAGGGATGAAGGAGGGAGGATTCGAAAAGCCAGTAAGTAATTGAGCAAGGGCATGAGGAGGTGGTTTTGTTGACGGAGTCATGAAACCGACGGGATGGTGGTAGACAATGTAAGACGAAGATTGGTCGATATGAGTAGGAATAAGTGTGGAATGGAGATAAAGAGTGTGGATGTTTGAAGACATGATCAGCTACTCAGGTTGTTTTAGGAAAATAAACGACTCACCCTCCCTCTCCGAAGTCTCTTTCTGCTCCTGTCCTTTCTCGACCGATCGAGTCTTCGTCCACCTTAGATCGCTCAGAGATATCATTATTCATATTGACAGACATCGTTGTCGAGTGACTAACCATCAGCTTGAAAACATACCAACGAACCGTCGTTTCCGGGAGTGAGGAATGAGGCGATGTTACACCGATCATCTTGGCGTCCGGTCCGGGAAGAACATGACGTGGGAAGGGGGAACGCTTTCAAGATGGTAGAGTGAGTAGTGAAGTGCTGTATACTGTAGTTATGTAAATCACAGTAGCGCAAGTGGTAGCTCTAGCGCTATGCATCTAACCGGCCTAGATGAAGAACTCAGGAGATCAGGAGAGTATAGTCGGGGAGGTGACAGGAAACTTACCGCGGATTATGGAAAGTGAGATGTCCGGCGTATACGGTTTGACTTACCAGTGGTGAATCAAGTGAGCAGCCCCACACGCTCTTGTACTTATCTTTTGGCAGTAACGACCATACGGGCTTACAGACCTCTCTGTTCTACGATGATCTGAGTCTTGGGTGCGTCAGAGGAGAAGGTTGGACATGTCAATATGTGGGGAATTGCTGCCAAAGATCTCGGAGTAACTTCGGTGTCCGACGCCACGTGGGAAAGACAACATAGCATATATGCAATCCGCAAACCTATTCTTGCTACGAGATCTCCCTATTAACCCTGCTGAAGATGAACACTATTGATGATCTCCCCTCCTACCCCATCCATTCCTCTCCACTCTTACCTCCCCGTCCCTGTCCCTGCCAAAACCTCTCAGTCCCTCTGCTGGTCCTCTGGGTTCTCTGGCTTCCCTCCGCTCCGCACTGGATGGAATATGATGATGGTTCGCATGGTGGGGTTGAGCGTGAGTGTGATGAGCGTGGTGCGAGTGATGAGTATGGACGTGATGTGGATGATGTACTGGAGGTGGATATGGTTTAGTTTCTGAAGGATGGGAAGCGGCATCGAGGAGTGTACGATTGGCACGGTATTCACATATCGTTGATTGAGGGAGACCGAGAAGGGATAATATTTTTTCTCTGAAGATGATCAGCATACTGTCCTCCTATCTGACTTGATTGGATACTCGTATGACCAGACAAGACCCATTCAGAACACTATGAGAGGGTGAAAACGGAAGATACTCACTTCAAAGACCCTGATCGAACACCTTCACCTTCCTGCTCCACCCATACGCTCAAAATATCCTCTGACTGCCGCACACTCAACACACATCCGACCACACTGTCGGCCTCTTCAAATTGATCCCCGAGCAGAGCAAGCAGCAGGCTTTCGTATAATAAAGGCGTTATGGGGTGTACGAGGCGAAGGGTGAATTTTCCACCGCTAAGGTATCAGCGTGTCTCTCGTACATGACTATGAGTGATATTGCGTCCTGACAGAAATATTCGACGAAAACCCATTAAGGGAGTCTGATGAGTTACAGACTAGAATCCGGTGTATATGAGTGAAGGAAAGGAGAAATTCAACACGACCTACTCCCTCATCTCTTCCCATACCCCTGGTCGACCTATCCGAGATAAGAAGACCAATACATCTGTAATCGGAGGTAGCGCATTAGGAGGTGTCAGGTGAGAATACAGGTGGAGAAAACTTTCGATCTGTCACATGAGCTCAGTACCAGAAAACTATAATCTTGCGTTGGTAATATGAACGTACGGAGCCAAAGGTTGCGACTTTCTTGATTTCTTTCTCATAATCTATCCCCTTTGCGCCTGGTGGTCGGTGAACATATGAAATGGCCCATCTACATTATCAGCGAACAAGCTACATACATTCCTCTCTCACAATCAGAATCCACTCTAACATGTAAGAAATGTGCTCGAGAGCGTGAGCGGGTGATAGCATAGTAAACACAGGGAAGACGTGTCTGATGGATACTGGGATGGAATAGATCTGCTGACGCACTCGTGTTTCAGAGGATGTCGCCCAGGACGACCATATGCAGAATTTCTGACAGGCGGTACGGAAAGAGAAAGTCTCGACGAGCCGGAGAGTGAGGCAGTCCGTTTCGAGGCTGGCAATTGAGCCATGGACGTAATGAGCTTATCAGGGATGTTGGAAAGAAGTGAAGGGCTTATAGATTGCTCGATGGCTTTGAGAGGTGGGGAAGGGAAGGGGACAGGAAATTCTACTTGGTTGTTGGACGTTGACTGGAAGGAGGTTTTTTCATGCAGTGGTGGTTGATGAGATAGGCGTGTTAAGCTGGATAGCAGGCCTATCGACAGCAGCAGGGGATGGTTGTGACGTCACCCTTCACCGCACCGCTACCATTCAAGCCGCGACCTTTCTCTGTCCACCATATAACCCATCACTCTTCATCCCCAACCATCCTTGACATATTCCAGATTTTCTCACACCTACACACTCTATTTGAGACACAGTTCTACCGAACAAATCGATTATGTACCCTCCTCAAGCCCAAGTCAAGTCTCAACTACAAGTTCAGCCCTCGATCGAGCAACAATACGTGGCCAAGCAACCTATGGCGAGGGAAGGAATGAGTGAGTGGTCCCACAACCCACGTCCCTTTTCATTACGTTTATATTACAACTGAAGCATTATCATATCATCTGTCCGCTGCCGCTGAGTGTGATGTCATACCACATTTTTGGATCGACTGACTGGCAGGTATGAACCCCGGCCCAGCGTCTTCTCAACAAGATCCCATGCGTCTTCGTGGAGGGTGTCCAGGTTCGTAACTAGACTGACATATCACGAAGCGACTGACAATCAGGGAAGTTCTGTGGTTTACCAATACTCCCTTGCGCGTGAGTTGATTCATCGCCTTTGACGGAAGGTGAAAGAGCTGACGGGTAGATGTGATATCTGTATCATCCCAATCCCATGTTGTTAGATTCGGTGGCCATGAGATTTGAACGGTTTCGGTGATACACGATGTAGCGTAGGTAGGTCCTGTTGTTATGCATGCTCATCAAAACACGCCGTACGCCGTCATAGCTGTTGATTGCCCCCGATCTTGGATCACAATTCGACGCACCATGCGCACCAAAGTGGGGTGTGATTAACGACCAGTAGGATACTTGTTTGTTATCTCGTCATAAGGAGCACTGTGGCTCTGAAGATTACGAAAAGGGGTAAGTTGTGGTAATTTGAGCGGAAAAGGAAGGAATAGATAGTCGTCGAACCCGTCATGATCTAGAGCTTGACTGTCTGGTAGATTGGCGTACGGTCAAGTACCGCTGTTCATATAGTGGTCTATCTACCTTGCTTGAATGGTTGTCCTTGACGATGCACTCGTAGGAATGTGACGTAGATTTACGATGAAAACTTGATGCCCTTGCCGTTGATAAACCGGATCTCACCATCTCACCGCCAACAAACTCAGTTTACCTTACTCGCGCTTCCCCCTCCCACAAAGGTCGCATGCTCCTCTTCTCCTTATCATCCGGCATCACATAATCTTCTCAACTCCACCCTCATCTCACTTGCATGCTCACGTGTATATCGTGAGCAAGTCACGCATAATCTTCTCCGTCGACGCGCAGTCGTAGAATACGTGCTCACCTCGCCCCTTCACTCCCTGAACCCTGCTGGCTGCTGGCCTCGTTCAAACACCTCACGCCCTTGGTCTCCTCTATTTCTTTCTCTTTCTTAGCTCTCAGATCAACCATTACTCTCATTGACCACTTTGTGAGTTCAAAGGTACTTGGAACACTTCTTGGCAAGATGCTAACTATGTAGATCCTCACTCCACTTGTATCACCCAGACATCCTTTACATCCTTCTCTCTCCGCAGTTTCTTCAACATGCCCCTCTTGCAATCTCTCACAAATTTCTTCTCCTCGCCCAACGCTTCTAATTCCCGACACGGTCATAACTCTAGACGATCAGTGGTGAACTCTACATTCGACGCTTTCAGTTTGCCTACCACTCAGAACGTGGGTGGAGGGTTTGGTCAGAGTATGGACCGAGGAATGGTCTGTCATTTCCACTACTCTTCCACAGACCTTACTGACATCTACAGCAAGGCCTGGATAGTCCATCTTCTGGACCAAGCAGACGGGATAGCTACGTTGTGTATCCTCCAAAATCTGAAGCCTCGTGAGTGCTTCCCGTTCATTCTTTGGAATACCGCACAAACTGACATTCCTCAGTCGACACGCCCTTGCGTATTTTCCACCCCTCTCACATACCTTCCACAGATTACGCAATGCCCTCGCCGACTCTTTCCCCGAGTTACTGGAAACTCTCAATCCCCCTGTAGATCCATCTCTATTGGCGACATTTGAAGCTGAACTTGGCTCCCCACTTCCTCCCCCTGTCCGCGATTGTTATCTCATAGCCGATGGTCAGGGTCTCGAAGCGACTGGAAATATCTCAGGGTCAGGTGGACTTTTCTTCGGTCTTCAACTGTTACCCCTGGAAGAGGTGATGAGAGAATGGGCGTTCTGGCGTGCGGCAGAACATGATCCATCAGCGGGACAAAACCTCGCTGTACTAGCCACCATGGCTAGTATACCCCCGAATTGGATCAAACCTCTCTATGCTTGTAGAGGATGGTTACCTCTTCTCACTGATCGAACGGGAAATTATGTGGGTGTAGATCTCGATCCTGGACCGGATGGTGCATGGGGACAAGTGATTGTCTTTGGAAGAGACTTTGATCGAAAATGTGTCTTATGGCGCGGGGAGGGAGAAGGAGGGTGGGGGAAATGGATGGCAGCTTTTGTCGATGAGTTGGAAAGTGGGGAAGGGTGGGAAGCTGACAAGTCGAATTCTTCAGATGAGGAGGAAGAAGTAGGTTATGGGAGTTATAATGGTGGTGCTAGCTACGGTGAAGCTGGAAGGGGTTTGAGACTTGCTGGTGAGTATAGAGGATGGAGTGTTTTAGAAGCTTGGTGGGATCGTAGTGTTCGTAAATGGGAAGAATCGGGGCTCGGGATGGACGTCGAAGCTATCGAAAGAGGTTTGGAGGAAGCAAGAAAGCTTGCAGGGGTGGATGAGAAAGGTAAAGGAAAACAAACTGCTGTAGGTATTCGAGCTGGGGAAAGTTCAGCTCAAGTGGAAATACCAGGTGAGCAATGTTCACTTTACCGTTGCGGATTGAAACTAATCAGTTCAGTCATTGGATCTCCTCAAGCTCCTCCCGCACCATCGACGCCGGTCCCAGGTGACTCTGACGTTCTCTTACCACCTTCATCCCCTGACACCGCTCCTGTTCCGAAAATTCGATACGCCGCACCATCCCCTGTCCGAGTCATTACACCCATAGCTTCCACCTCTGATCATCCTCTCAAAGCCCCTCCTATCAATCCTCAGGGCTACCTTTCACCCCCATCCCGCTCACCACCACGTCACCAACCTCAACGTCGATCCACCTTACCTCCCACTCCTACCCCGTTGGACTTGCCCACTCGAGCGGATATGCAGGCCATGCAGGCTATTGCTACGGTCGAAGCCAACAATCTACGAGGTGGTTGGGTGATGAACCTTGAAACGTCGGCTGCTGCTAGACGATATCGTAATTCCAGTGATTCAGAAATGGTCGATATCGATCTTGAAGGTGGTAGAGGAGAGAAATTCGGTTCACCTATCATTACTACAGATGTGGAACTGGTGGCTCAAAGAGAGGAAGAGAAATTATCCATGGCAAATATAGACAATCGTCGTTCCCCAAGATCTTCACCTCAACTTATTCAATCACGTACACCATCACCACTTTCTAGAGATCCTTCATTAGAATTACCTACAGAACAAACTCCTCGAGCTACATATCGACAAGATGCAATAAACATACCTCCAAGCGTTTTAGCTGCCACATCAGCACTTCGTCGTCCACCACCCATAGTAAATCATTCCGATTCCATTCGACGTGAATCAGACGAAAGACATCGAGTGATTCGAAATCCTAATTCTCGTAGGGAGAGAGAATCAAGTGTTTTATCCACAGATTCTAACGATGGTCTGTTAGATCGTGATAGATCTTTCTCACAAGATTCTCATATGGATACTCCTCCAATCATCTCATCTCCTATCACGAGTCCAAGGATGGGAGGATTATCACTTTCAAGTCCAACCATTCATGTAACTCCTCCACCTTCTGCACCCACATCACCTCCAAGACAAAGTATGAGATTAGTGGGTAGTAATGTTAAACCCACTCCTATGGGTATAGAAGATGGTATGGTGGAAGTTAGTTTAGAACCTTCAACATCAGATATGACCATTGTACCTGATAGACGGGGGATGGAAAAGGAAGAAGTTTTATCACCAATCTCTGCGAGATCTAGTATGTCAAATGGAACTTCGTCTACTGTGGGAAGAGGAGTGAGGGATAAAGAGATGGGGGCTGTGGCGAGGGCGAAAGCTAAGTTGGGAGTTGCGGGATGAGAGCGAGTACGAGTAGAAGAAGAGGGTGAGAGGTTGCAGGATCTGGAGAGACATGTGACATGACGAGAATTGCATATGAGCATGTTGGAAGATGATTTTGTATGATCATTTCATTCCTTTCATCGTTGAATGACGTTTGTAAAGGTCCTGGAGATTCGGAGAATCATAAATTTTGATTGTTTCTCACACACTGATCCTCTGTCTACTTGACCCAGCCCAAAACTTACTCACCTTGGAGAATGACATATATTTCCTTTCTGGCGTCTATGATCTACTGGTGGACCAACTTGCAGGTCTACCAGTACATTGACTATGTCAAATGATCACATGTCTGCATTACGAATTCGTCACAATAACATGATGACAGAGGGTGGTACTGAAAACACACGAATACTACAGTATCATTACTTGTCAAGATAAAAGTTGTTCGAGTACCCTACAAATCAAATAGCAAACATTCCATATCCACCGATCGGTCCTACACCCGGTCCACGTAAATCAACAGGAGGAGCGAGTAAACTGAACATCCATTTAAACCAACCTCCCATACCTGTCCATTCTTCTTCTTCTGAATCTACAAACCTACGTGATCGTCTTGAACCCCATTTGGAAGGATCACGAGAATGACGTAAATCTCTTAAAGCGTTTGAAAGTTGAGGTGAAGGAGGTAATGTTGAAAGATTTAAATCGATTCCTTCGGATCCTACAATTATTTCTTGTTCTCCTTCCATATCCCTTCTGACTTCATGATGTTGATGAACCCAGACGTCATTTTGAACTTCTCCATTAATTGCAACCATTTGTTCTTCTCCCATCACCATCATATGTGAATGTTGGATGTTTGTTGGTGTTGGTCTGTTTGATGGAAGATGAGAGTCATGGAGGGATAAAGGAGATGGTTGAGTGGGTGTTGTGATTCTCAAAACTGGTCGAATATTGGAACGATGTTGACGTAGATTATGTCGAAGTAAGAAAAGAGCGTAATTATCTCTATCATTAGGTACGGGAGTGTAAGTGGGAGGATTCATATTCTGTTCAGGTGTCAAGTTTGTGAGATGTTGATTTGTTTGCTCATGAGTTTGAAGAGACGTATGTGAGGAGATGAGAAGATGGGGGTTATGAGGTAGAAGGGGATTATCGTGATTCTGGGGGGATCGATGAAAGGAGTGTAGGTCGTTTGTGTACAGATCGGCAGTATGTAGATCTGGAGTTGTGACATGTGAATCATTTCGTAAAGAAAGAAGAGCTTGATTCGTATTGTCATGAAGATCTAATCGGGGATGAGGATCTAAAGGGGAGTAAGGAGGACAAAGATCTTCTTGAGAAAAGGTTGTTTGTACGTGGATCAGTGATTGTCTAGTCATGTTGTAAGTCTACGTGAGTACAGTATATCAAGTTAGCGATATTTGGGAAGTGGAATTGCAGTATTTTAGTAGTCTTTTTGCTTTGTGAGTCAGTAGATCCACAAGTTGGGGATTGGTGAACGATAAGAGATGTGGGGATGAGGTGATGAGGGTTGAGATGGAAGGGAAATGTCGAAAGTGATTTTCCTGAATCAGTGAATAGAAATGAAAAGATGACATGTATTTGCAGTCTGTCAATCAGAAGGATATGTATCAAGAAGGGTTAAAAGATGTAAGGAAATAGTCTTGCGTGTGTCAGTATGTCATCTCTTGCTAGTGGTGTTGGATAGAATGTGTGGAGAGGGGGAGGTTGAAAAGATGACTAAGAGAAAGGATACCCAACAAATGATGATTATTCTATGGATAGTGTATAGGAAATACAATCCTTTATGATCCCTTCCTTGGGTCATCGCATTACGCATCACACATCGCTTTTGATCCATTGACGTTTGGCGGAGTTTGAATAGAGATGTTGAGAGTGGAAAGAAGACATAATTTCGTCATCCATATTTATATGTTACACCTCCTCCCACACTTCACACAGTTCGAAATTTACCTTTTTGAGACGTTACGCGTTACACTACTATTTGATAATTTTCAACTCACAATTACACTTTTCGCCCGACCGTTTAGACACCTGTAAGCGAATTGGAAGAGAAGAGCGGACTTGTGAAGGAAAGATCATCTTGATTCGCTTTTCAAAATTCCCGCAAATACGGGGCAATTTGGAAGAGTCTTATATCAGGAGAAATTCAAACAAACGACCAAACTCACAATGACGACTCTATGTACCGACCGACCGGCAACGTATCACCGTGAAATAACCCATATTCAGGAAGGAGATCGAAAATACAACAACCCACCTTCTCCTACACCCGAACAATTACCAGGTAATAGACGTGGTATCGTTTTGGGTATTTTTGATTGGGTGTTTGAAGCTTGGGGAGAACAAACGAATGGGGTGAAGGTTGTATTACCAGGTTTGAGGAAACGTCGAACGGATTATATTTGAAATTTCCCCCTTTTACTTATACATATTCATACTCTGATTCGATCAAGATCCATTTGAATATTTTCGATGATCTGTAGGATTGTCAATTGCATTTGATCGATATGTCTTGTCTTATGAGTCGTTGGGTGTTTACGTGTCAAGGTATTGATTGTCATGTTTTGAACCGATCTCCCCATGTCATGTCTCAGATACGAATGTGGACATAAGAATACTCGTACTCGTAGTACATAGTAGTAGTGTTGGTGGTTGCAGCAAGCAAGACCGTGCATTCGGGTTGATGTGCCACAAAACGCCACCATACTCAACGCCGGAATTCTCCGACCGGTCCTGTTCCACTCTCGCATCCAACCCAGACTCGTATTCACACCCAACGTCTTCGCTTCCTATACCATCTCTAAGCCTTCTTTGACGTCTCGCTCCTACTTTTAACTCTTGATTGTATTTGGAAACATGGCCCGATTGTAACACTGGAGTCGTTTCAGCGCAAAACCACCCTTTGTCCCGTTATCGAGCTCCTCGGTTCGCCATTCTCCACGTCTGCCGGAATCTTTCTCAACCTCCAGCTATCCCGGGTACCACGGACAATCAGAAAGACAAGTGGATACCTTCTGAAGTCATTCGGATAGACTCATGACCACTTTAGACCCTCCATCTTTTCATCTGCGAGTGGGAGACGATATGGAAGGGGGTATGCCTACACCCACATATGGGGGAAGTGTTAATACCGGTGCCGAATGGGATTATGTCAATGGACGAAGCAGGTATGTTTCACTTTATGACACATTCGCTTGTTTCTTTCGCCGAATGTCTTTCCTCATTATGCATCCTACCTATTTAGGTTGAATAAACATCTTGATGCTCTGCGGAGCAAAGGAAGGGGAAGAGATCGAGGAATGCATAATGTAAAAAGTATTGAGTAAAGCTGACCATTAGTCGAACACCTTCCCGTTCACCTCATCGATCTCATCCTGACACCCACACACATCATCTTTCCCTATCGCAAGATACCAACGGCAATATGAATTATTCCGGTGGACCGGGAGGATCATTACCTCCACGTACACCACCCACCTCCTTTCCCGCCCAACCTCAAGAACCCACAATCAGCGAAGAAGCCGCCGCCGTCATATCGCGAAGTGTTAAACAATCTCAACCCAACCCACAAGCTAGCTCTAGTAGGAATGGTAAATCTCGTTCGAGAATGGTGGGTGATTGGCAACTTCAGAAAACGCTAGGACAAGGGAGTATGGGTAAAGTTAAATTGGCTACGAACGTCATCAGTAATGAAAGGGTGAGTTTACGATATGAATATGAGATCTTGACTGACTTGCAGTGCGCTGTCAAGATCATCCCCAGATTCTCTGAGAGCACTCGAAGGGATGAACCACGTTCTCCTGAGGAAGCGGAAAAGTTGCGACAAAAAGACGAATCCAAAGAAGTCCGAACGGTTCGAGAAGCGGCTATTTCATTACTCCTCCATCATCCATATGTCTGTGGTATGAGAGAATTCATCACTCATACGCATCATCACTACATGATCTTCGAATTCATCGACGGCGGTCAAATGCTTGATTATATCATTTCCCATGGTCGATTGAGGGAACGTGCAGCTCGCAAATTTGCTCGTCAGATAGCTTCGGCTTTGGATTATTGTCATCGAAACTCCATCGTTCATCGAGATCTGAAGATTGAAAATATTCTCATTAGCAAAAACGGAAATATCAAAATCATCGATTTTGGACTTTCCAACTTGTATTCCCCTCAAAGACATTTATCGACTTTTTGTGGATCGCTGTATTTCGCTGCGCCCGAATTGCTCAACGCCAAACTGTATACCGGTCCAGAGGTCGACGTGTGGTCTTTCGGTATCGTTCTATACGTACTGGTCTGTGGTAAAGTCCCCTTCGACGACCAAAGCATGCCCGCTTTACACGCCAAGATCAAACGAGGTTTGGTGGAATATCCCGCTTGGTTGAGTACGGAATGTAAATCGATACTTGCTCGTATGCTGGTGACCAATCCCGCGGATAGAGCTACGTTACAAGAAGTCATGAATCACCCTTTCATGACCAAAGGCTATGACGGACCACCAGACTCACACTTGATCCACCGAGAGCCACTTCGAGCAGATGATCTCGATCCGGAAGTCATCAATGCCATGGGAGGATTCACTTTTGGAACTCCTGGACAAATCCACGACGAGCTCCGAGCCGTTCTGACGAGCGACCTGTACACTTCAACCGTAACGTCTTGGGAGGCACGTAGAGTGCGACGAGGTCCAGCTGCTTCAACTTCGTCGATGGCGTTGAGCGATACTTCTGAATCACCCAAGAAGAAACGATTCAGTGGCTTCGACTTCAAACGCAAGCTCTTTCGAGAGGAGAAGAAGGTGGAGGAACCGCCACCGAAAGAAAAAGATCCTGTAGATCCTACTCAAGGGTTTGACCCTTTGATATCGATTTATTTTCTCGCCAGAGAAAAGATGGAAAGAGAAAAGGTTTATGGAAAAGGTCATTTCGCTTCTTCTCAAGGATCCTTCGATGTTCAACCTCAAGCGTCTGGTTATGGAAGGGCTTTACCAAGTCTACCTATCCCACCTTCTACTCATACGATGGGATACGAAGTTCCTCCTCCGAATGATTATGGTCCCCAACCTCGTATGCGTGCCGATGACGTTCCATCACCAATAATGAAACATCCTTCTGTAGCTGGAGAAAACAGTAATCTCGCTCATATTCCTACCGCTCATCAACGACAACCATCACTTCATCAACCCCCTTCACCTCTTCAACCCAGCGCAATGGATCGAGATGAAAGTTCGTTATCCAGACGATTCGGTTTATTGGGCCGAACACCTAAATCACCCATGACCGCACCTCTACGATCCAGTTCAACTCGTGGACAAGTCCCTCCTTCTACTTCTTTACCCCCAGATCGGGCTCGAGCAGGTACTTACGGAGAAAAGAAACATGAGCGTAGAGTTTCAGTCGGTAGTATTTCTTCAATAGGTCGAACAAGTTTAGGTAGAAGATCATCATCTCGGAAACCCGCTACTTCAGATAGTCCATGGGACGCTCCTAGAGAAGCAGACGAAAATCGAACTCCGACACCTGAAGAAGTTGAAACGGATCAGAATCAAGGTTCGAACGGATATATTAAACCCGTTTATCTCAAAGGATTATTTTCAGTCTCTACGACATCTACAAAACCCGCCGCGGTTCTCACTCGTGATATTCATAATGTTTTGGAAAGGTTAGGAATCAAACATCGACTTATAAAAGGAGGATACGAATGTGTACATGTACCATCCATCGATCTCAATTCTGTGTTACATGGAGATGAAGCGAGTACTTCTTTATCAAACGTTCATAAAACACCGACTACCAACGGGATCGGGACGAAAAGAAAGAATTCATTGAAGGAAAAAGGAAGTAAACAACAAATGTATTCTCCTGCACCTTCTGGAGCCATGGCTTCTAGAGGTCCCAGTCCTTTGAGACAAACTTCAAGTGGGACGGTGAGCGCTGATGGAGAGAAGAATGGGAATGGGAATGGACATGGACATGGGAATGAAGATTATGGGATGCGAAGAGGGAGGGATGAAGATGCTGATGCTTGGGCTTCGGTAGGTGAAGCGGGTAGTAGGTTGATTGTGAGGTTTGAGATTAGTGTTGTGAAGGTGAGCATTAATCTTGTTCCTAATGCTTCAAATCTCCCCTCCATGTAACGAGCAGATGACTGTGCAAGACCTCCGGCTACGTGTCTGTTGGAGACCTACCAATCCGTTTTCCAAGGCATCATGTTTCATTTCTACACTAGATCTATGTATCTATGTGGCTTTGAAGGGAAGAACCAGAAACTGATGTTCAGGTCCCTTGGTTACCTCTACACGGTATACAATTCCGTCGTGTCGGAGGTGACGGATGGCAATACCAAATGTTAGCCAAAACGATATTACGTGAAATGCGATTGTAGGGATGGTTTGTGCATGTTGATTGAGGTTTGGACAATGAGTTTTGGATAATTTTCATCTAGCTCTACATGTAAGAATGAATGACGAATTTTGATGATGATCAGTTATTGTGGATCAATCAATGTGCTTTACGTTCCACGGTGGTACGGTGAGCCGGCAATGCACGGGCCATAAGCCACGGCCACGAGGTGCGTAATGAGACTCATGATGACTACGAGTATCTTTCCCTTTGCCCTTTGAACATATTTACAATAACGTCGACGAGTGAATGGTCCGGGTAGTGTGCGATGATAGAAAAGCAGCTAGCAGCTAGCAGCTTAGCACAGACCGGTTCCAGCAAATGAAATTAAAACGCACAGACCAAGCATTAGCCGATCCCCGATTGAATTGATCCGAGAGAAAAGTAAAGTACCGATCATTATTTCGATCCGATTGGGAATCCCCCCCCCTAATTCCCCAAGGCCCAAGAAACTCGTCCCTAATTTCCTAATTCCCTAAACGTAGTCGTACTCGTTGTTCCATAACACATTCCTCTCGTACTTCTGTGGTGTTGTGTTCATTTGATATTTCAATTATTCATGATATAAGGTCAAGACAGGTCACAGGAGGATAGAAACGGTTAAAGTAAAGAAGATGTTAGTCGATATGGAAGAAGAAGGTGAGTTATTTGATTTCTTTCCTATTCACCCTCTTTGGGATTTTCTCCTTGTATTCATACGATTCCATGGGTTTCATCACATATTCCAGTATCATGTTTCTGGTCGTTAGGTGTTTTATGCTGCACTATGTATTATGAAGGGCTGGACGAGATGAAGAAAAAAGAGAAGATGAAGGGAATGATCCAAACTGAGAACAACTAGTCAACCTTCACCTTCCACCTACACCTCAAACTCCACCTTACCAAAGTTCGACTCCCTCGGATACTTCACCTAAAACACCTACACAAAATCTGACTTCTGCTTTCGGATCATTCTTAACACCACCATCTACGAAACAAAAACCTTTCTCTACACCTACTTTCTCAACGGGTCCTCTTACTCCCTCTGCTACTCCACCAATCACTTCCTCTGTCAATTCCTCCACTACACCAACCACACCCTCCATCATATCCCCCACTACAATCTCACCTAGCGATGTCGAGCCCAAGGTCTTACCCTCAAGTAATAAGATCGAACTCAAGGTCATACCCTCAAATGACAAGATTGAACCTATAGAAAAACGTCCACCCCCTTCTAGACAAAACTCAATAAGACGGAAACCCTTACCTGGTTATTTGGTACTTCCCAATCAAACAATTCCTATAAATCATCCATTCGCTACACACACACCTTCTCCCACTTCTGGACAGTTCGTGTGGAATAACGCTTCCGACCAAAATCCACCTGATGGAACGGACCTTTCTCTCACTTCAAAAGGTCACTTATCACTGAACCCACCCTCACCCATCTCAGCAGGGAATAGAGATGTTGGAGATATATTCTTCAGACCTCACCAAGGAGGATTACCACCTCCTCGTAGACCGAAATCCGCTGTCTTACCATCAGGACGACAAGATTCTTTCACCCTTCGACCAGTTCAGCGCTCCACATCTTGGGTAAACCGCCCACGGGAGAATCATCATCGTGTGGAGACAAGTTCTGAGGTGACCGTGGAACCTTTGAAGGATGACCATCTTGGTGGAGGGAGCATCCGGGGAGATGATTCTAGTGGAGAAAGACAGGCCCTGAAGGGAGGAGCAGAAGGAGGATCCTCGGAAGATCAGATGTCATCCGTGGTACTGGTGGAATTCAAGAAAGAAACCATAAGAAGGTTATCTTCCACTCTCCCCTCTCTGGAATTGGCCATTGATGGATCCCCACCCTCTATGATCACCGGTCGTCAATCACGAGCAGAGTCCTTACCCCGGAAGAATATCTCTTCACCTAAGAAGAAAGAGGAAGGTCTTATTGTCAATCTGAACAGCCCGGTAGGATCTCAACATCGTAAAATATCTCATCCCTCTATGGATTCCACACAGTCATTTAGTATCCCCACATCTTTGAGCAACAAGCGTTCGGTTACTCTAACTTCGTTAGCCAAGGTGAAAACAATTGTCAGTCCGCCAAGGAACACCAAACCGTCATCATCATCAAAATCATCTCAGCCCAAACCTATCTTTCCTACTCTGCCCACTCGCAAAAAGGTACAGGACGATTTCTCAGTAGATCAGATTCCAACAAAGTCACAACTGTGGGAAGCGGCCATGTGTTTCGTTCGAGATGAAGAAGGTCAATTGGTACCGTTTCAAAATCTATTCCCTCTTACCGGTGATCAAGACCATGGATGGAGAGATCATCGAGGTAAAGTTCGTCCTCATGAACCTGACCCTGTGTCACAGTCGACTTCTATGTTACCACAGGTACCCTCTAACTCCTCATTACGAGCTACACAGAATATCGGACGACAAAAACCCTCTTCTCTCTCACAAGCAATTATGCACAATGACAAACGACCATTGGAGTCTGCAGGGGCCCAAGAGACGACGTACCACCCCCCGAAGACTATCGTATTCTTCATTCGACATTTTTGGTGTGGACAATGTCAAGATTACACCTTGGCATCATTAGGTTTACTAGATCCGGATGCGTTAGCGAGGAAGAACATCAGGGTGGTGGTGATCTCCAATGGGAGTTGGAAGATCATCAAGGCTTATAGAAAAGTATTCAATTGTCCTTTTCCTATCTACGTCGATGGACCTAGACGGTTGTATGGTTTGTTAGGGTGAGTCGTCATCTTTCCTTCCTCCCTTCCTCCCTCTGATGGCTTCGCTTTTGAGAGGGAGGTCAAGCTGTATATAGAGCAGGTCTCGTGGAGATCCACGGAGAACTCTTTGATCGACTCAGCATGACGAGGAAAGAGGAGGGGTATCGGACATCGCGTTCAGGAGCGATGTAGATTGAATGGAATAATGGAGCTAAGAATTAGAATGACAAAGATGACCAACGATTTTGGACCTCTGTTGCACGGTCGAGCGGCATATCATCAAAGTGGTGTTCCCGGACAGTTACTCAGAGGAGGATATGTACGTTTTTATCACTGCTCTCCATCTTCTTACACTGCACTGTTTCTGTTCCCTTGTACTCGGAATATTCGTCATACTCCCCTTATCCCTTCAGAGTTTGTCTCCTCCATCACACTCTATCCATCCTCACACTCTCCACGACTTCTCTCGGCCTTTTCAAAGACATCGATCCAAAGATTGGCTGCTGTACATGACTGACTACTGACGGGCAGAACGCACTGTTCAAATTCCCCATGGCAAAACCTGGCAAGCTGACTCAATTGGGGGGAGAATTCGTCCTTACAGAAGGGTTCAATTGTGAATTTGCTCATCGTATGACTAACACCTCTAGTGAGTCTACATTCTCTTCCTCTGCTCCACCCCTTTCCCCCTCAAGCAAGTGTCATGCTCGTTTCGAACATTTCCCAATGTTTTGTCAAGCTGTACTCCCTGTGTGCCCGGAGTTCTTCCTGTCTCGGATATCTCTTGTCCAAAGCTGTTCCATTTTTCGTTCCAAAATTGCACTGGTATCTCAAGCTCCCTGCGACTCAGAAGGTTGTTTGAGACTGGATGAAACACCAACATACACTCATTTACAGACCACATGGAAGCTCCCGACGTTTGCAGAATAGCAGGCGTCCAACATCCCACAAAAACCGAAGTCACCAATGTCCAATTGGCCGAGGAACAGCGTAAAGAGTTGGAGAGGTTGGAAGAAGAGATGGTCAGATGGAAGAAAAGTAGGAAAGAAGCTTTGGAGAGGTAAGTTTATTTCCTCCTTTTTCTTTCTTCATCCTATACCTTTACCCCCTCTCGAGTAACACCGTGTCATGTCTGACGAAGATCACAAATTATGAGAATGAGCTTCAATTTCTATTGATTGGTGAGATGCTGGGAGAATTGAGATTAGGGAAGAACAGAGGAAATAAGTTACTAATTCAAAGCATACAAAAACGACGTGCGGCACGTCGAGGAGAAGTTTACACACCACATCTTGATCCTACTATCGTCTCCCCAGATGCGGACGAAGACCTAGAAGATATTTCAGAGTCTCATGTGATTGATAATGGGTCAGTACGTCGAGGTCCGGAAGATCTTGTTTCCGATATTGGGCCGCAAGATAATGCCGAATTGACAGCAGTCAAGCAAGGTCTCGATGTGCGGGTTGAATAAGGAAAAAATATATGATCAAGACTTTCTTGGGAATGGACGGTAAGATGAGTAACACGTATAAACCTCATCCTGTTTGACACCTATTTTCGAATCAAGTTGATGATTGGGCGCATAGATTATACATACTTGTATAGATACACAGGCTTGAAATGCATACAGATACACGGGCTTGAAGTGCATACAGATATACGGACATGTTTCTAAGATATATACTAATATGCTACAATTTTTCTCACAATTCTGGTTGATCAGAATATCTAGATAAACTCAACCAACCAACTAAAGAACCCATTCCTTTTTTATGTCTCTGTTTCCTCTCTTGACTCTGCTTTTCAACCTTATTCGTACTCATCCACAATTCCGCTTCTACCTCTTCACCCAAGTGAATATATAGTGGAAGAAAAACCCTAGGTTCTCCATTCAATAAAGGAACGGATAATCCTCCACGTGGATCAGTAGAGAATATCTGACCGGATATTACGTCGATCACAGGTAAAAGAGGTTTATAAGATGTTAACATACTTGGTACGTGAACCACAAATGTGGGAGATAGAGAACCTGAGTTGGTGAGAATCGTCAAGAGAGGTGGTTTGGATATTGATATGGTATGATTGTTAAGAATTAAAGTACGGATGAGGGTGGATAAGAAAGGTGGATGTTGGATGGCTTTTCTTCTAGCTGTGTTTAGTGTGAGAAAGGTTGAATAGAGGGGCTGATCGTTAAGATACTTCTTAATTGATCGTCATATTAGGAGATCTAAGATTACGAAGACGGGTCATATTTGAGGAGAATATTGTAGGAGAAAGAGGGTGAGGTCTCAAACTTAGGGAAGGTTTGAACAGAGTGAGAGCGATGTGATAAGGGAAGAGCAGTTGTGAGAGGATGACAAAAACATACGGAAGTGGTCTCGTAGCCATGTAACCAGATAGCTTCTCGGTTATGTGGATCATGACCTCCTCTCAAACCCTATCCGTCAATTGTCATTCCTGATTATCTATGATGGTTTGAGAAAGACAGTAAAAACAAGACTGACATGTTCTTGTCCCATATAAACAATCGGAAATCCGTCACTGATGAATGGATATACCGCAGCGTTCTTCACCAACTATAACATCAACTCCTTGCTCTTCACATCATCATAAGAAAACTCTTGACATTTGTACTACATATGCGCAATAAACTCACCACGGGATCAGGAGCCACACCTGCCAATCTGGCAAAATCATGATTACTACATTATATCAACTTTATCCGCAGTCAACTTGTCTCCTACAGTGAGAAGGTGGAACTCACTCTAAGAAACTTCCTAGAAGAGTGGGATCAGGTAATAACCTATGTACTCTCCCAATCATCTCCGCTAAAGATCTCATATTTCCTTCTGTACTTTCGAAAGCTCTTCTCAAATGCCAAAAAGTAGCATAATCTAATAAACTCCCCACTGCTGAACGTTGATATGGTCCGAGATAAGATGGATCACCTTGTAAAACTTCACCCATGGCGGCTACACCAGCTTGAAAGATGAAATCTGGCCAGAAATCTTTCCGGATATGTTTCACTGTATCTATACGTAATGCGTCGATAGAGTATTTCTGTACCAGTTGACGTATCCAGGTATGTAAGGCTCCAACGACTTTAGGGTTTTCAGTCTGAAAGTCAGTCGTCCATGGATGAATATACAGATGGAAATGACGGACGTTGAGATCTGCCATTTCTTCTGTTAACCAACCTGACCGTCAGTGGTCCAGACTAGACAGCTGTCGAAATTTTCACGCAATGCCCAGGGAAGGAAAAACCATGAAGCAGAAGGAACACTAAAGCTGAGATGAAGTGTTGAAGAGAAGGGGTGGGAAGGAGAGAATAGACTTGGACTCACATTGTTCGATCTGAGTAGAATCATCCCAATCATTAGGAATACAAAATTCATGAAAATCATCAGGATCATCAAATACACCATAAAAGTTGCTGGGATTGAAAACCTGTCTTGATATCGTGCCGACGTGATTGGCGACCTATGGATCAGCTTGACATTGGTAGCAGACAAGGTAGCAGCTGGAACAAATGACTCACAACGTCTACCATGAGATACATCCCTTTGGAGTGAATAGCATTTGAGAGATCTATCAAATCTTGTTCAGTACCGAAATGATGGTTGACCTCTCTCCATCAGCTTACTCGTAGAGTTGTTTGAAGCTCAACAAACTTGACATATCCGAAGCCCAGTATCCTGCGTGATCAGCGACAACATGGGAATGAGGAAGTAACATACCGTGATAGGCGTCCCCGAGGGAGATGGTGGTTCCTTCTATGTTTGCAACCACTGGGGATATCCAAACTGTCATCAGGGAGGCTTAAGTCTTCTGCAACACCAATACATTCTTCTCTCGCACGAGACGGATATCTTACTACGAGGTCTAGGTGCGGAGCAAAGGTGGGGTGGACTGGGTCCAAGTGACGGACGACGGAAGAGTATTGGATGAGGGGTCCAGCTGGAAATGGATGAGTAGGCAGACAAGCAAGGATGACATACCCGTATCAAAACCCATCCCTTGAATATAATCCAACCGTCTTTCCAAACCTTTCCAATCACCTCCGCAATATAACCTAGCACCTGTATCACAAGCTACTATCTGATCATCCGCTCGGGCGAAACGATCCGTGATGACTTGATAGATGGACCTATGTCGGAGCTCTGGAAGGGTGAGAGCGGTGGTTAGGGTGACACATAGCCAGAGACCGAGCAGTCTGGACAGATATAAGACTGTCATCGTTTTTCCACCTCGAGTGCGGGATGAGTGAAAGGAAGGTATTTGTTGGCATAAAGTATGAAGCAAAGTCAAAAGTCGAATACAAATCGGTAGCGATCGAACAAACTTTCACAGACTTGAACTTCAGTAGCTTACTTTTGGTTCTTTTCACCAACTCTCTTTCCTAATCATTCACATTATTCTTACAAGATGTCTCTCTTGAGATCAACTAGATCCTCGCTTCGAGTACTAAGCCTATCCAAACGATCATCCTATCCATCCTACATCTCTTTCCGACCTCTCTCAACTACTTCTACCAACTCAAAATCCGGCGATCCTTTCCCCCTTCCACTATCCACCCCGGAACTTCAATCCCTTGCTTCCCGTCCTTCCGACTCGACGCAGGAAGACAATTCACCTTGGCCAGAACCTCTCAAGCGGGAAGGAGAAGATGAAAAGACTCTAAGGGCGAGATTGGTGTATCAAACGAGAAAACGGGGAATGTTGGAAGGAGATTTATTATTGAGCACATTTGCCAGGGATCAATTGGGGATTATGAATTTGAATGAGTTGAGAGAGTTTGATCGAGTGAGTGAATACATGTATTCTTCTATATACTATCATACACATGAATTTATTGACTTTACAAAATAGTTTTCGAAATAAAGACAGGCGGTATGGCTGATTTTTAAAGTTGTTAGATGAACCTGATTGGGATATATATTATTGGTCCATAGGCAAGAAACCACCTCCAGAACGATGGGCGGACACTGAGTTACTCAAAAAGTAAGTTCAGCCAACAGTTATCCCTCATTGAATCAAACAGTAATTTTGGAATGCAGCTCATGTGCAGATTACAGAGACATGCCAAGAACGAGGGCAAGGTAGTTCGTGTCATGCCTGATTTATGAATGAAATCTACCTTACGACTCACAAAACTACTTGCATGGCCCAAAACACTACCAGTATAACAAACTTATAAACTTACTGAATTATTATGTCTCCCTATTTTCTCCTTGTTGTGGAACAGGACATATACGTGAGTCAACCTCCGTCAGCGTGTCTTCTGCTTCACCAGACCCAACCGCCATACCATCGTACCAAGCACTATCAACGGCACAAACTTCAATCCCCACCCCAACAAGACCAATGGGATCTCCAACAGACTGACCAGCAACGACTCGTCTTCCTCCCCTTCCTCTTCTTCAAACACGACGTCCTCCCCCTCGCTCGGTCCAACTAGCAGTAAAGCTATCACCACGAATCCCGCAAGGAGGATGTAATGAAGTTGAAATGATCGGTAGTGCGGATTTTCGCCCGGTGTGCGGACAGGCCAGCCCTTGACCCAGTCCATGATGACGGGTCGAATGGTCATCCCTATCGTCGCGAGCAGCTTGAGTAGAGAGAAGGGTAGGCGCAAAAAGGAGAATGTCAGAGATAAAACAGGCAAAGAGAAATTGAAAGCACCCTTCGAGCCTGAATGACTCGATTCCCCACCATTTCCGAACCAGGGTGATGAGCGAACGGTAGTGGTGGATTTAGGCGCGTCAAACGTGACCGTAGATGTGGTCTTAGGGACGGAAGCTTTGGCTGTCCATGTTTGGGCAGGACGACTTGGACCGTTTGACATGGACAAAAGAGATTTAGGGGGTCGAGAGGAGATTCGATGTGAACGGCTCCTGGATAGACTGCCTCTGGAAAACAGAATAAGAAGTGGCAAGGCAAGTAATGCGGCTAGAATATATGGGGCATATTGAGAGAATGACTCTTGCGGTTCAGCATCGGAATCGTCAGAGTCAGAAACAGAGTCGAGAGATGGGTCTATTGATGAGGACGGATCTGAGGGATCTGAGGGGTCTGCTGGATGTGTAGCCGTGATAGAAATCCGTCGTTGGCGACGCCGTTGCTTCTCAGGATTATCTTCATTGGGTGGAGGAGGCGGAGCAGGATCAGTCGTCGAGTTGGAAGGTGGGGGAGCTGTGAGGGAAATTCGTCTTTTGACCCGAGGTGGTCTTGTTGAGCCTTCTTCCAATACTTCTTCAGTGGTAGAGTTTCCCGGTGGCAGGTGTTGTTCCGACGACCGGCGTTGATCACTGCCATTCTTCTTTCCGGGATCTGCTAGACTTTCAAGGTCTTGTTGAGGCTCCACTGGAAATGTTAGCCCAAAACGATGAGACGAGAGAGCTTACTCACCTGAGGGCTTCTCTTCTGAGTCCGGAGGAGCAAGTGGATTTTTGGGATCCTTAGATTCCTCACCCGATTTAGGTCTTCTTGTTCCGGCAACCGGAGGTTTTGATCCATCTTCCAGAGGAACATCTTTAGTATTTTGCGGTGGTCCTTCTACTGGTTCAAGCTTACGGTCAGTCGGAGCTAGAGGAGTTCCTTGTGGTCGACGTGGAGGGGGGAGGGGCAACTTTTCTGCTGGGATGGGCGGTTTACCCTGTTGTTTATCTGGCTGTAAACTTGGATCAACTAGCTCAGTAGGTGGTCCCCGTTGCTCTGGTGGGGGTGGGGGTGGAGGTTGTCCGTTTACGGGCGGTTCTTTAGGTGTCCTGCCCGGATCTTCAGAAAGAGGATTTGGGCCAGTTGGTGGTGGTGGTGGTGGTGGTGGTTGTATTGGATCAGTTTCAGGAGGAATCGGCGGCGTCCCCTCTTGCACTTCTTCCTTCTTCTTGCCCTTTCCAGACGGATCCTCAACTTGTTGTGGATTCTTAGGATCCTTGAGTCGTGTTCCAGGCGGAAGCTGAGAGCCAGATGGTAGTGGTGGCGGCGGGGGTGGTACTGGATCGGATTTAGGAGGTACTGGAAACTCGCCCTCTTGCGATTCTTCCTTCTTCTTACCCTTTCCAGGTGGATCTTCTACTTGCCGTGGATTCTTGGGATCCTTGACTTCTGTTCCAGGCGGAAGCTGAGAATCAGGTGGTGGTGGAGGAGGAAGAGGAGGAGGTTGTGATGGGTCTGATTCTGAAGCTGGAGCACCTCTATTCCGTACTTCTTCCGGCTTTCGTCCTTTGTTGGAAGGGTCCCCCTCTCCTGGTTCTACTTTTTTCCCACTCGGGGGAGCTTGTTGTTGTTGGGGTGGTGGTGGTATCGGCGTTGGATTCGGGCCTGCCGGAGGTTTTGTCAGAGGCTTGGGCTCAATACTTCTAGGATTCTGCCCCTGTTGTTGCTTGGTTGGGTCAATCACCTGAGGTTGTCTTTGACCTGGATCTTCAGTAACCCCCTTCGGTGGTTCTTTCGGTCCGCTTGGATTCTTTGGGGTTTTCCTTGGTCTTCCGTTCTTATCATCTCTTGCAGGGTTTGCAGTCGGATCAGTCCCATCTTTCTTAGGTGGGGTACCATTTGATTTCACGCCTGGTTCCCTTCCGGGAGGTTGTTGTGACGATGATCCGGGAGGTTGTTGTTGTGATGATGATTCAGGTGGCTGTTGTTGTGACGATGATCCGGGAGGTTGCTGTTGAGAAGATGATCCAGGTGGTTGTTGCTGTCGAGAAGATGATCCTGGGGGTGGTCGCTGTGACGACTGTGCCGGAGGTTGTTGCTGTGAGGATGATCCGGGAGGCTGTTGTTGCCTTGAAGAAGGGGTCCTCCCATCTTCCGTATCCCCCGATTTCTTTCCCTTTCGTTTCTCCTCAGTGGATTTTGCAGCTGGATCCTGGGACCTTGAAGGTTGTTCCGTCCGCTGTCCAGGATCAGGAGGTTGACTTCCAGGAGTTCTTTCTGTTCCTCGACGAGTATCTGACGGTTGACGTGAAGATTCCGGTTGTCGTTCTGTTCTGGGACGACTAGCTGGAGGATTTCCAGAAGGGTCCCGTGGTCTCCCAGAGTTTGAACGGTCTTTAGGATCAGCTGCCGGAGCTTGTTCCCTTCTTGGATTGCCATCTCTTGTTCTCGATGGTGGCTGCTGAGACCTATCACCCTCTTGCCCTGTCTTCTCCGTCCGCTTAGGATCCGTTTGACTGGTCCCCGCCCTTCTGTTGTCAGGTGGATTGGATCCGTTTGACCTTCGCGGGGCCGTTCGATTAGTAGAATCGGATGGTGGTTGACCTCCTGGTCGTCTATCTGAAGCTGACCGTGATGGATCTCTGGTCGGTCCCTCAGTCTTTGGATTAGACCTTTCTGGTCGTCTAGTCGGATCTCCAGAGCTGGCTTCTGGTCGTCGAGTTTTTGTTGCTGGGTCGGCAGGTTGGTCACGTCGAGGTGTCTTGGAGGGTTCTCTCGGCCTTGATCCGTCTCCGGACGGTTCTACGGGAGGTTGTCGTGTTCCTGCTCGGTCCTTGGCAGCCTTTTCTTGCTCGGCTTTCCTGGCCGCTCTTTCTTTCTCCTTCGCAGCTTTCTCCTTCTCAGCTCTTTCTTTCTCCTTGGCTGCTTTCTCCTTTTCCTTCGCATCTGCGGCATCATCTTCTGTCCTTGTATTCCCTTCTGACCTCTCTCTTCTCACCCCATCTCCTTCCCCCCTCCTGCCATCGCCCTTCCCATCACCTCTTCCCCCTGTACGATCATCCCTATCTCTTCCATCGCCTTTTCCATCCTCTCGCTTTGTAGTCTCTTGCCCACCTATCATCAGCCTTGAGCCATGTAAGCAACACATACTCACCGCTGCCGACCATGGCCAACCAAACCAATACCAACAATAACAAACCCATTCCTAACCCACCCTTGTCCATTTTCCCACCAGCACCATCCCCTCTGGTTCCTCCTCCTGAGCTCAGATATTCCCACCATGACACCTCGCCCGCGGCGGGATTAGTATCATTAGTCGTCGTACCATTGAGGTAGCTTACGTAGGTCGTATTGTACACTGGGGGTAGAAGGCATTCTTGAGGATAGAAATGACACAGGTGCCATTTAAGCGTTTGAGCGGAAGGGTATTGCCATCCTGGTTCCCATGTTTCTTCCCATTCTTCTTCGATTTCAAAATCTAGAGGGTCAGGAGTGAGGTATTGTGAACCGCCGTCGGGGAAGACGTCATCGGACCATGGTTGATAGTCTTCGGTATAGATTGGGAGGTCGTAAGAAGGAAGATCAAAGTGAAAATTATCACCAAAAGTTGTGGACATCACTTACGAAGGAAATAATGAGAACATGATGTCAGTCTTCAGGTAAGGAAGAAGAACAGTATGTTGAATTTGACATCCTTTGTGATGGAGACTCCGGGAGTGAGTAAAGGAAGGATTTTCTACGTCTGTTGGAACCTCATAGACGTTTCAGGATCCATGTCAAATGTTAGAATTGGGATGATTTGGGGATACAAGTAGTGTCCCTGTATCGTACGTGATGCCAGAGATATGTGAGATATATATCGAGATAGACTTGTCATCCCTCCAGCAAAATCCTAATGAATCTTCTTCTTTCGTCCAGCTGCGTGGTGAGAGCTGCGATGCCGAATACGGCAGGACATAACACATCAACTGATCAGTCAGAATCTGCCTGGTCTGACATGATGTATGGAGAAAAGACTGACCTAACCGAGGGTCAATGATCTCCATGGCCGCAGGTGCTTCAATACCCCCTTCATCACCTTTTGGTGTCAGACAGAGCCGTACCACCGACATGAGACCGATCAAGACCTATCTGTCAGTCTGAACGGTATTTACCCTGCAGGACTGGCTCACATTGGTATTGACCTGTTCCAGTCCTTCCAAGCTCGCGAATGCCTCATCTCGGTCACTTGATTTAAGACAGATGGGTTGGTGGATCAAGGGAATGAGAGGAGTGGGCAAACAAGCCAGGATATGTAGCAGAGCAGCGCAGACTATCGAGCCGCTTTTCTCTGGTATAGGCTGGCCTAGGTCGACGCACGAAACAGTCAGCGACAAAATCTGAATCAACCAATAGCGAGCTTACATCTATAATATCTAGGAGTTTGGATAGTGAAACCTCCCCAATCCAGTCGCTTTCCGTAGGATGGTCCATCAGATACTCCAGTAGGATCCACAGAGGTCGAGCGGGCTTGACACCAGTCTTCTTTTCGTCTTGAGGCAATCCTGCTCGAAGTGTCGAGACAGCTTGCCGCTGCGCGCGAGACATTGACCTCGTCGACTCAGGTAATAAGGGCAGGACATGAAGTGGCATCCCGATAACAGTGGGGGCAAAAGTGGCTTCCATGGTGATGAACTGGGTATAAGACAAATAGGCGGCTTTGGTAGCGACGTTCAGCTCACCGGGTTCTTTCCGTCCACAACGCCGAAGACGAGGACATCTGTGATTAATCGCCAGCGATGCTGGAAAAGTTGTACTTACCTTTCATTTCGTTATCATTACCAGTGAATCGTAATGCCCAATCTTCATCGACATACATCACGACCTGGACTACACGTTCTTGACCAGCCGGGACGACTCCATGCGAGGGAAATGGCCAGAGGAAAGGTTTGCCTGATTGTCAAAATACATTTGGGAGGACATTCAAGTGGCTCACAAATGGGCTTGTCGGGTGCAGGACCCTTGAAAGAGAAAGTCGACGGTACTTTGCCGGAGTTCCGCAAAGTAAGCTGCCGAAGAGAGGCTCGGCCATATCTGCATCATCAGTGCCTATCCACGCACACATGGCGAATACTTACAGGACCTGTCCGAAGTCAAGCCCTCCTGGAGAAACGTCCAGTATGGGCCTGTATATCTCTTCGAGCTTATCGAGCTCTCGTTGTATAGTGAGCAAAGTCTGATGCCGTTTCACTTCGTCCACGACCCGAACGGCGGTGGTGTATGTGCCGCAGACTGGTCGGTGATCCGACCACAAGATGTCATGGGAAGAGTAGGAGCTGCAAGCCGTCCCTGTGATCGACAGAGCCGGAGGAAGTGTCCATAAGATTCGATCGGTGTAGGCCGGCGCCCTACGGGTATCGAGGGTGGTACTTGCGTGAACGTATTTGAAGGTGCTTACTGGTCAGCAGGTCTATAGGACAGACAGAAGCAAGCTCACGGAGGAAAATCTATCTTCGCCTCGTAATATCCTGTAAATGACTTTCCGTTCTCGATATCGGCCAGCAGCTGCACAAGTAAGCCCAAGCACCGAGGATGAACGAAACCTCACCTGGTCCCCTTGGAGCATATCCTGCCAGCGTCGTTCGACAATACAAGACGACAATTGTTGCTGATCTAGATCTACTCGATAATTCAGATCGCCCAGCCAGAACTAGAATTTAGCCTCCAGTCCGGCTTGAACACTTCAGACCCACGAGCAAATTCGCATCTTGCACACTGATCAGACGATCCGGATGTTCCTCCGGTAGGAACTCCTCGTACACCTCCTCGAGGTCATCGTCTGGTCTGGGGAAAAGAAGACCTCTACATAGAGTTTCGTAGTCCATCCGCCGCCGCTCGAGTGCGTTGGCAAATGCCGCCAGATCTGAAGATCAGCCTTTTCCAGCTTGTTACACAGAAGGCTCACGAGAGTTCACAAAACACAGTGTCGAGTCGTAGACTTTGAAGCGAACGGCCACGCCCTTTCATCAGCGAGATCCAAGGGAAGCGGTAATGCATACAGCTTTGTTGCCCTGAAAGTCAGCGCAGTCGCCTGAATCTCATGATCAAGGAGATGCTCACTCCAAAACCTAGTAGCCCGATACCTCTCTCACTCGTTTGCAATCGGCTGATTTCCGGCCTCAACGTCCTCCGTACGAGGATTATCATGACCACACCAACATACTGTGTCAAAGCTAGCTGTCCGATGTCAGTCGAAGCCGATTGATTGATAGCCTACTCACTCTTTCAAACTCCCCAGCAACATCACCCAATGCGACCATGATGGCCTCCTCCCATGCTTGAGCCCGGTCAACTCCCTGGGACATGAACAGGGCCTGACTTCGTAGATCTCCTCTATCAGCTGTGTTTGCCGAGGGGAAGAAAGAGCACGCACCAACTTCTTGTAAGCCAAATACCAAAATATCCTCGGAGCCCTTTCCTACTAGTGGAGACAGCTCTTTGGACCCTTTCGGAGGTAGTCTGTCGTTCACGTTATAAGTAGCTATCCGGACTCTGTCCGTTACCCATGCATGCTGACGAGATAGAAGATTACACACCGTAGCGAGGTCCTAGACGACCACTCGCTTTCTCGTATAAAGAGTCGTTTTCTCAGGAAGATGGTACGAGAGAAGCCCTCTGCGAATGGATTGGGATGTTCTTCATCTTTCTCCGATTGCTCCGCGCTCGTCGGCACTGTATCAGGAGTCTGCCCACTGGTTGCTGGAATCAGCAGAGTCGAGAACAGATTCACATGGAAACTCACAGGAATCAGACGGAGAAGTGAGGCTTGAAGTGGAAGCAGATGGCTGTGGCTGTTCTGAGTCTTCCTCTGGAGGGATTGGAGGAGTGACCGGGTACAGGAATGTCCACTTGTGTCGAAGACTTGCAGGTGTTAGGGATGTGCCTTTGGGACTTATCAGCCTTCTCTAAAGCTGGACAAAGGAGAATTCACGAGCTACCTCACTCAGCCGACGTAACTCCACCAAGAGGTTTTGGACCACCACTGTGAGTGAAGCAGAAATCCGTAGTTCGTACTTGTCCTCAGGTGTATTAAGGTTGAGGGTGATATCTGATATCAGTCTGGTAAATTCATGAGCCGATACTCACGAGGTTTGGAGCTTTGGTGGAAGAAAGAAGCTGTGGGCGATGGAGGCGTTTGACTGAGAGAGTGCCGAAACGTTCGACTGAGAGGGATGATGTATCGTATCTTAAGATCTTCCGACTCTTCAGACTGAGAGACAAGGAAGATCCTTGAGGGTGAGCTCTCCCCTCGCACATGAATGACAGATAACTGACGCTGCTTCTTCATAAGTCGCATGATGAGTTACCAAGCTCAACGTGACCTTTTGGAAGGCTGTTGAGAGGGTTTTGACTCTACAAGGCAGAGATACTGATACCCGTTCAGAGGTTCTGAGGAAAGGAGTCAAGTCATGTTGGGCCGTCGTGGTTGTGATGGTCGTCATTGCGGGGTGAGACTTGGACGTTTCAACGTCAATTCTTACTCGTTGTCTACTCCAGGGGATACGAGGTGTGAGAAGATGTGAGGCTGGGGCGGGAGGGGAAAGAACAAGGTGAGCAAGTAGAAGGGCGGTCAACTATAGACGGAAAGGTCTGTGCGCAAATCCGGGTGACTGCAATTCGGAGCCCCGCAGATGTTATCAAAAAACCAAGGAAGAAATGACACGTCATCAGAGCTCCACCCCCGCCTTATACCTCAAAGTCTGCGACCATGAAACCAGTTCAGTAGATGTGAGAAGGGAGGGAAAGTATCGTCAGCAAGGATGGCCACACAGCGCAGTTTCATACCAAAGGGTATATCACGTCACCGAGATGAAGAGTCCAAGCTGACGATCAGGTTTCCAGCACCTCGAGTTCATCCATGCCAACAAATTCATCGCCAAGTGAGTCAACCCTTTTCTTCTACAATCTGACATCGGTCACTGACTATCAGACCTCAACCTCGAGTACCGGGTAGTGCACCCAAACAATTCGTTCAACTTAAAGATCGAATACGTCATTGGAACATCGTTCCCGGGGACAAGGTGCGATTGACGGTGGGCAAACCTACAGATAAATATAACAATCAACAAGATACAAAAGATGGATGGAAAGTACATGTTGTGAAATCTGTCGATATGGAGAGAAACCGTGTTTATCTCGAAGGTGTATCTGTGAGTTTTGATTCATGATGGGTGGTTAAACGTGGAAACTGATTAACATAGAACACAAAATCAGGCGTTTTTGAACCTCCACCCCCGGAGTATCATTCGTGGGATGCGGATAAAAAAGCATTATGGGACAAGGAACACACGGCTCAAAAATTCAATAGACCTGTGCATTATAGTAATCTTCAACTTTGCTTAAATGATGAAGCCGGTCCTAGTAGGTATGTCACACACTCTACGGTGTGACGCAGTGGCTGATGGTAAAAGTGTGTTCGCAGTTCGTATAGCTACTTCTGCACCTAAATATTCCACCAGACTGGGAAGAATCACCTGGACAAGATACGCTGCGAAATTGTCTGCTCGTACAAGAATTCCACTCGACCCCGAACGTAATCTTGTTCCTATCCCCTGGCCCTCAGCCCCAGAAAGAAAACCTGTCGATGGTGAGTTCATCAATCAAAACACGAAAAAGGAAGTGAATCTCGACTAATGAGACAGCTTTGGAAGCTGATACTATCGAAGAGACTCTATTGAATACAAGAACACTGAGTCTTGCACCTATCGAAAAATACAACGAACTCGAAATTTCAGATTTAGTTTCGAGTCATTCTGAGGAGAAGCCCCCTACACTGGACAAGCAGAAGCAAAACTGGTCGACAGATTACATCCAGGTTCCAGAACAAAGACAATCATGGCTCATGGATATGTCTATGCCGCTTTATCTGGCTCAAGAATTATCTCCGCGATTCTCTCGAGCGAAGCAGATGAAAGGATGGAATGAACGACGGTTGATGCAAGTTGAAGCTCGTGAGAAGGCGGGACAGGATGCGGTGGACGCATGGGAAGCTAGGGGTAGGGATAACGAGCTTGGTTCAATGCTCGAATCAGACGTGGAGTTGGAGGAATTGAAAGGAGTCAAACTACGTCGTCGGACTAGGGCTGAAGTGCGAGAGGCAGCTTTGGCAGAGTTTGACGCAGAAGCCGAAGCTAGGAAGAGGGAAGCAACAGAGGCTTTCAGAATGGGTAAGATTTGGGATGAAAGTCAAGGTGGATGGGTGGAAGGAGAACAAGGTAAGAGAAGGGAGAAGAAAAGGCGGCGAAAGGAAAAGAAAGAGCTTAGAATGTTGGAGAAACTTGAGAATCTCAAATTGAAAGAGGGTAAGAATATGGCGGTTCCTCCGGATATGAGAATTTGATCTTCCGCCATTCCATATACAGCATCAACTCGACGTCATGACGTATTTGCATGGCATTGCATTATCATTGTGGCATCTGATCTTGCTGACTGATACGAGACCTCATACTGTGTCATTAAGAACCTGGCTATGGGGAAATTCGCCACTTTCGAAAGTCGGCTGAACCGGCCAGATCTCCGCGGCCTCGGCTCTTTGTCACGGATCACATGTTATAGTAGCTTGCCCCATCCTTCCCACTAATGCTGTAATCAACCCACCCTCTTCTCTACCACACGTTTATAAAAACTCGACTTTACATATCTTCTCTTCAACAATTCTATCTTCTTTCAAAAAATGACCAGCTCTCTTGACGCTCTCAAAGCGTAAGTCACCCCTCACTGATCACATCCATCTTCTCGTATTGCGATCTCAACATGAGATTCACACTGACATTCCAGCACCGGCACCGTCGTCGTCTCTGATTCTGGAGACTTTGGTTCGATTGGAGCTTACAAGCCTCAAGATGCGACTACCAACCCATCTCTCATGTGAGTCATTTCGTCATACTATCCCACTCTCTTTCTCCTAGTCCACACATGACCCCATCCACTCGTACTCTGTCCATGATGGCAATCAAAGGAACAATGCATCTTTTGACGAAAAGCTGACGATGCAGTCTCGCAGCTGCCAAATTGCCCGCCTACCAAAAATTGATTGACGCAGCTGTTGAGTTCGGTAAAGAAAAGGGAGGGTGAGTTCTTCCTTCCTTCTTCTCATATATGTCCCAAGTTTGTCGTTCATTCCACCATGCGAAAATCAAGAATGGGGTACAGCTTATAATTGCTTCCGACCTTCAATCGTACAACATCAATCCATCAAAGTGATGTGCTGATCAAACTAGTGATATCGATGCTCAAGCTGAGAATGCTATGGACCGATTGCTCGTTGGTTTCGGCTCTGAGATCCTCAAGATCATCCCTGGCAGAGTATCAACAGAGGTCGACGCTAGGTTTTCTTTCGACACTGGTAAGTGATCTCACTGTCCCCGGAATATTGATTAATGTCGTTTAGAAAAGACCAAGGCGAAGGCTTATCAGATTATCGAATTGTACAAGTCTCTAGGTATATCCAAAGACCGTGTTTTGATCAAGGTGGGTCAAAAGCTCTCTTTCCCTCTCTTAGATGAATGTACTTGCTATTACTTTCCCCCCATCCCCCGGCCTCATAACCTTGCTCTCTACAGTATAGGATTATCTGTAGTGTTTTGGGAATCTTAAAATGGGGTAAGTAAAAGGGTTGAGCCCATACTAATCGATAGATCGCTTCAACATGGGAAGGTATCCAAGCTGCTAAACAACTTGAACAAGAAGGTATTCAGTGAGTTTCTCCCCATTCCGCTCGCGCTGACATTTCACTGATGACATCAGCTGTAACCTTACCCTTTTATTCGGATTCGGTCAAGCTGTCGCTTGTGCCGAAGCTGGTGTCACTCTCATCTCGCCTTTCGTAGGACGTGTAAGTCTTCCCGGTCAACTCAGAAATCAAAACAGTAAAGCTGAGGTTTGAGATTCTTGATTGGTACAAGAAGTCCACCGGACAAGAATACACTGCCGAGACTGACCCTGGTGTCAAATCCGTTCAAGCTATTTTCAAGTGAGTCGACCATGTAGCATGTAGAAATCGGACGATAAACTGACGAGGGAGTTATTACAAACGACACGGTTACAAGACTATCGTGATGGGTGCTTCGTTCCGTAACACTGGGGAAATCACCGCTTTGGCAGGATGTGATTATCTCACTATCGCTCCTAAGTTACTTGAAGAGTTGAAAAACTCTACGTGAGTTTACCTTCGTATTCTCACTTCCACCCTCTTCGACCTTCCAGACCTCAACATGGAAGATCTCCATACTTTCGTCCACTTTAATCTCAGATTCATGGATGAATTCATCCTTTTACATCAACTTTGAATTCACTCGTATAAAGATAAGAAGGACTCACTGACACACAGCGAACCCGTCCCTAAGAAACTCGACGCTTCCAACGCTACCTCGTTAGAAATCGAAAAAGTTTCTTTCATCAACGACGAGGCTGCTTTCCGTTGGACCTTGTTCGAAGACACTATGGCTTTTGATAAGCTTCACGAAGGTATCAGAGGTTTCGCCAAGGATGGTCAAACGCTCAAAGATATGCTCAAGGCGAAACTTTCCGCTTGAGTCGGAACACAAAGACATGTGGATGCCGAGTGTAAAGATGTAGTGAAAGGATGCATCATCTGACAGAAGATCTGGTTTATGACTTTTAACACCTGAATCTGCTATATAATGCTTTGCATGCTAATGCTATAATGATAATGATGATGATCATTCCACAACGATAAACAATCACTTGAAACGATAATATTCAAGGTATGTTGCTATTGATGATATGTATATTATGTACCGCCCATTCACCCACAAAGATCTTGCCTCTACTTATATCCTCTTTCTGTCGATCTGACACTGAACCATCCTCATCCTCAACTTTACCCTCATGTCCAGTCACTTGGATCGGTTGATCCATATGAAGTAACTCGACCGCTACTTTAACACCATCTTTCATCTCTTTCAAAACCCCTTGACCAATCTTATGATCAACGTAAATCATTCCACTCTGAGCTATTTCTTCTGAAATTTTCAAAGATTCTTCTTCCGCACTAGGTCTTATCAAACCTTGACCTTCACCAACCAAAGTTTCTTGTATTTCCTGTGAAAAACCAACCACAACAACTCCAGCTGCTCCAGCTCTGGTAGCATGAAGCAGTTTTGAAAAGAAAGAACATTCACCTCTATCAAGTAATAAAATTCCCATATAAGTTTCATCAAAAGGTAAACAACCTTGTGAATTTTCGACCGGTCTGATCAAAGGTACAGGACCAGAAATGAATCCCCATCCATATGTGTTTGAAGAAAAAGCTCTACCGAACGTTGCTGTTGATCCTATAGCATGAAGAAAAACATTGTTGGTTTCTCCAGGTGTAGCAGAATTCAAATACGTCGAGAAACGTAAAATAAGCTCTACTGGTAAATGTGAGGGTAGAGGTGTTTGAGGGATGGGAACATGATGTGAGATTGTAGGATCTGAAATGTAAACCTTTTGACCGGGTCGAATACGATGTGGACCTATTGAAGAGACGTCATATCCAGTTCGATCAAGTCGCCATCGGACAGTGAGGATTATACCTTGAATGTCGGAAATGACAAAATTACCAGTTTGGTCATCTCGATGGATCTTGTTGGAAGGGGGGGAATGAGAGGTGGTTGGTAATATTCCAGATTCACTCGGTGCGAGAACTAGATCGAAAGACTGAAAAGTTAAATGATCATCCTTCCATTCTACCGGGAAAAAAAAAACCGCAAAGCAATGCGACTAGTGGTGTTTCAAGATTCAGTTCTGAAGATGCAGAACAAACGAGGAGAGGGAAGAAATTGAGCCAAGGTATTTGACCTACCCATTTGGGTGCTTTGGGAATAACACAAAATCCACCCTCCCACCATTTCACACCACTTTCATTTTCAGCCCATACCCCTTCAAGTCCAGGACCATATACTACAGATCGAGCATAGTCGTAATCTGCCCTTCGTTCGATACCCACTACCAAACCACCTAGTTCAGGATTACGATACACAGGACATTGTTGGTTCTCACCCCGATGCATGGCTCGTCGTACGAATGAGGGGGTTCTCAACTGTCCATGAGGGAGAGAAAGGGTATGACCTTCAGTGGTGAATACCGAGTTTGTCAGACGAGGTGGGGGAGTGGGGTCAAATAGCAAATAAAGATATTTGAGGGTCTCAGAGAGCATAAAACTTTCCATTCTATCTTCCAACTTTATGATCAGCGTCCATCTATCCTTCAACAGGGAGTTAAACTCACCTCTCCTGATTCAACATTACGCAAAATGGCAAATCCACATTTCGTCTTCACACGTCGAACAATGTCCCTCAAGACTCTCTCACCTACTCGGAGATAAAATGGATCTTTGGTCGCCTAGACCCTCAACTCGAGTCCAATGAAATCATACAGCAGTAAACATACCTGATACAGATAATAAGTCGATTCGATGTACTCTGGCCGAAGGGGCCATCCAGCCCATTCCACCCTCCTCTCCTGCCACGCCCAGACTTCCGGAGTAGCAGAGTATTTTCTCCATAAATTCCACCAGATCATATGGTTTTGAATGGCGGATTCTATGTCCCCCGAAAGGACTTGCAGGCCGGGTAAGAACGCTGAAAGGGAATCGATGGTAGAAGGATTTGCGGTATGAAGAAGTTTCATTTGTACGGGGCGATACTGGGACGTCAGCTACGTCGATGGCTCCGAAGTCAATCTCTCACGATAAAACCATCCGGAGTCCTGACGTTTGTCTGTACGGCGGCATAGGCATCTTGAAAAACGTCAAGATAGCTATCATCGGCTGCGACCCGTGAGCTGGAAAAGATGACTCATATTGCCAGAGCTCACCGAATAAGATGGAAGCCTTTAAGGAATATTCGAAGAAAGAATCCATCCCTGCTCCCACACCACTCAATCCAGGGGCTAGCCAGTGACCATGTGAAGCCCCAATAGTGTTACCCAATAAATTGTTGGACGACCTTCTGTTCCACAATGCCAAAAACGCTCTTTTGGCCAGATTCTACTGTTGTTAGTTCACTTCTGGGAAATACACGACAACGCCCACCTCGTAGGTTTCATCACCTGTAAGACGGGAAAGAACTCCAAACTCCAGTATCAAGCTTCCTGCGCCTGCGAGGCCTACTATCAGTCTTAAATACTTCTCACACAATGCTCACACGTCTCTACACTTTCCCCTTTATCCATTCCATGTCTGAGATTGATCCTGGCATATGGTATTCCGCTGGGCGTCTCGAAAGCCGGTTTGAACCTATTGGCTAGATCGATAGCCAGGTCCAGGAGTCGGGCCTGATATTGCTTCACGTTTACTCTCTTCCTTTTCATTCCCAGTCGTTTCGCCTGGAGGGAAAGGTCATCTGGCAGGGAATCTAGGAATTGGTGGGTCGAGAGAAGAGCACCAAGAGCTCGAATGGTCATCTCGAACACCTGTACCTTGACATTCTGATCGAAGGAGATTTCCGTGGCTACCCGTCGGACAGCATCGGGAAATGCGGAAGGATGAATGAGAGGGAGAGTGGAAAGAACGTCTAGGAGAGTGAGAGATGCGTTGGGGGAAATATCGTTGATACCAAAGTTGGTAGCGTCTGGATCTCGACCAAGGGGAGTACAGCTGATCGGTTTGAGGTTGTCCTGTGTTGTGTCAGCAAATGACTGCATAGCGTGTGAGATAGGATAGACTCACCGCAGGATAAGCATACTTCATATATCCCTGATACCCATGGACGAACAGCTGGAAGTCAGTTAAAGACGAAGAGCAGAAGGGGAGGAACAAACCTTTCGAACTTCTTCTCTCAATTGAACCCGACGGGCATGGTCGAAAGCCACTACCGAGGGGAGGTGACATGAGAGGAGGAGCGTGAGCAAGGCGAATAGCCATGCTGTTTGCCGCAATATCATGACATGGGCGTGGTAGTGGAAGGCCCTAAAGAGAAGGAGAGAAGGTGCAACAGTCAGTTGAGCAGTGAGTGAGAGTGGGTGGGTGGCAGGTGGCAGTGGAGGCCCGAGCGCTGCCATGTCGTCATACCATCGGGGGGGGGGGGGGGGTATCACTCTCGGGTATCACTAATCACTGGGCAGTCCAATACCACACCGGTCATACGGTACGAAGCAGGTAGAGAGATGTCACTGTTGATAACCCAGAATTACGATACATCATTTCTCAGTCCGACGTGAACCAACTTCCATTTCTATAAGAAAACTAACTAACTTCCCTCGTACTTCTTTCCCACCTGGGGTGTCGTGCGCAAACTTCTTTTCGATCCAGATCTCATTAAAGTCTATCATCTCAAATTATCACAACCTTTAGCTTCTATCAAACGTCGGTAGATAGTACACTGAAAGAATCAGTTGATTCTTGATCCATCCCTATGATAGACTCACTCTTCTCCATCATTACAAGCGGAAACTATACGTTCATATTCCGCCATTGCAGATTCTTCCCAGCTTGTTTCTGGCCAGGTAGAGTCGATACATTGAGCACATTCCACTGAAAGTCAATTCTCATCTTAATCCAACAAGAGGGATCCGAGTTGATTGAAGGTCGGACGAACATCTAACAAGCTCGGAAGGTGGTGGGCAGGTGGGAGATCCCAAGGTAAGAAATCTCGAGCGTTCCAGCCACGAAAGAGCAGAGTGGCCAGGACGAAGAATTCGTGAGACATCTAAATTTATGCTACCCCAAGGGAAGAGGCGGACGAGGAAGATTAAATACGTGAAAAAGAATACGACGACTCACATGTAGCTTGTAATCCATGAGAAGAACAAAGTGCTTCTCGCTCATTATGTGCTCCTTCCACTCTATACATCCCACAAATATCCTTACACGTTTCAGAATCAGGTTCCACCTCTGTAGTAACGGGAACAGGTACCACAGCTCTTTTCTCTGAAAATGACCTATCGGCTAAAGGAGGGATGGTTTCGAACGAAACTCGGAAACCACGTTTATGTACCGAAAGAGGATCTTTAGGGAATAAAGCTGGTGAATGGATTGCTTCTGCTATCGCTGCTGCTTCAGGTGCAGGGATAGGGATAGGGATGGGTGCTGATCATTAGTGATCTACCCTTTCTCATCCAACATTTCGAGCCCCGCTTCCGTGAATGTATCGATATATCATTCGTCTCTTCCACCTCTGTGTTATCTACTTTCGACTCTTTTTTCGTTGACGTCTTCCCGCCACTCAAGTCCTGCAATTCTCCATTAATCCTGACTGGATTCTACGTTTACCGTCGTCCCTCATCCGCAAGGTATGGTCAATCTTCATGACAAGGAGAGATAAGAAGAAATGGTATTGTTCCCACGTTTGCAGCCTGGAAGAAGGTAGACTCTGGTACTCACAAGCAACTACCAGCCCCAGAGCCAAGACGAGACTTAACGTGCGCATCGTACGAGTATTCCAAAAGTCCTCGAATCCTCTTCTGACCTTCGGTTGAACGTCAAAACGTCGAGGTCGACAATGACTTGAAATACAATGTGTTCTATGTACAAATTTGAAGATAAAGAGACCAGCTCGATGTCACTAACGTCTTCCACCAATGACGCCTCGCAGTTCTCGGCGTGATTTGTCTGATTCAGTGGCGTACTTTTAGCGCCAATCTTATCCTATCAAACTTTCGTTCCCACCGTTTCGTTCGAAGGATTGTCCGGTGGGTATACGGAGTGTGAGTATGAGTATATTGGGATTGAAAAGATGGCACCAGGCCAGATTAGATGGGAAAAGTGCGGAATCCGTTTTGAAGTGCAAGTTAAAAGAAAGAGAAGCGTGTACAGGGATGGCTGGATAGATATGTGCATATGGTGGAGGTGTGACGATGTGCGGAAGAAAGTCGCGACGTGGGAGAATCCCTGAATCTTCGATCTCATTTCATCTGTTCTGGAGGTTTTCAACCATAGGTTGAGTCATATCGAATTAAGAAATGAGAAGAAGGAAGAACAAAGTCACATATGACAAACTGTGCATGCATCCAATGATCATTACAACATAATATGTAATCCATGAGTCCCAGATGGAAAAATCGAACGAAAAAGGGTATGTGTATATAACAAAAGTGTAGGTTGTGGGGAATAATGCTGATTGATGTTGGCTACACTTCATTATCGTTCGACCAATCTTACATCCTGATATGCTAATTCGGGGTCGTGGAAAAAGAGAAGGAGGAGAATGATATTGTTGTTCTATGATTTATCTGATCATTAGCTTACGACCATGACTGACTTGGTACACGATACATCCTTGCCTATTGACCATTGCTACCGATGACACACAGGTAGGAGGTAGACGAGAGAGGATGACCCAAGAATGAAGAGGAAACCCCCGGGGAAGCGCTCTTAGAGAGAAGAAACCCAAACTTACGCCGTAAATATCCACCCCGTTCCCAGTGACCTTGCAAGTACACCTCTTTCCCTCTTTTCTCCGGATCTTCCAATCCCGACAACACAGCTCTCAGTCTGGTAACGTCTAAAGGTTTGAGCAGAAAACCGTCAAAGTCTTGTGTCAACGATTCTCGATCACTTTCGTATAGACTTGCCGATACTGCGAAAATGGGTATATGATTATCTATCCGGACAGGTTGGTTGGGATGTGGTTCGTATCCTGCTTGTTCCAATCTTCGAATTTCCCTCGTGGCGGCATGACCATCCATGATTGGCATTCTGAAAATCAGTCTTCTTTCATAAAAACACATATCGCCAACGTTGACACTTGTGTCCTCGTTGTGATAAGAGGTGAATGCTGCGGCTGAAACTAATGGAGCGAGACCAAGGAGTTGATAAAATCACTTACTGAATGTCCATAAAGACACAATCAAAATCCGGGTCTTTCCGAAAACAATCCACTGCCTCCTGACCATTGGTCACTGCTACCGTTTCATGTTTGTCCGCCTTAAGCCTCTTCACTATGATCTTCAAGTTGATCGGATCGTCGTCGGCCACCAAAGCCCTATACTTTCCCGGAGGTCTCTTCTCCATGCTGAGCGGTGAATCGCTGACTGGAGGAGACTTTGAGACTGCTTTGATCGGACTGGTAGATTTCTTCTTGTCCTTCGGAGAATGATGGATTCCTTTAATGCGAGAAGATGAATGCCTCTTGATGGCTTTTGGTGAGGATGGTGTTCCGACGTTGTTGGCTGTTTCGGTAGCGGCTCGGATTTGCTCAGTAGCGGTATCAACCCTTGTCGGTCGGACAGGCCATGAACTGTCCGTCACTGGGAAAGTTCCAGGTCGAGACATTCGTTCTTCGGCGTCTTTCAATCGTTGATCATCAAGAGGGACAGGGGATGGAATGTGTGAACTTCCCATAGCTTTTACCAATCGGTCCAACTCGCTCATACTCGATCGAACAGAGACGATGGAATTTGATCCGCTCGAAGTAGTCCGCGGGCGAGGGACAAATTCCTCCATACTGTCCCATGATGTCTGTTCAATTGTCGGTGTCCCCGAAGCGGGATCATGAGCGAGCATCGATAAAGTGAAGAAGAATTTGGTACCGATCCCAACTTCAGATTCGGCTCGTAATTGACCACTGAGCTGCTCCACGATCCGAGCCACAACGGCTAAACCAAGACCTAAGCTTTTGCCCGCATCCTTACTCGCGTCATCCGCTCCTTCAAGTGTGACGAACAAGGATTCGAGTTTCGAGTTCTCAATACCGCAGCCAGAATCAGCAATGACGATTTCGATGGGAATATGACCTTCGGTGATCGATTCACCGCGAGGACAGATCCCACAGAAAACCTCGATCCACCCTTTTTGAGTGAACTTTACACTGTTGGCGACCAAATTCGAAACCACTGTCTTTATCTTTCGCGAATCACCAATGATGAGAGGTGGAACACGTTCATCGATAATCACTCTGAACTCGACTCCTCGACGATCCGTCTCGGCTCTGAATACACGTGTGGCATCATTGATCGTTCGTCGAAGATCGAACGGATCGCTGAAGGCAATTTCGTTACCGGTTTCAACGCGCGTCAAGTCGAGTAGATCGTGAAGATGGAAGAGTAGAGCTCGAGAAGCTGTTTGCGAGGCCACCAACATGGATCTTGTATCGTCATCCAGATCATTGGCGAGAGCCATTTCCAAGGTGTTGATGATGTGAGATAAGGGGGTACGGACGGCGTGACTGGTGTGACCGATGAGCAGTGAATGGAATTGGCTTTGTGCCACGGCCGATTGTTTGTCTCTCCAGACAGTAATGAACTTGCCGTAGACCAGAGCTAGGACGTTCCCTGACTCCATCTCTGCGTCTGTGAATGGACGACTGGTTCCGACCACTGTTTCTGACCAAACGCTGAAAGACTTGCGGGGTTCTAGACTTGCTTCTTCTCCCGCTTTCACATCCTTATAAGGTTTGCCGGCCCATCTAACCTCTCTCGCTTGGCCTTTGCGGAAGAAGACGATGTAATCTTTGCCATGTCTTTCAGTGAGGGGAACAAACAGCAAACCAGCGATCTGGTCTGGGGTGTTGGGTAGTTTCAAGTCGGGATGATCTCGCGAGAGACAGTGGGACGAAAACAAAAATCTCGCAACGTCAGCCAAAGACACACTAGAGATTTGAGACTCACTCAAACTTCTTCATTTTCAGATATTCAGCGATTGCCAGTGTTGCATGAACTGGGGTGTCCTTTCCCAAAATCTTGCAACTATCATTGATGACCAGGAGACCGTGATCACAATTGAAGACGTGCAATAACTCCTCGGAATCTGCCAAAATGTAGCCGGTTGGATGCTGCCTGCTGGGGACGGTGGAAATCTGACGTCAGAGATCAATTTCGTTTGTCAATTGTAGAGGAACACTCACCAATTTTCGCATGTGAAGCCGTTCTGCGTAGGCCATCTTCTCAACATATTTAGCAATGGATTCTGCGAGCACTCGTAGCAACTGTCGGACAGGGAATGAAACACGCATGCCGTAGTGTCCGTATGAATGACAAGCGATCAAACCCCATATATCCCCGAATGCCATGATAGAGACACTCATAGATGAGCGCACATTCATATTTCCCAAATCTGTCATAAGCGTCATGCAGCACATATCACGAGAGAAACCGTACATTTGATGTGGATAGGCGATATGGCTCGCAGATGACAATGGGTCATATCGAGAGGATGATCAAGGTCACTTTTATATCTTAATATCAACCTGGACGTTAGGTGATCGCGGTCGTACAGGAGTCTGACTTTGTTGATCATGTATAGCATCCTGGCTTGGGCGGGAATGTCGGTAGCGGGGAACATGAGCCCCCTGTAAAGATCGTTCGTCTTGCCAAAATCGACCAACTCCGTTACGACCTGACCATTATATTTGTCGTCGAATTGGTAGATCAAGACACGATGGAATTGAGTGAGATCCTGTATGACACCGACCAAGATCCGCAAAAAAGTTGGTAGGTCGGGCGCAGAACCGAGTTGTTCGTTGATCTGACCCATCACAGCGAAGACGTCCATCGTCCCGGCTTTGCGGGTGCTTTGTCGGAATCTCCGTCGTCCACTACCACCGCCATTGGATGATGGTTCGCTAGATGCTTCGCTTTGTCGACTTCTTTGACCCCGCATTCGTTCCAGTGCTCGAAGAGGCTTGGCGTGATTGGTGGTGCTTTCGATGATCCGCTCGAAGGGGATTTCGACATCGAGTCCTTCCAAACCTTGACGGCGCAGAGGTTCAGTTGAGAGGAGGAGGGTTGGGAGGATGTTTTCCTGAGAAGAGACGGTGGGCCGTTTGGAACCGTTCTTGGTCTCATCAGACCCTGTCTGGGTCGAAGCCCTCGGGGTAGTCCCAGCAGTGGTGGTTCGTTCCGTATCCGAGCTCAAATCAGAGTTCTGACTGAGAGCCGTACTTCCAGAACTGGGAGTGGTGGTGCTGGACGTTCCGGAGGTTCCAGAGGTTCCAGAGGTTCCGGGTGTATCTTTTCCACTAGAATCCATTGTAGGATGGAAAGGCCTCATGAGTGGGTTGAGGTCGTCGTGTTCCAGCTCAAACTCTAGTATGATAAGCCTGGGACGATCTAATACGTTTCCTCGAGCATCGGTCTTTTGCCATGAAGTCTGTTTCGGGCGATGAGCGGCGACCCAACAAGTCCATTGTCTGGGTCTGTCAGATATGTTGTCATCACCATCCTCAATGGAAGGGTCGCTGCCTGGTTGACCGCGCCCCGAGAGTAAAAATGTCAATGGACCCTCATCGGAAGCACCGCATTGGGTATCAGTCCCCTCGGGCAGATATTCTAAATGGTCTCGGAGGATATCTTCTTGGTCGTACTCGAGTATGTTTGAGAAACATGGGAGGCGGAAGAGGTAGTTTGATGATAGGCCGAGTATGTCCATTGAATTCTGCCTGTCAGTTTTGCAAGGATAACGGACTGGATTGACGCACCTCTGATACTTGTCGAACGCTAAGTATCTCATTATCGACATTTTCTTCCAGGAGTATCAACACTCCATACGCTTGAACAGCCCCAGGGGTGGTGATAGGTTCATCCTCACAGCGTCTTAACTTTCCTTCACGTCCCGTGAGGAGAAAATTACCTTCGGCCGTTTGAACATGTTGAAAACGGTCGGTGGTCACTGGGGCCTCTTCTTCAAGACTGTTCATGTCTGCGAGTTCTGCAGATGCTGTGGCCTGTTCACTCGTTTCGACCGTGGTGGCGTCCGAGTCACTGGAACCTCTCCAACGATGACTTCGATCGGTGTCTTCCTTTTGGGAGGGATGACCATCTGCGACTGGTTTCTGTGGTTGACTGGTATCTTCTCGGGGTATTGGCGATGGGGCAGAGGCATGGGCGTTGGGGTCGCTCATGTTTACAACATGAGATTGTTCTTCGACAAAGTCCCGTACAGTGTCCCGAGGTACTGACTGCCTCGCATGACGAGCGAGTTGGTCATGAGATGGAGCGGTGGGACCCCCAGATCCCGCTGCACTTCCCTGAGCCTTGTGACTGCTCCGAGTGCCGGTACCAGTACCTGTTCCCGATACAGAGATGGAGCGACTTGGTGTGGGTTCGCCAATCGAGCCACCGAGATGGATGATACTACTGAAGTCGTTGACGAGGGAAGGTTCTCCATTTGCATCGATTTCAAATACAGAGTCATGATTTACAGATTGAGAAGAGCGAGATCCGGTAGTGGATGTGTTGGAGAATCCCTTCGAGCCGGGGTGGATGGGACGAGGGTGTACAAGGGGAGTATGATTTTGATGATCATGACCGATACCGGCAGAGCTGAATGATTGATCCCCGGGCTTCGTCGAACCTGCGAAATCTCTGAAGTTGATATCGCGGGGAAATTCTTCTGGTTGACCGACTGGAGGAAGTTCTTTTTGAGGTAAACCATTCCCGTTCCCTGCGACAGATGGGTTCTGAGGTAAAGGTGTTTGTCGAACTGTACTGGAACTATCCTGTGTATGAGGTGTTGGTCTGTTGGAAGTCTTTGTTTCTTCATCTCCTTCACTGGCGCGTCGAGGAAAGAAAGCATTCTCACTCGTTTCCTTGCTTGGTTCTGGTGCGCTGAAAAAACCTTGAGGTGCGCCACTCAATCCATGTTCTGATTTCTTACCAGGAGGTGATACCCTAGGTTCCGAAGCTTTCCTACCTCTTCCAACAAAAGTAGCTACCGCTGGACCCGTAGGTTTGATAGGTTCACCGAGTTGTTTCATGAGTAACTCCTCAATCGAATTCAAAGCGGGATCTTGATATGGTGCGGGACTTGGTGCTTCCGGTAAACGACTCAAACCTTTTCCGCTAGGAGGACGAGATGATAATCCAGCGTTGGAGAGATGTCGACTGAGTGATGAATTGGAGCTGGAATCAGGAATAGAGTTTCGTGAAACGGAAGGTGTCATGTCGGAATAGACGGACCGAATTGGAAAGACGAAAGAATTTTGACCAAAAGTCGATGCTGGTGAAGTGGCACTGATGGGGGACATACGTGGCACGCCCTCGTTTTGAGGTGTGACGATCTTGGATGTGGGTGAAGGATCAGGAGGAGTGCGCATCTTGACTTCTGCAGGACGAGCAGAACGAGGTTGTACTTGGACCACTGGAGTAGTCGAGGTAGGTGTTGACTGACTGAGATGATGGGTAGGGTTGGTCGACATGGTGGGGAATTGAAAGAAGAAGATCGGGAAGGGATGATCAAGGAAGGTGTGGATGACTTTTGGTACGGAAGGACTACTAGAAGATCAGCGGTGTGTCACGAAGATGCGCTGGATCGGACAGGTAAGAGAGAGTCGTCGCCGATAAATTGCCGCGCGACGGTTGCAGATAGAGTAGTGCCGTGGTGACGAGATGGAGAGCACTTACAGATGATCGTTTATCGGTTAGGTCTCCCGTTTCTGAGCGGACGGTACCGGGTACCCGTATTGATCAGGATCGTGAACAGGGTTCACAGGCCACGGGACACAGTGTGGCCGAGTAAGGTCCGACCAACCCGTTTCGAATCGAGTTGGTCGTCCACCAAGCGAGGAGTACAGTTCTTTGAGCTAGAAGCCGTATATAGAGTCTGGTAACTGGTGATATGGACAAGGAGAGGAGAGCTTGATTCTGGAAGACTGATGGTGTGAGATGAAGAAACCAGTGTAATATACAAAAAGTAGAAGAAGCGGGAAAGCGTGACAGTTGAGATGAGAGAGAGAGAGGAAGGGGCAATCGAAGTGAGTGACGGCGTGCATCACAGCCGCGAATTACCGATCGAGATCTGAAATTGTACAGGTTCCAGTAAAACGGATACACATGTACCTCACCCCTTTCCTCCTCAACCTGATTGACTCTAAACCACGCCCAAATGGATATTGATCATTTAAAGGTGGTTATCTCCTGATTCAACCATCATCACAACAAAACGGCGTGTACGCCGTGAGACATTGCGTTCTGAGGTCATGCTCATTTGCAAGCCTTCCCGATTCGCGCAGGCCAACGTGACGAGAGACACTCGTCGAGCAAGGGGGAGCCGGTAGCCATAGCCGGCGGCCACCTCGGTTTCATCCTCAGGTCCGCCGTACCGCCGTCGCCCGCCTGTACTTATTGCTCGACCTCTTCCTTCTTTCCTCTTTGAGCTCGCTCATCTCGTACGATACCCCTATAGGCAGACTTCCCGTGGCTGTGTACGCAATAGTCTGACAACCAAGCCGTGCTGTGCAAATGCTGCTCCACATCTCCGAGCTGCTGTCGATCACTACCGGTATGTGATGCCCAAGAAATGAGCAAAGAGCACGATGCAAAAGGTCAATACATGTCCTGATGTTGTCATGACCTGCGTCATAAACAGATCCATCCCAACGCCACACAAAGTGCACCACAAACCGATTAACGGTTAGATTTGGCCACACGCTCCAGTTCATCCTTCTTTTTGATAGCGTACGAGTTGGAGGACCCTTTAGCGGCGTTGATGAGTTCGTCGGCAAGACATTCGGCAACCGACTTGGAGTTGTGGAAGGCGGATTCTCGGGTCTGTGAGAAGGAATGGGTGTTAGTGCAAAGAGAACATGGTAAGAAGAAGAGCGATCAGCTTCATCCTTCAATGGTTGATATGGACTCACTCCGATGGTCAGGAGAGAAATGGCCTGGTTGACACGTCTAAGAGGAGACACATCCACCGCTTGCCGTCGGACAGTACCCTGGGATCCGATACGAGTGGAATCCTCTCGAGGGCCGGTGTTGACGACGGCATCGACGAGGACCTGGATGGGGTTTTGTTCAGTCACGAGGTGGATGATTTCGAAGGCGTGCATGACGATTCGAACAGCCAGCAGCTTTTTACCGTTGTTACGACCGTTCATCATGAGACTGAGGGTCAGCCAGCGTCCCAATTGCTTGATCTGAGTGTTGGATCACGCTGGGTGAGATTGTCGGCCACTCCAACATGTCCTCTATCACATATACGTAGTCGACGAGGGAGGATGAATTTAACATGACGGTCAGAGAAGCTGGGACACTGCAAGTGTGGGAATGAGCCTAAGGTGGGTGCAGAGCGCAGAAATACACTCACGCATTGACCAATCGCTCCGTAATGGGCATTCGGGCCTTGACGAACTGTCTCTTCGCGTATCTACCAGCGGTGTGGGCTTCGAGTCAATTTCATTCCCACATGAATTATGATGAACACTCACGGACGTAGACTGCATGACTGACGTTGATGTAATCTTGAAGAGACATGTCTTTCACCTCAATACTGATCATCAGAACGTGTCTTTCCATAACATTATTCTCATTCCCCGGACCGGACAAGATCCTTTTCGAAAAGTTATATACTCGGAGTTCGTCCTCATTACCACAAAAGATCATTCACCGCGGTGCATGGACTAAGACAACCGCCGAAGTATTCGTAGTCTAGAGCAAGTGATGAACCTGAAGTAAAGGGCGAGACCGCGGAACACTCACCCAGCGCTGTCCCACTTGCCAAACAATTTAACAGACCCTTCATTAGCGACCTTGAGGACATCGGACGGAAGTGTGGTCGCCATTTTGTACGAGAGAGTCGAAACCTTGCAGAACGGTTGAGGCAGGTCGAAATGGAGGAAGGGTTCGGTGTTTCGGCATTATGTGCCAAGAGGGAGGCATTTTGGTCTAATGTGGCAGAGATTTACTCTGACCATTCGGCGGGGACTTATCTCCGACTTTTACGACTTCCAGGGGTGCATCTCTCAGTCAGGAGCACAAGAATCGAACGGGCAAAGGGGTATGAACTGCATAGCGCATGAGGCTTGTTATTCTATACAGATATGATCGATACTAGATATGCAAAATCTGAAGCCGAGTTTTATGCTTCGAAGAGAACCTGACGGAAGCTTTTCAAGTTGTCGGGCTCTGGAGGAGACAGAACGTACGGTTGCGTCTAGTCGCGGAGAGATACGAAGAATGTACTCCCTCTCTGCTTCGGTATCACTGATACCTCGGACTTCGGCAGTGACTTTGTAGAGGGTGTATTTCACTTCATCCCAGCTGATCTTGCCCATCAACCCTCCCTGATCCACATCTCCAGCGAACCCACCAAAGTCATCCCCCCCGCCTCCCCATTACCTCCCATAGCGACAGGAAGTGATTTACCAGGTTCCATACACATCATCGCGTCCTCCAATGGATCCGGACCTCGTATCAACACCGGAGCGACGACTATGGCCAAAGCAAGCGGGGACATCTTGGTAGCTGTCTGGTACTTACTGAACAGATGTAGAGTTTTCACCAAGTGTGAGAGTAGAATTCGTTCAGATGTTGACAGTGCGGGAAGGAGTTCGTCGTGGATGATTCTGATACTCGTGATGTCCTTGATGATAGGATAGAGAGATTGTGGAATTAAGGGAGAATCTAAGGAGCTGTAGAGTTTCATAAGCACTTTAGGAGGTAAAAGAGGGTCTCTTTTTGCCAGTTGTGTCCAAGGAAGTGAAGGTTGGGAATTGAGAGGAAGGTCGAGGATGGATTCGAGGACGGGCATCAGGGTAGACTGTGAGTTAGCAGATCCGACTTCGTCTTGTCATCAAACATCTTCCATCGGAGAGGTTGGTTGTGAATCGTCAGAAAGGACTTACATTGGATGTCCTTCGGAATACACCTTCTTCAGCATTACAATATCCCAGAATGGCCTCCCTTAATTGTTGGAACAACGAATAAATCTTTCCGTTCGCTTGAATCAAATGTTCTGGTTTTCTACCCCAATATCCAGACCTTGTGTTCCGTCTCAAGGGAGAGTACGGCGCAAAAGTCGGGCCTGGTATTGATAAAGTCCTCATGATACTTGACAAGACCGACACTACCACACCAGGTGATTGTTTGGTCACCACTGACTCTTGGACGAGAGTATCTTCATTGATCTGCATTCCTTCGAGGTTTATCCCATACGTATGAACTAGAGATGTGATAGAATCGAGAAAGTGAAGCTTGGGATAAGCTCTGGGAGAGATAAAGGGTATAAGAATAGACAACAAGGTTTGAGTCCAGGGGGAAGGATGTATGATATACTGTCCACAATCAGCACACCGTTCGTATATTCGATAAGAAAAAACAACATACCAACCGTTTGAGGTTCTTCCTCACAAGTCGAGGGATATGACGAAAGTTCCAAGCCCACCATAATGGTCCTGGAAGATGAGTCGGCTGGTGACTAGCAGAGAGAACGATGAGGACGTATTCGCTTGTTTGCTGTTCGGATGTGAGGTCGATCAGGCGGTCCACGAGACGACTGAGGAGAGTCCTGTTGGACAGAGAGGAATGAGAGATGTTGAGGTCACATATAGAGAGTACTATGATAGGGATAGAAAGAGGCGTTGGGTGGGGATTTGGAAGGAAATGGAGAGTAGAAGATAGGTCCATATTGGTTTTGAGATACGTTTTGAATGACGACCCACACAAGCTGAAAGATTGTTCAACGCCCTCTGTGAGTTCTGATCATGGGACGGAGAAGACCTTGTTCTTTGGCAATGGTCACAAAACCAAGGCAAGAGATGTCGTTCTGGCCAGGGTCCCCCTCTGTCGTCGCTGGTCGTCAAGCATGTCGTTGATCGTTGATCGTTGTTACAGTAGATGTCAAGGTAGAGATGGTGACGTTGAAAGTGGAGAAATTGTTGGTTTGGTGCCTGAAAATCCCTCCTCCTTTCAAAAGCTTTCTCTTGATCTTTTTCTGGTGTTCTGCAACGTTGTCATTGTCTCTTCCTTGTTGAATCTCGAAATGACCCTTATCTTGAGTCTCAGCGATCATCGAGTGACTGACCAACAATCGCCAACGAGTCGGAGACTATCAGAAGTCTCATATCAGCGGTTGTTCGTCCCGCATCAAATGACAGACGAGGAGACCTGAGTCAATGAATCAGATATGGTTCATATTGCAGGAATTTCGACGATTGTCATGACATTGCAGCCATGTAGCCTCACGCTCAAACACCTCAACTGTTTACAACATCACATCTCTTGGATGTTATTAGACTGACAGCGGGTTGGGAGTATTATAGGTCTAACACAATAGCAGATGGTCCTATTCGCTTAGGTTACCATTTCCATCACCCCACCCACGCCAAGACGATTTGACCCCTCCCCCACCATGTCCTACCTATACCTCTTTCATACTCAAAATCGAAGTCCGTCGCCGTTTCGCCGAATACATCTCATAAACGTGCGTACTCAATCCGTCTCGTCCGGACATGTCGGAGAGACGAAGCACAACGCAACACAAAGGATCCATACTGAAGCCCTCGAACGACTGAAGGAGGCGTATATGACGAAACATCGTCATATTCGTTTCGACTCCTCTCGCCTTCCAATATCTTTCTTTTTTCGATCTCACACATATCTTCATCGCCTTCATAAGTCATTTACAGTCTTCTCACTTCCCTCGTTACTGACGATTTGTTTCAACGCCACTAGACTTCTGATCTTTCCTCAGGTGATTCTTCTTCAAGATGTTGCTTTATCTCGTCCGACACGGTAAAACTGATTTGTAAGTCTTTCACTTATTATCAAAGAGTTGAGCTGATCAGAAGTAACAATGATGGGTTGGTACAGGGTCAACTTGACGTACCTCTGAATGAAGAAGGACGTGGTCAGGCTAAACGTTTAGCTGAAAGTTTAAGGATGGTACCTGTTCGTGAGATCTGGACTTCGGATCTCAAACGTGCTGAAGAGGTGAGTGACTTATCACGGTGGAGTCAAGATGTGAGATATATAGGAAAGGGAACGCTGATTTGATATAGACTGCAAGAGCCGTGTGGGAGTTTCATCCGAGAGCAAGTTTGAATTTCGATCCTCGTCTTAGAGGAAGGTCTTACGGAGCTTTACAAGGACGTAAGTGGGAAGACAGGGACAATATCCCTCATCTCTCTGAGAGTGAGGAACAGTGCGTGATTCTTCATATCCTTACTCGATCTTATCTCCGTCTCCCATTCCATCAGGTCAAACTCTACCTTGTCCCGATTTCCCCCTCTCTGCACCTTCCTTTGCTTCACCATCCTTCGTGTTCAGTTTTCAATAGATTCTCATTCGTCGGATTGAACATTCAAATGACTTGCTGATGTAATTCAGAATCGACGCCCGTTTACATTTCTGGCTCTCAACATTGGTACAGACCAAAACCCCTCTAACATCTCCTCTAAGTACCCCTCGTACTCCATTATCGCCTAACGATCCAGGGGCCGGAGTGATTATTGCAGTAACTCACGAAGAATGTCTTCTTTCTCTTCTTCGCATTCTTTGTCGTGGACAAGCGCGCAATATCAATAACAGTCTCACTATCCACCCTGACAATATAGATAACTCGTTGATGGAGACTGTTGAGAAAGCCGATAAGATGGAGAAGAATGAAAGTCCACCTGAGAGTCCTATCGAAGTTCTCATTCCTCCCGGAGTTGACACTTCTTTGAAATGTGGAAATACAGCTGTAGCTATCGTACGTGTTTGGTGGACTGATAATGGTCAAGGGACTATGATTCCTCAAGGTAGATTAGAAGCTTGGGGAGCGGATGAACATTTACCTAAAGAAGATGATGAGAGGGGATATTTTGATCAAGGGCATTATGTGGAGGATGAGTGATTCAGTAATTTTGACTTGTTCGTACCATATTGTTCATGTCCCAATGTCTTATGCGATCGATTCTTGTTTTGAGAGCGGATATGGTGAAAGAGCTGAGTCATTGACAATGATTCACGTTAAGACACATACCGCATGATCGAAAGCTGTTCATCGGACTTTGTCAGTACCATCTGGTCGAATCTTTCCAATTGTATTCTACTAAAGTCCTGATCTCTGTCCAGTGGACGTTGCGAGAATCCTTGAGAGGGTTTGAGATTGCTAGATGGTCAGATGTCTGATTAGTCCGATATTCCCGGCTCTTTGACGATATGCAGACGGGGTCAGCCTGTCACAAATGTGTAGCAAGGTTTCGTGAGTTGACTGACTTAAGTCAGCTACTGGATCATGAGAGCCATGTGAGGGAGGATAAGAATCACCCAGGTTGGACGTTGGGTTCTCCCGGGGGGCTTCATCTTTTGACTACAGTATCGTTATTGTACGTCTCAGCCAAGAGCACCCTCGTCCCCGTTTTCGTTGAGGCAGCAAGTCAGCCCTGTTGAGAATCTGACAATCCCGCGAGTCTCCCAGTCTTACAAAAAGCCCAGACACGAAAACTGACAACCCCGAAAAGTACGCCACCTCGGCCCAGGCACCAACCTCCTCGTTCCTCTCAATTGTAGTCTCCGAAATACAATCGACGATCAAGCCGTTGATGATGATGATGAGCTCACATTGATCACTTTTGGCTAAGTACTCTCATAGATGAACATTCGAACATGAACAAACTTCTCCACTCCGTAACTTGCGGCCAACCTCGTCCGAGCGGTGAAGATGAGCTCGACCATGACGTCTGCAAGTACCATCGATAGTGACAAGTCATTTGGATCAACAACGGCTTCAGGGTCCGGAATCGGAGAGACTTTTTTTGGGGTGCCACATTGAGGTTCGGATGTTATGCCTGTCGATTTACACCCATTGTGATTTTCGAGGGTGCCCGACTGGTTCATGGTTCATCGTCCATTGGGCCACAACACCCAGAGCTTTAGCCAAGAAAGACGGAAAGCGGGATATTGGATGCATGTTCTCATCTATGGAATTGTGACTACTGGACTTTTTGATCTTCTTTTATTGTAAAATTGAACACATCAACACACAACGTGTCGAATACGCGAGACAGTGACTCAAAGGCCCAAGCGCGAAGGTGAAACAACGAAATCGTATTGACCTCCTGCCTCTAGCTCCTGCCTTGGACTATCCCCCTTCCCTCCTTTCTCTCTCACCAACAACCACACCGCTTTCGGCTTTCTTACATCTCATCTGATCTTTCACTTTCCTTCCATATTATTTTCCCATAGACAGACATCGATCATCGAAATAGTCTGTCAAAACATTTTCACTCCAACTTTCCATCCGACATCAGCCCTTCACAAGGGTGAACCACTTTCTTTTCTAATCTTCACGTCATCTTACCCATCCTTTGACCTTTTCTTCACATCCTCCCATAAACGGTGTTGATCACCCAACTTCACACTTTGGCGATTTCCACGACGCATCCGTCAATTCTACAGAGAAGACACAAGTTTTCCACTGCGACTGCCGATTGACCGAATTCAGTCATACTCATTGTGAGTTTTCCGGAATAACACACAAACAACGTAACAACATAGCTGACCACTGCTCTCTCTCCCTCCTTTCCTTCCTTTCTCTCTCCATCACACCTTTTTGTCCTGCAACGAATCACCTGCTCGTCTCCACAATCATCCTGCGCGACCTTACTTGCTTCATACTCATGCGAAAACCTCGACAGCTTGAGAAATCCAACATGGACCCACACTCTTTCCGCTTTGGCCTCGCTGCCGCCGGAGCGCACAAACGTTCCTTTACCAAGAGATGTGAGTACTTATTTTAGGGCTTTCATAGATATTCGCTGACAAACAGCTTGTAATCTCGCTTCCGGAGATCTTTACACTTTCCCCAACTCCTCCTCTACCGTCGATGCCACTCAACCACTCACATTCAAATGGAACACGGATTGTGACGTTTCGTCCAACATCGATCTCTATCTTTACGCTCCTTCATCAGCCGCTGGATTGATCCACGCATGGACCAATGTTCAATTCTCTTCCGGTGAATTTACCGCGACTCTCCAGCCAAAATGGTGGAACGACACCACCACCGCCAAACTACAATTGAACATCATCGAGTCTGGCGGATATTCTTTCCTGTCGTCCAACCCTCTGGGTCCAGTCTTCACAGTGAACTACGCCGCCGACGCTATGTTCTCGACTACGGAGAAGAATGGCGCGGTCCAAACTCAGACCGCTGCAGCAGCAGCTACAAATGTCGCCGACGCCGTGTTCCAAGACGTTTCAGACACTTATAAACATCACGGTATCTCCAAAGGAGGTATCGCGGCTGCTGTCCTCGTTCCCCTTCTGGTCCTGCTTCTTCTCGCAGCGGTTGGGGTCAAGTTCTGGCGAAGCAAGGAAAAAGCGAATCGCCAGCGATGGTCCAAAGCTCTGTCTACGCACTCTGGATTGGATTGGGAAAAAGGTGCTCGACCAGGCGAAAAGCCTCAATCGATTCTCGGTCGACCAAGTATGTCTACCATCCAACGTCCGACCTCATTCGCCGCCTCGTCAACTTACGCCATCGAAAACAACATGGCGGGTGCCGGTGCCGGTGGATTCGCTCGTCCTGACATATCTGGTCTGCGTTCAGTGTCCGTCGACAATATTCACACTCCTCCCGTCGGACCTCGTCAATCTCGTATCTCATTCGCGGAGGCTGCTCGCCCCGACAGAAGATCGCGTTTGTCTTTCGGTGGTGATCTTCGTCCTACTGTCAGTCATGGTACTCCTGGTACTCCAGTTTTCCGTATTCCTGGTGGAACGCGATCTGCTGCGGACCTCAATACTCCACGCGGTATCGCCTATGCTACTGGCTCCGCTCTCGATGATGCGGAAGAGGATTTGAACGTCTCTCCTACTCAAAAAGCTGGTCCTCAACCATTCGCCGACGCCGAAATGAAACGTGTCGGTCAAGGACGTCGTACTGGTCGTTTATCTCGTTTGTCACTCGGCGATCGTCGACGCAGCTCAGTTGTCTCTGGTGTCGATGTGGAAGACTTTAAATCCGCCGCTTCTGCCCGTGGTTCCGTCGATGAATTACGAGATCTCGAAGCTGTCATGTTGGCTCGTCGATCCGTCATGTCCACACTGTCCGTCGGTAATGTTCAATCACCCGATAATAACCATGTCGAAGCTCTTGGAGATCTTCCTCCTATCCCATCGCCTACTGGTTCTACCAACATTGAGTCCCCCGAGACCTCGCCTGTCCCAGCTATCACCTACGGACCCGATCAAATGCTTGCTGTTTACGCCGCTCGAGCGAAATCTCAAGCTCAAGGTCCGTTGATACCGGAAAAACCTCAACCGAACAGACAAAACTCCGGTATGAGACTTTTGACTTCACTAGGCAAGAAGAATGCCGATAACACTGGGAACGTCACAAGTCCCACTTCTCTCATGCCACCACCTCCCGCTCCAGGCGACATGAAGAGCTACGTTCATCTCAACCGTGGAACTGTTCCCGCCAACATTGTCGAATCAATGCCTCATCCTGGTCCTCCATCTGCCGGACTTTCACCAGGTATAGCGATATCAGGAGGTAGAGGTAGAAGTGGGACGGTCACTCGTCAATCGGATGCTTCGGCATATTCAGATGATGTGGGTAGGGCGGCATAGATTCATCTAATTCATTTCCATTTTCTATTGATCACAATATAGTTGAAAACATATCGAATAATGGACAGTTCTTCTCTCTCTCGTCAATTGTCTCGTTCCATGTCTCTGTCGAAGGGACAGATGGATTCACACTCGTTCGGTTTTTAGGGTTTGAGGATATGGTTTAGTGTATAGTTTTGCGTAGGATAGGGATGCGAAACCTCGCTAGTACGAGATGAATTCTTGTGATTAAGCAATAGCTCATCTTTCTGATCCTCACAATTACTGGTCTCAAAATTATGTGCTTACTTACCCTTGATTCTCTGACTTTACTGAGTAAACAAGTCAATCACTTTAAGTGTGAAGAAAGCCAGAGCTGATATTTGTTGTTTGTGCAGCAGACCTCCATCAAAGACCCTTGTGGAGAGGAGAAGGATGGAAGATAAGTGCATCACACATTCTCTCTCCTCATCATGATGCATGCACACATCTTTGATCCTTGTCATTCCCGGAGAGCTTAGGGCGGCTATCTTGGCGGTGGCCGTATCGGTCCATGTTCATTCCCGTGGCCACTATCACCAGGCATGGACTGCACGGATTGCCTAGTTGCTTGGCTGCGCCGGCCCTCCCTTGCAGAGTCCACTATTGTCCTAATCTCGTGTGGAGCTATGGACTCTGCGTATCTTCTATATTTTGAGAGAGAGCCATTCCCATCATACGTCCAGAAGGTATCATGTTGAGAGATCTCATGGTCAGATATTTGTTTGATCAAAGCCTGGAGTCTCAGAATCTCATACTTTTCCAGTTCCAGGCACTGAGCTTCAATGGCGTTCTTGATCTGCTGAAAGTGGTCAGAAACACTTGCTGGCCAATGTAAGATCCTATTGTCATCAAGAGATACTGCTGAGACCGGGAAGTAGTTGGTAGCGCTCCGAGTGTGATGATAGTTACAATGCACGAATTCAATGAAAAGGTGGTGTACGTTGTCATATACATCTGGGCTTTCTCCCAGAGATGCTTCAGAGGGCCATTCCGAATCTGTCATGACCGGGTAGCGAGCCCGCGATCATAAACCGTCCTAAAAGGCTCAATATCAACTCTGCTAGTGAGAGTTGATCTCGCTATAAGTACTGGTCATGACACATTCCCCTCCTTCAGGGAAGCTGGCGTCTCGACAGCAGTACTTCTGAACCCCAAACCCCGGCAGGCCCCCCCAAGCCTGTGGGTTTGCAAGTCAGGTACCCTCGGCAGGTATTCACGCTCTCGGAACTCGAACTAGGAACTAGGAACGTCGAATCCTCCGATTCGACCATGGGATGGTTGGCGAACCCAGACCAACCTCTCAGGATGAAACCTGAGCTCAGGGTGAAACCTGAGAAGGGGTGCTGACACCTGCAGCCAGCACACCCCACACATAAGGTGAGAGCCGTGAATCGAACGTCTGACCCGTTAGAGTTGATATTCTGTCATGACCGGGTAGCGAGCCCGCGATCATAAACCGTCCTAAAAGGCTCAATATCAACTCTGCTAGTGAGAGTTGATCTCGCTATAAGTACTGGTCATGACACGAATCCCACCAACCGTGCAGCACCTCCTCCAATGTATTTCTCCATGTGCCGCTTCGGACGTCTCCAATCGCCGAGAGTAAATCTTGTCGGTACTCAGATGTGGTAGGGTGATGATACAGGCCAGAAAGCTCCCGGCCCTGCGCATAAACTTCCGTCACGATAAAGGCCTTGAGTGTAGAGGCCGTTGCTTTCTCAAGTTTCTGAAGCTGCTCATTAAGCTTGCTCACGTTTGCGTGGAGCTCTTGATTGTCATGTGTTGGCGGCCAGATTGTCATCATTCCCCGGTTGAATTTGCACTTGATCACTTCCGTCAGTTCTGAAGCCCGCCTAGCCTTCAAGCGGGTGTTATTCTCTTCTTGAACGGAGAAGAGCACTCGCACCATCCAGTCATAAATATCCGTTGGCTCATTTGTGTCCTCAGACGTGCTGCCCATAGTGAGTATCTCAGTCGGCCCAGTCAGAAACTGAGTTGGATGGGGCTCCATCTGTTCGTTTTTAGGATATGTTCTGGAATGGAGTCAAGTAACGGTATAAAGTCAAATAAAGATACGGGAGAAGAGAAACGAATGAGGAGGGAAAGGGAGAGAAGGGGGGGGGGG